TAAAATCCTAAATAAAACCTGACAAGGACAGCTGTCTAGTCGTTCGGATGGTACGAAAAACCGAGATCTCGGGTACACATTGGCGTGCACGTAAAAGATCCCTTGGCAGTTGGAATTCGATATAAGAGTAGGACGTAGCGCCGCTGCCCGGTCAAATTTTCTCTCATAGCACACTGTATGGCGTATGCCCGTCTTCATTAGCACAGTTTAGGAGCAGAACAGTAGGGCGTGAAACCCCATTTCATTTCATTTCATTTCCTAAATAAAAACGGGCCAGGCCGAGAACATATTCCCCAAGTAAATCGGGGCTATGAAGTTTTGGCAAATGATTTTGCTAATTTTTTTCAAATTTTTTCATACGATCAGGTCTTGGAACAATTCCACTCGCTGACTCTAAGGATAGGAACACTAGCTCTGGCGTGCAACTCTCAACATTTAGAACCGAATCTAATCTAGATATAAATAAGATCGTCAAAGCATCGGCATCAGCATCGTGCACTCTAGATCCCAGTCCTATTTGGCTACTAAAACAGTGTCTTGACGTGATGGTAGCAGCTATTACGGATATTGTAAATTTCTCTTTGACTTAAATCTTTTAAGAGTGATATTAACCTTAAAATAAATTTACGTATGCACATTTCAATTAACTCATCTTTAGCTTTACAAGTAAGTGTATTACCAAAGTGAAGTTCTGATTTGACGATGTCTACGAATGAATGAATGAATGAAATATGGTTTTATGGCACGTCAGCTCCAACCGGGCTATATTGCGCCAAACATATGGTGAATCTGAGACAAATTAAAACAATATCACATAAATGAATTTATATATGTAAATAAAAACAATATCACAGAAAATATATTAATTAAAAATAAATATAACAAATCTTTTACATATATAAATATTTAAAACGATATACATGATTAAATATATACAATTAAAATTGATTATAAAAGTTTGTCTCTTTTAAAAATGTTAGCACTTTGTCATATAGCTCCGGTTGAGCAAATAGCTGACGTACTGACTGGCAACGGTAATATTTAGATCTAATGTTCTTGAGATGTTTGCACTCAATCAAGATGTGTTTCACTGTCAAAGGAACATGACAGTGAACACATTCCGGTTGAGGCTCTCGCTTCAAAATGAAAATATGAGTTAAAAAAGTATGACCAATGCGAGAGCGACACAAAACAACTTCATCCCTCCTGTTGGTTCTATAGGAGTTGGGCCAATCTCCTAGGAGAGGCTTAATGTGATGAAGTTTATTTGTGCCTGCAAAATCCCAAGACCGTTGCCAGCGGTCATAAATAAAATGATTTATACAAGAATTAAAATCTTTATATGGTATTAAAAAGGGTGATTGGGGAAGATCTAAAGCAGCTTTGGCAGCAAAATCTGCTTGATCATTCCCCCTTATATCTACGTGACTGGGGAGCCAGCAAAAGACGACGTCTTTACTGTTGTACTCGTATGATAATAGCAGATGATAAACATCTGCTACTAATGGGTGTTCAAGCTGTTTGTTGTTAATTGCTTGAAGCGAGGACAGAGAATCAGTAAAGATGATATACTTTAAAGATGAAGAGGATTGTATGAACTCCAAGGCCTGAAGAATGGCCTGGAGCTCAGCTGTAAATATTGAAGCAGCAGGTGGAAGACACACAGAAATGGTCTCAGATGGCGTCACGGTAGCCGAGGCTACCCGATCACCATCTTTAGAACCATCTGTGTAAATAGGAGCATAATCACCATACTTAGACCTTAACTCTCTAAAGAGAGATTGGAACACCTTAGAGCTAGTATCTCTCTTTTTATGATGAGTTAGATCGAAATCGATCTTTGGGGGAGATATAGCCCACGATGGAGTCCTAAAGACAGGGGTATTCGCAATACTGTCAAGGCTGATACCAGCCTCAGACAAAAGGGGTTGTATGCGAATACCGAATGATGGAATAACATTAGTCTTCACCAGATACAAATGCTCATAAAGAGGTCTAAATATGGTGTTAAATGAAATGTGATTCGGAAGTGATGCTATTTTCGTAGCATACTGCAGGGCCAGTTTATCACGTCTGTTGTGCAATGAGGGCTCATGCGCCTCGACGTATAAACTGTCCACTGGAGATGTACGAAATGCTCCTAAACTGATTCTAAGTCCCTGGTTGTGTATGGTGTCGAGCTCTTTGAGATAAGACTCGCGGGCAGACCCATACACAATACACCCATAATCGAGTTTTGATCTTATTAAAGCTCGATATAATCGGAGCAAGACCTTACGGTCTGCTCCCCAGTCAGTATTTGATAAGACTCTCAATATGTTGAGGGCTTTCAGACATTTCTTTTTTAGGCTTTTAATGTGGGGGATAAATGATAATTTCTTATCAAATATCAGCCCCAGAAATTTGGTTTCATCCACAACTGGAAGGCGGTTGCCATCCAAAAAAAGTTCTGGATCTGGATGCAAACCTCGTTTCTGACAGCAATGCATGCAGACAGTCTTGGATTTCGAAAAACGAAATCCATTTTCGGTTGCCCATTGTTGAAGTGAATTCAAACAAAGCTGCAACTTACGTTCGATTATCCGCATGTCTGTAGAACCATAGCACATCTGAAAGTCATCAACATAAAGAGCGCCGTTTGTACCTGGTTTAAGGCACGCTGGGATAGTATTAATTTTAATTGCAAACAATGTTGGAGATAAAATACTTCCCTGTGGAACTCCCATTTCCTGAGGAAATGGGTCAGAGAATATTGATCCCAGTCGTACCTTAAATGACCTATCTTCCAGGAAATTTTTAATGAAGATAGGTAAGCGACCTCGTAGGCCGAGGTTATGGAGGTCGCGCATGATACCGTGTTTCCACGTTGTATCATATGCTTTCTCCAGATCAAAAAATATTGCAACTAAATGTTGCTTCTGGATGAAAGCATCCCTGACGAACGTTTCAAATCGAACGAGATGATCAAGAGTGCTCCTTTGGGACCTAAATCCACATTGGAGGTCAGTAATGAGGTTGTTGGACTCTAGGTACCAAACAAGCCTTCGATTGATCAATCTCTCCATGGTTTTGCAAATACAGCTAGTTAAAGCGATCGGACGATAGTTGGTAGGATTCGTATGATCTTTACCGGGTTTAGGGATGGGAATTATTGTGGCTTCATGCCACGAAGGGGGGAATTTCCCATCAACCCAAATCCGGTTAAAAAGATCCAGTAAAATTAAGAGAGTGGAAAAAGGTAAATGTTTAAGAATTTGGTAGTGTATTTCATCTGGCCCAGTTGCAGTATCTCGAGCTCGCTTTAGCGAATCCCGAAGCTCTGCCGATGTCTACGAATCTACCATCAATGTAATAATAATAATAATAATAATTTATTAAACTTATATAGCGCCAAAATCCAGCTGGAAAAAGCTGCTCTATGGCGCTTTTACAACATAAAATAGACATGTAAAAGTAAATTATTAAACTTATAAGATATCATAAAAGACAAGTAAAAGTATTTCAGTAAACTTATAAAACATATTAAAGACATGTAAAAGTATATCAGGACATGTAAAAGTATATCAAAATATATTTTTCAAACAGGCTAAAACATGTTAAGAGCTAAATAAACTTATAATCAATTAATAGTTTTAATAAATAACTCTGTTTTAAGATTCTTTTTAAAATACTGAAAGTTGGGCTAGTTTTTGTGGTGATGGACATATCATTCCAACGTTTAGGAGCTGCCACTGAGAAAGAACATTCACTAAAAAGAGGTTTGGATTTTGGAATGTTGAGGAGATGTTGGTTTACTGAACGTAGTTGGCTTGAGGGTTCGTACTTTGATAAAATATCACGGAGATAGACTGGCGATCCTGGACAATGTAAAGATAAATAAGTGAGACAGAGAACTTTAAAATCAATCCTAAAGGGAATAGGGAGCCAGTGAAGCTGCTTTAAAACTGGGGTAATAGGGTAGCGTGATGGGTTTAATGACACAATTCTTGCTGCTTTATTGTGTATAAGTTTAAAGGGGTATAGTGTTGTAGCAGGAAGGCCAACTAATAGAGAGTTACAATAATCTAAACGTGAGGTTATAAGAGAGTTTACTATAATCTAAACATTTTTTACATCAACAGTATAATTTTGTTTTGCAGGAAAAACAAGAAGTTTAGTCTCATCAGGATCGAATTTTACTTTATACTCTTTTGCAATATTAAGTAGCTTAACCAGGGTCTCCCTACTCATCATCGGCATAAGCGAGAGAGAGAGAGAGAGAGAGAGAGAGAGAGAGAGAGAGAGAGAGAAATGGGGTTTAACGTCCACTCGACACAAACTAGGTCATTTCGGGACTAACATATGGTTTAATTTTATTTCAATAATTCGCTTGCGCGTAGGTGTCTTTAGCAGTGGGAGGAAACCGGAGGACCTGGAGAAAACCCACGAGGTTGGACAGGCGACCCTACCCCTTGTCACGTACAACCGGTGATTCGAAACCACGCCAGTCGACTCAATGACAGACTTTACGATACAGCGCGCACGCTAACCATTTAGCCATCCAACCCCCCATCGGCATAAGCTATTGCTCCGACATACACATGCCCCATGGAACAACCAATTTTACTTTTACTACACCTTACTGGCAATTCATCAGAGAGAGAAAGAGAGAGAAATGGGGTTTAACGTCCACTCGACACAAACTAGGTCATTTCAGAACTAACATATGATTTTTTAATTTTATTTCAATAATTCGCTTGCGCGTAGGGGTCTTTAGCAGTGGGAGGAAACCGGAGGACCCGGAGAAAACCCACGAGGTTGGACGGGCGACCCTACTCCTTGCCATGTACAACCGGGGATTCGAAACCACGAGAGTTGACTCAATGACAGGCTTTGTGATACAGCACGCACGTGCTAACCATTCGGCCATCCAACCCCCCAGCAATTCATCAAGATAAATAGTTAACAATATTGGAAATAGAACACCTCCCTGTTTTACACCATTGGACACATTCAATTACTAAATGCCATTGAAACAGTTTGCATTGAATGTTGTTGTGGTATAATTTCCCTATAGCTTATTCTAATTTTCTGATTAATGTTCATGTTCAGCAAACATCTGGCCGCTGTAAGGGGCGTAATTCTCTCTGATTTAGTCATTTTAGGAGCTTAATAAAGTTGATCCGATCGAATGCCTTACTGGCATCAATTAGACAAACCAGGATATCAGAATGATTCCGATTGGCGATTGTAATACTGAATTGTCTCATCAATGATAAAGGAATAGTGTGTAGTTGAATAGGAACTTTTCAAACCATATTGTAAGTCGGGACTAAGAAACACATCTTTTATGGCGATCTAATAATATCCAATCAAACATCTTACCGATGATACCGCGATAATTGTCGGAATCGTTTAAAGAAAAACAAGGACTAATGAAGACGTTAACATAAACACTAGATGTACTAAATAAGACCCTGGTTCATACTTTATGAACTGGTTATGTTTCAGGTGATTATATAATAGCAATATGAATCTCTTTGTACCCTATAACATGATTATTGCAACATTTACTATTCTGGCATTTATATATTACATTGGACTGGATGTCATTCCTTATGGAAGACCAAACAGCTCTTTATTCAGTGTTCTTAATTCTTAGTTCTTAATTCATAGTCCTTAAATCTTATTTTTTCATTTGTATCTAAAGTAGATTATTGGAAATTAACACATGGTCTATTACAAACTTTTCAAAGTTAATCTTGCTTTCATAAGTAAACAATACATTACTGTTGCATACCTCTCTGTGTGCTCTAAACTGTTCATAAAGATAAAATGTTAATTGTGTTTTAAATATTGGTAATATTGTTGCCCCCCCCCCCGTGCAGCCGTACGTCCGTCCGTCGGTACGTCGTTCTCTTTCAGTAATTTCCATAATCACTTCCAGAGTTATGGCCCTTGATTTAAGTGTTTTGTGTAGTAAAGGTTAGTATAGGGCAGAACTAGAAGTCAAACAAATTCTAGCGATATCTGATAATTACTTATAGGTTGTTACTCCTAATCACAAATGTTTTCAAAATACGAAAAAATATGCGACAACCCTTGTTGGCTACCTCGAGGGCGTATATTTCATTACCTTGTAATATGTCTTTAAAATCCACAACAAGCCCTCGTAAATGTGGTAGAAACGGTGTATGCTGCATTAATTTGGGTCTTTAAGAAATTCGGCTAAAAGCTACTACTTTAGAGACGGATGTTTAAACTCCAGCACGCTTAGGAAATCAGGTCACGTGATATGTACTGCTGACTTCGTTTAACACCGTATTTCATAGATACGATGAACTAACATCGGGTGATGTAGAATAATAATTTAATTATGATTGCTTAATTAAACTATTTAACTGCAAATAGAATACGGCCATCATGGATGTCAAACTATTCACCAATTTAAGTTTTATAATTGTGTGTATACCTTCCTTGTGTTTTTGGAGTGTTTTATCTTATAATATTGACACGGAACATGCCAGAATATTTAATGGACCAAAAAGAAGCTATTTTGGATATACAACAGTCCTAACAAGAAACCAAGATGGTATAAGGTAAGTGTTAAAAGTGATTTGATAATACTTATACTACATGTAATACTAATCATAATACTAACACTACTGTCTGAATCATCGTAACTTTTAAACGGATTTCTTTGATTATGAACAAACTACTGAACTTTGGTTTTTATAAACTTACCTGTGTATTTGAAATCAACTCTCCTTAAATAAATTCGTCTTCATTAGCCCAGTCGGAGCAGAACAGTAGGACGTTAAACCTCATTTCATTTCATTAAATAAAATCCATTGCACAACTAGTTATCCCAACGAATAAAAAAGTTCTCTCTTGAAAAATTGGAACCCCACAAACTTTTGGCACAGAAAAATACCAATATGGAAGCTGATTACGCAACTCTTCGGGAGATATCATTTTGTGTAAGGTATTTTACATTCTAGTAAAATCTCTAATGTTTAATATACTAATGAGAAGACCGATACTAATACAATAATAATACCAATACAATACCAACACGAATACTACTTCTACTAATAATAATATTATTATTAATAATAATGAAGATAATAATGGTGATCAAGATGATGGTGAGGGTGGAGATAAATAGCGCTGTACGACGCTCAAGATCCCCGAGATTCAACATCATCCAACAGCGCTAAAATGGGCGTGGCACACCCATAATAATGGTTAATGTTCCGTGTCCACATAATGTAAATCCACAATTGTCTAGGTAATTAATTCACCAATGGGGGTTTTGTACATTCTCCGATTTCCGAACTCAGAGCGCGCATATATCTTAGTTTCAAAATAACCCTACATATACTAGTTTTTTTTTGTCCCATCCAAACCAGAAGACCTTCCACCCACTGACAAGGCGGGAGCCACGGTGGCTCAGTGTATAAAACGTTGGTTCGCTAAGCTGGAGGACCTGTGTTCGACCCCTGCTTTGGTCGAGAAAGTACGCCATGGTCAGGGATGAAGGAGAGATGGTCCGATATGGGACAACGCACAGGTCCGTGTAGACATTGGCGTGCACGTAGTAGATCCCTTGGCAGGTAGAATGTGATATAACCGTCGATCGTAGCACCGCTGTCCGCAAAATGTCTAATAGCACACTGTTTGGCATGTACCCGTCTTCATTAGCCAAGTTGGTGCAGAACAGTAGGGCGTTAAACTGCATTTCATTTTGTTTCCCACTGGAAGAAGGCTGATGACTCTTAATCCCAATACCCTTCGATATATGAAATCCCGGTCCAGCCTAACTTCCCAGGAAGCGAGAGGTTTCGTGTCCGAGGAAGGTTATGATTACCCTTTCTGGAATACCCTAGAGAATTTGGCGCAAAATATCCCAAATGGTAAATTCCTTTCGTTTGAGGAGTTTGCATATACGTGGTATATAATAAATAATGGGAAACTGTCGTCCATACAGATAACAGATCAATCTACACGTTAGCATGTCTACACCTCACCTAACCCCACTCTCCAGTACTAATGGATATGCTACTTATTGTTTATCTATTGTTTCAGATTGTTAGTAGGGGCGCCAAATGATGATACCGAAAGTGGGGCTAATAAAACAGGTAGTGTGTATATATGTGATACAACTGACGAGGGGGAATGTTCAAGATTTTATGATCCGGGTATTGGTAAGTACAGTCAACGTTTCGTAGTAATAGTTGTGCACATCGTTCTGTTTGCTGAATTAAACGGAATGACGGAATGAGCTTTTAGTCCACCCTCAGAGTAAAATGATGACATCATTTGGTCGTTTGTTTATTTCGCCTATGCACGATTGTGATTTCAGCCTACTCGAGGATCTGACGAAATGAAAAACGTCACTCGGTTAATTCCACATGCATCAACTAGTCTCTTTGGTCAGCGCTCTTTAAATTATCAAGCACCTGTTTTAGGGAATAATCTACCATTTAGTTTAAGATGTTGTACATCCCTATATTCTTTTAAAAAAATAACTTAAAACACATTATTTAATCAGGCTTTTAACAGGCTCTGTATACAATCGTTAGCATGTCCACAATCTTCTTGTTTATTTATGATTACACTGTCACTTTGTTAAGTGCCCTTGAACATGTTATATGGAAGTGCGCACAATAATAATAAATAATATAATGTCCTAGTTTAACCAATGCCCCAACATTGGACCACAAATAATAATCACTGACAAACAAAGGCTGTCCAGTAAATCAGATTTACTAACACCTAAATGGATCCAGATCACCCATTATTCCTACGGTGTCACACACGAAGTAAGGGCCAGAGTTATATTTAGCCCCCCCTCCCCCGGAAAAAGTTTCGCCCCCCCCCCCCCCCTGTGAAAAAATTTTCGACCATAAAAAATATATACATTGTCCGTCAATGTTAGTGCACCCCTCGAGAACACTTCCCGCCCCCTCGTTGCTCGGAGCTACTTACTGCCCTGCTTAACATAGACGAAAACGGATCTAAAAGCACATATTATTAATGAAATATGTATGTATATAAAGTGCTTTATATTCAATTTATTCATTTTTTATTGTAAATTCTAATCAATTATGAAGTACGTAAGTGAACAGTCCAGATTGAACCACTTAGTCCATTCTACACGTATTTTTATTATTATGTTGTCGTTCGTTTTACTAATTACTTTTGCATTGACTTGTAGGATATGTTTTCCCTGATCATTACAAATGGCATCCGAAACCATATAAATAATACAGTACTCGTGTAATGATTTTAACATTTTCATTATGTCTTAGATATTAGGATACCATAATTTCACGGCAAGATAACAACATAAATATTGGTTGATATTGGCCAATATTGGATTTTAAAGATACATTATTCAAGAGCTAAATCTGCCTATTGCAGGTCTTTCTTTACGCCTTAAATGTTATATACATTATTAATTAGACATTTAGTAACATGACAAGACCATAATCAACTCTCGATGCCATCGGATGCTCGAGATTTTAACTAGATTAGAACGGTTCGGCCGTTTAATGTTTTAATTTAAAAATGAAGAAGCGAGGTTAAGACTCGAATATACCAGTTCCATATCTTGTCAAAACTACAAACAGTGATAAAGTAATTTAAATGAAATTTTCAATCTATTCATTTTGTATAATCTATTGTTGGACTACTATAGCACGAACGGTCATCTCTTTATCTAAATCTTACATAATGTATCTTTAATTCGTGTTTTTAATTTCGAATATTATGGAAAATATTGAGTTAGAAGTTTAGCTCCTTTAAAGAATGGGTAATAACGTTGGCTCGCTCTGCGTTGGCCAAGAAAGTTCATCAGGATTTTCTGGCTTGGTTCACTCTTGTCAGTGGTGCAGGGCAGAGGGTCTGGCAAGGGGAAACGTATAGTCGTTCGGCGTGCACGTAAAATATCCCTTGCCAGTTTGAATTCGATATAAGGGTGGGTCGTATGCCAGTCTTGATTAGCCCAGTCGGGGCAGAATAGTAGGACGTTGAACCCCATTTCAATTCCTTTCGAATTTCGATCGTAGTGATCGATGAGTCGAATAGTAAAGGATATAGTAACAGTGCTTGATAAAGTTTCATATTGAACAGATGTGAACAGATTTCCAGGCATCTTTTAGAAATAAAATAGAATTGGGTTTAACATTCTACTTTTTGGCACCAATCAGGCTAAAATGCTATTTGAAACTTTGTCCAGACAGCGGAGCTACGATCTACTCTCTTTCGAGTTCTAACTATCAGGGGGTCTTTAACGTGCTGGCGTTGGCATAAAAAGTACTTCGATTGGCCTTCCAGTCCGACCGACTGACTAGGCGGTTTTCTTTGCCAAGCTCTCCATCCTGCCCCACTGATAATGGGAAACCCGACTGGAAAACCAGAGGAACTCACCAAACATACTTAGGCCCCGGGTCTTTTAGAATAAATACATTTGTGATACGTAGGTAGGCAACTTTCAAAATAAAAGACTTTTGTAACTCTATGTTCGAAAAGAGATTGATAATACCAGATATTCTGCGCAAACTCAACCGTCACCAGAATTTCAAGAACGGCCAACGGACGAAAAGAAAATTCCCGCTTACCCTGTCCGGAAAAAACGGTTGCAGTCGTACATAAAACAAAATGGCAGACACTCTGAGGTAGCACCTGTCATTCCGAACTATACGCCGAACAGTTATTAAAAATATCAAAAAGAAAACACCGAAAACAAATCAATCTGTGTCTGTAATTATTATCTAAATTTTATTCTATAGGGCGTACAGATACAAGGCATCGACTCCTATATCCTATAACCCTGGAAGGATTTGGAAGCTGCTTGAATCAGATATCCAATTCCAAAATTTTGGTAGGTATCTTTTTATGTATGAATTATGAAATTATCAACTGGGAAACAGATTATTTAGTTTTCTAAATTATAATAAAAACAAATCTAGTCTATAATCCTGAAGTGATAGATAAGCCTTACTAATTGAAATATCTGTTTAAAGATCCATATCAAGGGTTTTACAAAAGTATAAGTACGGCCTGCCACGTGTATGACATCTTACATCCGTTATTATTGTTAATCATTTAAAAAAAAAAGGTCAGACATTAGGATTAACAAACTATTATCGAGGGGGGTGGGTGGGTGAGCCATAGACCTGCCATATATATATGGACAACAATATACAATATCTCCATTTGTGTGCAAATGAAATAAACGGATAGTTTACTGCTCGGAATTTCAATACAGATGGTTATATCAAAGAGGTATAAAAGACATTGAAAACGTCCAAGTGTTGTTTTAAATGAAATGAAGTCTATACGTTTATTCCCCAATCTATCACAGATATGTGCACCAAGATTCAAGGACTTAAGGTTTCAAAAACAGGCCTACGTTACGGGTCGATGTATTATTACCAATACAGACCTTAGATCCAGAGTCAACAGCTCTTTACCAGTGGAAGATAAATTGAATTATACGGATGGGAAGCTTGGATTCGTACAGGGTATGGCTGAATCCGGATTTTCATGTGACTCGTTAGAGGTAAGGGAAACAACAGTCCGTATTAGCACTGGATCGGGGAGATTTTATTTGAAATTTAAATTTAACTAACTTAATACTCGTCTTGTTAATTATGTTGATATTTTTGGTATCATAAAAGCTTTTTATAAGATAACTTCTTTCGAGAAGTTGGAACTTCACTTTCGGTGAAATTTATATAGCGCCAAATCCACAATCTGAATGAAATGGGGTTAATCGTCCTACTGTTCTGCTCCTATACTGGGCTAATGAAGACGGGCATACGCCATACAGTGTGCTATGAGGGAAATTTTGCCCGGGCAGCGGCACTATCGCCCACTTAGTCACCGTGGCTCCCAAATAAACAATCTGATTGAAATAACAGATGTATATTTCATTCTATGGCCTGCACAAAATACAGATCTGACCGGCTGTAGTGGAAGGTCGTAACAGACCATTTCATTGGTTAATCCCTTACATCAACCAGAACACAGGTTATATGACAACTCTTCCAGATTCTAGTGTAGTTAAGACAAGTAAAACTAAATTGTGAACTATAAATAACAAAACGAATTATGGATCTGTGTTTTAATCAGATTGGCCAAATCAACAAAACGTGTTCATAGTACATACAAACCCACATACAAAAGTTCATTGGCTCTAATGTTCTAAATGGATTTTGAAAAGATGAATTTTTGATCGAGATTTGAAGATAGACAATGAAGTTACGAAATGATCTTCTTCTGGAAGGGAATTTCATCATTCTGCGCCGACAACAATAAATGATAGGTTTTATCTTTATATTTTTAAACTGTTTCAATGGCATTTAGTAATTGAACTAGAGTATACAGGTCACAATTCTATGGAATACAATTACTGCTTATTACTGAGCAACGTACACGTAATAAAGGGAGATCTCTGGTTTGTCAGCATTAACTAAGTATTGTTGTGTACATGTATATATTGTCCTGTCATATTTTCATTTTTTATCATAGCTTGATAATGACTAGAGAAGCCTAGTCGAAACGTCGCTCAGTAAAAAGCCGTAATTGTATTCCATAGAATTGTGACATGTATACTTTATATTTTTATTCCCACTGAATCCAAAATATCTGATCGTCATTTGTTGCTTTTTTTTAATCCCCTGCAAACTTCACTAACAGGAATATCAGTTCAAAATGGTTAAATTCCATTCGATATTTACAAAGATATGTGGAATTGAACATTTGCCAACATTCGGATGCACTGCAGACGATATATGGGATGTGGTCAAAACTATATCCAACACCGCCTATAATTATTACTGAAATCTATTGATGGGCTTTTTTATAATCCGGTTAAATCCAAACCGAAAGATTAACAACCGTTGATATTTTGATTTGGTTCTTTTAATGAAATGTTAAATAATCAAATTGGGTACATATCATATTAGACGTGAACAAATTAGATATTTTTCCGAGAAATACAAATCAACAGCTTTACAATTCATTATACTATAATATGTTTATCTTCAGTCAGAAACATATGTACTCGGTGCTCCAGGTCTGAACTCCTGGAGAGGTAAGTATTTCTAGTCTTATATCTAACATTCTGATTTTTAATAAACCGCGGTTCATAATGTTTTTTTTAGGCGGCTAAACCACCGGCATTATTTGGAGAAAACTGACGTCAGTCTATTTCACCACCTGAACAGTGGCGGTGCCAAGGGGGGGGGGGGCAAGCCTGCCCTCTGTTTGCCCCCCCCCCCCCCCGCCAATAATTTTAGAAAATAAAAAAAAGTATTTGTGATACGGTTCGGTAAACAATACCTTCTACGGTGAATAAATCCCACATCCCCACTCAGTCATAGACTTGCATCTTGTAGAGCATTTCAGAGAGTCTATTTTTCAAAATTTTCCCAAATACCACAACAAAAACATGCTACTTTTTGGCCATTTTGTTCTCTGGTCGGATAAACTAGTGATCAGGCGACGGACGGTATCTGGTCAGATATATTTATCTTAACGATCGGTACCTGACTGAATACTGTCAGACAGAATTTCCCGCAGTCTATTTTTCAAATTTTCTGGGGGAGGTCTCCAATACCCTCCGTAATGACTGGGCTTCGCCGAGTTTCGCAAGTCCGTTCGTTTGACACTTTACTTCAACGATCAGTGCCTGAAATACTGCCAGGCTGCATTTCCGGCAACTTGTTTTTCAAAATTTTCTGGGGGAGCCCCCCTACCCCTAGTTGAAGCTCGTTCCTTTGCCCCCTTAACCTTGGACTTTGCCCCAGCTTTGCCACTCCAACCACCGACGGCTGGCGCCGCCACTGCACCTGAACTTGCTATATCAGCACCATTAACTGTCCACAACCTTTCATTCCTAGTTATCGGTGAAGTAGAATGAGCGACTACCGGTCTTTATGTAATGACCGCATATGACAACGTTTTGAATTGCAGGTGGATTTGCTGTAATAAAGGGAGGTAACTACGAAGATTCAATAGTAGATATTCCAAGACAAAAACAAAAGATGAACGATAATCTAGGTAAGTAGATAATAGGCGTATAAGAAAATCTTGGAAAGATCGTGGATTGTTTCTGAACAGTTTGACAGTTTACAGTACGATTTTCATTGATAGTTTTTAGTTTCGCTTTGTCCAGACAGTCTCGTGTCCGTCTAATATTCATTGAATTTTAAGTACCAGGGATACTATCTGAACGACGGATTGTTGTTCGTCCTGTATCACTGAGAAGTGGATACCAACGTGGAAAATCTCCAGGGGCAGCCTGTGTTAGTAATTCGGCGCCTTACTTACTTAGCTACCTTGACTCAACCAACCAAGATTAGTTTAGGGAATCAGTAGTCAATCATAATGCTTGCTTGGCGATGCGCTTAAACATACATTATGCAAGAGCTAAATCTGCCTACTGCGGGTCTATCTTTAGGCCTGAAATGTTATCGAAATTATTAATTAGACATTAATTAACTTATCCAAACCATAATCAACTCACGATGACATCGCTAGCCTGCGTTGTTTATTGGATTAGCTTCCGATTTGCTTTTCGGCTTCCATTCATAATTAAATCATGAATATGTTTTTTATTGTAACGACTTTAGTAATTTTGATCGATATGTTAGGCTAAAATCTCGGTTCAGAGTATTTTGACTGAAATTAAAGTACTCACAATAATGAGGTGGTATTGGTTGGTATAGGGAAGCACTGCGGAAATATTCCCGTCCAGTGATATATACTAGGGACATCTTCGTTCTTCTTTTGTGCTGCTAAAATCGTACTTTCTCGAAATGTTGAAAGTCAATTTTGAAAATACGTTACAGCTTCAAAACAAAAAAATATCTGATAGATAATTTTTGCATAATTCTAAAATATCAACAATAAATCATAAAGGGTAAAATTGATCGTTGAAGTACGACCACTTCATCCGCGCCGTGAGCGAAGATTTAGATATCTCGATTCGATGTCTTTACATCCTTAATAGTTTATGTCAATCATTTACGTTACAAACTTTCTTTACGTAGGTTATGCTGTTGTGGGAGGCCGTTTTTGTTCTAACAAAAGGATATGTTTTGCTGCTGGGGCACCAAAATTTAATCATATAGGTCGAGTAAGTAATACTATTTTTATTTAATAAAAGACTGAGCAATATGACACTACATGTGCAGAGCAATCTGATACTACCATGTGCAGAGCAATCTTGCACCCCATGTACTGACCAATCTGACACTCCGTGTACTGAACAATTTGACACTCCATTTATTGACCAATTTGACACCTCATGTGCAGAGCAATTTTGCACCCCATGTACTGACCAAACTGATACTCCATGTACTGACCAATCTGACACTAGATGTACTGACCAATCTGAAACTCAATGTGAAAACAATCTAACACTCACTCTACGTAAGATTATACATGTCTGCGAAAGACATAAGTAATGTTGTTATGTCGAACGCTTTCATTCGGTAGAAAATTTTTATAAAATCAAATAGTTACATCTCTGTCTAGAATCCAGTCAGTGTATCAATGGTAATGTAATCGAGAATTTAATTTCTCAACGAAACCAAATGAACCGAGTACTTTCATTTTTCAGGTTTTATTGTTTGAAAGAATTCATGGGAATGAAGTCATTCAGTTATTGGAGCTCGGGTGTCCTGATCAAGTAAGGGAGATAAAGCTCCAAATTCTGCAGTGATAATATATATTTTTGTGTCTTATTGGCGATCTCTTTTAATTGTTCATAATTCTAACTGGAAACATCCTAGAAACCGAGGTCATCTACAGATTTTTATAATGTCGATTTTGGCTGAGGGTTCTGGTGTGTGTTTACGGGCTTTAATGTCAATTGCGATCTTCTTTCGGATCTGTTTTTGCGTTTGTACGTTTCAATGGTTTTTTTTATTGAGGGCCTGTTTTTGCGGGTTTCAATGGAGTCTTATTACCGCTCTGTTTAGTGTTTACAGACCTCAAGGGGTCACATGTCGCGTCTGCTTTTGTGTTTACACGTTTCAATCGGGTCTTACTACCGTTCTGTTTTGTGTTTACTGACTTCAATGCGGTCTTATTTAGAACCTGTTTTTGTGTTTACAGACTTCAATGGGGTCTTATTTCGGGTCTGTTTTTGTGTTTACAGGATTCCATGGGGTCTTATTTCGGGTCTGTTCTGTGTTCAGCTGATGTTAATGGTGATGGTTGGGATGATTTACTTGTTGGTGCTCCGTTTTATACCAAAGTTGGCCCGGACGAAGGACGTGTGTGGATTTTCATTAGTCAAAAGAAAGAGCTTCAAGACAAAGTAATGTTATAATATGATCTAATTTATATATGGATGTATTTAAAACCACAATGCTCCAACAGGCAAATAAGCATATATTTTAAACAAGAAACATGTCCCCAGTTTCAGGCGTTAAGTAAGGCCAAAATAAATTATCCGAGTTCCGTCGTAAACTAGAAGTCTAGATGCACCATCTTAACGCTATAGAAGCACTTGTCATGTTCAAAATTTTAAACAAGAAACATGTCCCCAGTTTCAGGCGTTAAGTAAGGCCAAAATAAATTACTCAGTTCCATAGTAAACTAGAAGTCTAGATGCACCATCTTTTCTAACGTTGGTATTTTGATTTTGTTTTCTTAATTAAATAATAAATAATCAACATGAGTGCATATTAGCGTGGATTAAGCCGTGAGAAATGTGATGTTTTAGTGAAAAATGTAAATGGCGTATCCCACAAGAGACCCCAATCTGTTTCACAGAGGATTACGAAAGTCTCCTAATATCCCTGTAAAAAATGACTACCTTCAACACGTGACGTGGCGTGAATCATTGGCTCAATTGCGCGTGCATTTTTTATAAGACCTTACTGGTTCGGGTGGAATGGAGCCTTTTACTCATTTTAATACCCATTTATACTAAATAGGAAATAATTTTTAACTACAAATACGTCAAAGGAAAATAGTTAATAATATTTGTGGCTCATTAAGTCGCATCGATGTCACCCTTATCAGTGATTGTCGCGGCCTAGCGAATATTCACTGCGTATCAGTGTGAAGAGACAGGAATGGAACTTCAAACTCCACTTGCCTATCCCATAAATATTAATACAGTAAGGAAAGAAAGGCCCAACTTTATTTGACTATTCAATGCAGATTAATGTGCAAAAGAATAAAAGCTACATCTTCTAGACTATTCAATATAGGTGAATACAGAAAGATATGAGAGCCCCAACTCGCACTAGACTATAATCAGTATATCCCAATATATTATTATGTAATTAGGAAGGATGAGCTCAAATAGATCAAACTTATTTTCCTGGAATCTTTCTAGAATAATGTATTTCACTTTGTTTGACATTCCAGACTTATTTCCAAAATATGCCTATCATGCTATCCGGGTCCAATACAGCCTTTTCCAGATTCGGATCTTCAATAAGTAATCTTGGTGATGTGAATGGTGATGGTATCGATGGTAAGTAAGATACAACTATGTAAAAATAAGATTGAAAAGAAGAATACAACATTTTATTTTACACACATTCACACACAGGCCTGGAAATACTTATTTAAGTAGTCGCTTGTAGCGGACAAACTTCCAAGCACTAATGAACTACTATCGGTCAATTTGAACTGTGTATCGCACATGTATTGCCAATGTCAGTACCAACATAGAAAGAACAAACGTGTGCCAAATTTTACAGACAACCGGGGAATTGTGTATTAGTGTGTCTGACGTGCATGGTCTCAGATGTGTCCTATTTCCAGGTCTTTTTCACAAACTTAATCTGTCGTCATCAAAAACAAATTCAGTTACGACCTTTTTATTATCAGACAAGTAGTAGATTACCAGTCAAACTTCGTTGATTTTTTCCGATTTTCCCCAACTGCTAAAGACCAACAAAGTGTACCATATGTTATTGGTTCAGCCCCCCCCCTTCTCTCTCGCTCTCGCCTTCTGATATTGTAACTATATATAAAGTGACATAATGTAACCGAATAACAGTAACAGATACGAATTTAGGAGGCTTTAAAGCAGGTTTATAAATACTGACTCAAATGTATTTCTACTCCCATGTCTGTAGATATTGCTGTGGGAGCAAAGGACGAAAACGGAGTTGGAGCTGTATATATTTATCACGGTTCTGCAGATGGACAAATAGTCGAATACTCTCAACGTATCACTGGTGAAATGGTGTCTGAAAATATAACTGGATTTGGATCTCATATATCTAAACCATTAGACGTGGACGACAACGGTTATCCAGGTACAACGTTTTTGTTATTTAAAAAAAAACAACTAGAATTCTTTGTGAACCTTTTTTTTCATAGAACAAACTTATACGGAATACAGTTACATTAGTGATAAATAGTCATTATACTACAGTATTTAATGGTATTACAATAGTGATAAATAGTGATAAATAGTGATAAATAGTCATTATACTACAGTATTTAATGGTATTACAATAGTGATAAACAGTCATTATACTACAGTATTTAATGGTATTACAATTTTCCGGTGCTTTCTCCCCTTGTCTGTGGTGCAGGACGGATGGGGCGGGGGCTGTCAAGAAAGGGTATATCAACCGAGGTCTCGTGTACATGTTAGCATGCACATAAAAGAGCACTTCATAGTTAAAATTCAAATTAAGAGCAGGTCGTTCCGCTGTCAGGGCAAAATTTCAATCACAGTCTAATGTATGGCTATCCCAGCCTTCATTGGCCCAATTTGCTGTTGTACTGAAAATGGTACATGTCAGTGCTATCAATGTAACTACTAATAGTTTTTGTATATTTTGTTTTAGATATTGCTATTGGCTGTATCAGTTCTGACAAGGCCGTTCTATTGAGAACTCGACCAATCATTGACCTGGTTGCAGATTTAAACTTTGACTCCGAACTGATAAATCTCAATAGAACAAATTGTCCGGCTAAAGATGACGCTGAAAGCTGTATAGTTCTTACATTGTGTTTTAATTATTCTCAGATATCGGCCCCGGAACAGATAGGTAAGCATGTACACCAGACCTATCAACATAGGTATATATTATTGATTTAGGTCATTCATCTTTAACAGAAGATTAAGTTTAAAATCCAGTTATCTTTTCTTGATTTAAACAGAAACAACCCAGGTGACTTGTATAAATTCTCTTCCTTCTATATATAGAGAGAGTGGCAGCGTTTAACGTTCATTCAACACATCGTTTGTGCATAGGGATCTTTAGTAGTGGGACTAACCCTGAGAACCCCGGGACAACCCACGAGGTTGGACAGGGTTACTTACTCCGTGTCACGTACAAGCTGGAAATCGAAACCCCCGCCATTTCACTCAAGTTAGACCATTCGACGACCCAACTCCCCTCCTTTTATGAATAACATAAGGCTATTCCACTCCTTGTCATGTACAAGCAAGGAATCGAAACTCTCACCAGTTAGACCATTCAACCACCCACCAACCCTTCTCCATTTATGAATAATATATAAATGTATGTCTATAATGTTCTGTCTCATGATTTATGTTACAGAGATGGATTTTAATATAAGTGTGGATATTTTAAAAAGATCCAGTCTAAGAAGAGTTCAAATACACACTGAAGATGGTTGGTTTAATCAGATATCAGAAAAATTACTAGTCGAACGTGGTAAAAATAACTGCAAAAGATTTGACTTAATAACTCGTATGGTAAGAATTTTTTTATCACAGCTTCGTATGTTAAAACGAAATGAAATTAGATAAATGGGGTTTAGCGTCCTACTTTTCTGCAACAACTGGGCGAATGATGGACCACTGACGCTAGAAAATCCCGGGGAACTGTATCGGTCAATACCGGGATCTAATCCCGGATCGCCTGGTTACTAAACCAGCGTCTTAATCACTGAGCCACCGTGGCCCCGGAGATATGAAAACAGTTGATTTGACACCAAATGAGATCCTTCACATACAATTCGAAACTAAAAATTCTGTATTTTGTTTAATGTAAAAAAAACGTTGTTATTATTTGATTAAAGGAGCCAAACCTCTAACTCAATGTTCTCCATAATTATTCGAAATTAAAAACACGAATTACAACTTAATATTGGTCCATTTGAATCAATATTGAAGCTGTTATCTTGCCTTGAAAATATGAAATTCTAATATCAAATATACAAACTGTGAGTACACGAGTTGTGTATTATATGGTTTCGGGTGCCATTTGTAATAAACAAAGAAAAACATACCCTTCAAGACAATATGCGAGTAAGTAATTAGTAATGACTAAACAGATGTAAACAACCCTCCTTTAATTTAGACTGTTCACGTATTTTCACCGAGCATAATTAATTAGAAATTGCAATAACTGTTTCGAAAATTGGATATACATCCCTTTTAGACCATTTTTCTTCCATTTTATTGTTCCAAAGAATAGAGATATACACCCTTTGAGTACACCATACGAAAAAAGATAGCAATATAAATTCTTACTACTTTATTTGTTTAAGACACATAAAGATGGAGGTTTGAAATCAATAGAAAGAATCGATTCGAATAACATTTGGATAAAAGTGTTGGGTGGTATTTATGTTTTATATCCAAGCTTTATTCTGGTATGTTGGATCGTTTATAATCAACAGAATCATCAACAGTTACATTAGGGGACAAATCGCTTGAGTGGCAACATTATGTTTAAGATAAAACTTCTATTTCTTTTTAAAGGAAGAACGACTACAAGATCCCTTCACTGCCGTAAGAGTTGAAGCTCGGTTTAAATTAAATGAATCTAGTTTTGATCCTGGTGATATAAAACCAATCATCAACCAAACACGGCCCAATGTTTTAACCAAAGATGTGAGTATCATTAAACACGGCCTTCTATTATATTCAAAGATTTGAGTAGGTAGCCCTCTATAATAAATATATGACTTAATCATGTGTTAAATGAGCTTTGAAACGAATCGTATTTTCAATGTGAGCGAAGTACACATTGAGATCCTTCTCAGATCACCACCAATTTCACCACTGGCTTTAATGTTAATTATCATCTCTTTGATCGTCCCTAACTTTTTCACTAAAAAAGCTGAAGACAATTTTGAAAAATCTTTAATCTAAGCTATTAAACGTCAGACTAAAATATACAAAAAATCATCCCTCTTTCGAAAACAAAACGTGTTAGGTAATGAAGGTACTGAAACGCGTAATGAGGTTTAACGCCCTACTTTGATTCACCGACTGGACTAATGAATTCTTGAAATGAAATGGGGCTTATAATGTCCTATGTTTCTGCATCGACTTGGATAATGAATTCCTGACATGAAATGGGGAATAACGCCCTACTTCTCTGCACCGACCGGGCTAATGAATTCGTGACATGTAACGTCCCACCTTTCTACAGCGACTTGGCTAAGGAGGAAGGGGATGGTTTTAACCAAGAAATATACAAGTATGTTATGGATAAACTTAGGCTTTTGAATTTACCGTCGTCGCAGTTGCTGATATTTGTTGCAATGTGTAGTAGACTGGCATCTCATGTGTTCTGTTTATTTTCAGACAAGATTTCAACTTAGTTGTGGTGAGGATAATATATGCGAAGCAGATTTGGGTATCAAAGGAGAATTTGCCTTTTCCGAAGGGGAACTATTTATAACTATTAACCAAACAGAAATTATCAATCTCGATGTCCGTTTAGTAAATTATGGAGAAAATTCTTTTGGAAGTAAAGTGAATTTCTACTGGAACGAAAACTTGTCCTACAGAACAGTTAAGTCATCTCCAAGATGGCCGATAGAATGCACCGGTAAATCTGAGAAAGATCACAATTACAAACTGACATGCACAGTTTTTCCTCCAATCAACAGAAACCAGACTGTTAAGTTCTCTGTGCTCCTGGAGGGAGATGCATTGTCATTGAATAATGCAAAGGTTAACGTCTCTATTCAAGCCCAAACAGCCAGTCCAGAAAACAACAAGGCAAATAACGTAGCTAATTTCTCATCTGATGTTTGGATAGTGGCGTCACCTGGCATAAGTGGGTAAGTCAAGGTCAAGGTCAAGGTCATGAAATACATTGGTATATTTCCGTTAAATTCATTCCTTTTTTAAAATGAAAAAAAAAATACGTTATTGTATTTAGATCACGTATGCTTTCTGTGTGTATAGTTGTTCTGCGCGTATATTCCCTATACATCGCCAATAGGACCAGCTAACCCCGCGATCCCCCACAAGTAACCAGAATATGGTCTGATACTACAACATATTTCTATATTTTAGTAGGGTATGTAAAAATAGTCAAAAAACATTGATTTATTTTTTTTATTAGATCCCTCTTAGCAATTCTTACAGATACATTCTTGGATGTGATTGTTCTCTGTCTGGCCCCCCTCATTCCCTCTTAAAGATATATTCCCAGGTTTGATTGCTTCCCCCTCAATCAGTCTTAAAAATACGTTCGGTCATTGGATTGCCGCCCCTCACCCCCTCACCCCCTTAAAGATACATTCCCACGCTTGATTGGCTCCCCCTCAATCTATCTTAAAGATACATTCCCACGTTTGATTGCTTCCCCCCAATCCGTTTTAAAGATATGTTCGGCCGTTTGATTCCCCCCTCCCCGCCCCTCAAGCCCGATACATTCCCACGTTTGATTGACTTTTCCGCAATCTGTCTTAAAGATACATTCCCACGTTTGATTGACCCCGCCTCAATCTGTCTTAACTAAATGAAAGGAACTATGGTTTAACATCTAATGTTTTCTGCACCGACTGAACTTATGAAGACGGGCATACGTCAACTACAGAATGATCTTTAACGTGCTGATAATGAATGGTCTTTAGCATCATCCGACGACTAAATGATGCTCCTTGCGTGGCCCTACGCCATGTACCACTGATCATAAAACACAAGGCTGATAAATTTAAAACGATAGCATATTGACAAGCCCTAACGTAACCTTTTTCTAATATAAAATAAAGAATTATAAGGCTCTATGCGCCATTTGCATTTTCGCCATTATATCAAATTTCTCATGACTTAAAACACGCTAAAAGGGTACTTAGTGCGATTATTTAACATCTAATTAAGAAAACAAAATGAAAATATCCACGCTAGATAATATCACGGCTTTGATTGAACTAGGCCCATTAAGTATCTCCTCTGTCAATACAAGATGGCGATGCTCTGTTACGCTCGACCGTCATCATTATATAAGTCGGGGCAGAACAGCAGAACGTTAAACCCCATTTCATTTCATTTCATTTCATGTTACGTTCGAGCAGCACAGGTCGATGAAATTTCCATTGATCAAAACTTTGTAAACACTGAACCGAATTCATCAAATTTTGGACTGATATTCCTATTGGAGATTCAACTTTCACAAAAAAGAGATTTAGATACCGATATATAACGCATTGAGCCGTTGAGCGCTCCCAAATTCATGTGTATGTTTTTTTTTATTTCTGCAATAGAAATCCTACCCACCGGAGTTGTCTGTCAAAACGGAAGAAGATCCCAGCTTACAAAATCTAACAATCATCCATAAATATTTGATGATAAATAATGGGCCTAGTTTTCTTCCATCAACTTATGTAACAATCCAGTTACCTTATCTGTACCAAACAGGTGAAAAGCTTGTAGAATCTGCCATTGCTAAAGTAAGTACTTGATTCATTTGGTTTATTACATTACTCGCATTATCCACGAACCGTACCGAGGAAGAAGTGACGACGCCTTGCAGTGGGAAAATAAGCCCGCTAGTGGCGTTTCCGACTATTCTTAGTCGAAAATTAACTGCCAGGGCTTCGGTTAGATGCGCTCCAACGCTACCCCTGACCAGGCCCGTGTCCTGTAACACATCTGGAAATGACTAACTCGGTGAAGACACGACTGGGTCCTCTGTCCTGCAACATCCTGACTAACACGGTGAAGGCCTGGACCGAGCCCGTGACCTCCTGTTGAGTGGGGTACCGTGGCTTAAACGTGTGGCCTAAATGACGATGTTCAGCGAACGTGCACCCAATTAACAACAAGAGGACTTCTTGTGTCATTATCACCCAGTATAATCAATGAATTTGAATTTCACACTAAATGTTGGATTTAACTCCGAGAACATTGACCTTATTTGAAGTCCAATCTTAGTAAACCTTTTGTTACATGCTCAGAACATACAAATTGAGATAAAATTTAAAAAAAAAACACTTGGTAAGCAATTTGTTCTAGGTTTCCTATAGCCGAAGTCATAGATTGGCTAGACCGAAATGTTGTAATGAAGTTTATCAAAGTAATGCGTCTGTTTTAGATTAAAACTGAAAGTGGGGAAGAAGTGAATTGTAGTTTATCGTATAAATCATCTCAGGGTGGTAACACACGACCCTCCACGACAACCAGCACAATGACTACCACGACGACCGCTGGTACAAGCGTTCAAGCCGACACAATCACCACTCAAACAACCACCGAATCCACAACTGTAACAACAACGACCGCTGGCAAAAATCACAATATTCCAGACGTAGCCCCTAGTCGTAAACGGCGAGAAGCGTCCGATAAAAAGAAAGATATGGAAGACAATGCACACCATTTGGTATGTTATTAAGTAGGCAGACAATCTCCTTCCACTGCCTGATCTCCTACTGTTGCTATAATTATACATGTATACCTATATCTTCCAACTTACAATAACACGAATTTAATAATAAAGTATTTATGCTGCATATTTAACGTTTTGAAAATTGTTTGACCAAAATGTTCTTTATAAAATATTTAGGCTTCATATTTAAACTTAAATCTGTTGGGGCTTTAATATTCTGGATATTGTTATTGTTATTTAAATTTGTTGGTTTTTTCCTAGGATTGTAACAATTATTATTGTGGTGAGATGTTATGTAAACTTCCTGAATCACTTCAACCTAGAGAAAGCATCATGGTCGATCTAACTATTGTCATGAATATTAAAGATCTCCCGTTCAAGGTAATCTAACTATTGTCATGAATATTAAAGATCTCCCGTTCAAGGTAATCTAACTATTGTCATGAATATTAAAGATCTCCCCTTAAAGGTAATCTAACTATTGTCATGAATATTAAAGATCTCCCCTTCAAGGTAATCTATAGAACTATTGTCATGAATAACTATTGTCGTGTTATAAATAATACCATTTATTACAGGATCATGATGTAATGAAATATATGACCACGGCAACCGTTCTACAGCCCAGTCATTTACTATTTCTACCTTGGAATGGAGATAAAGAAGGACAGGTAAATAGGTTGATTTCATTATTTCTTTTGACAGTTGTAGTAATGCATTCCCGACTAACACATGATGCAAATATAACAATATAACGATGCAGATTCGTTGTTTGTTTTTCTTATTTTTTTGTTGTCCTACTTTTGTGCACCAACCGGGATAATACAGACAGAAAAATTGTGCATAATAGGTTTTAGATAGGTATATTACATTTGACATCGCCAAATAACAATTATTTGATATCTCCCCCACATAGAAACTTTTGATATTATATCTCGCCCCACATAAAAATTACTTGATAACTCTCCCATATAGAAACTACTTGATGATACCCCCCCCCCCCCAACACACATAAAAATTACTTGATATCTCCACCACATAGAAACTACTTGATATTCCCCCGGCCCCTTATATCCCCCACATAAAAATTACTTGATATCTCCCCAACATAGAAATTACTTGACATTCCCCCCATATACAAACTACTTGATATCTCCCCCACATAAAAATTACTTGATATACCCCCACACCCACATTGAAATTATGATATATCTACCACATATAGAAATTACTTGATATCTCCTCCACACCCCCATAGAAATTATTTTATATCTACCACATAATAGAAATTACTTGATATCTTCCCCACATATTGAAAAATCGATATATCCCCCAAATAGATATGGCTACTTTACTCAACCCGGAATATATCCCTATACTGATTTGTTTGGAACAAATTGGTTTCTATTTTTATTCATTTTATTTATATAAATATTTAAAACATTATCACCCCTATTATTCAGGTATCGACCCCGATATTTAAAGAATATGGTAGTTCTGGTGTAAATATATGGATACCAATTGGTAGTGTTATAGGAGCTTTGTGTCTACTTGTTTTATTGGCCATTATTCTTAGAAAGGTAAGATATATGAATGAATGGATGAATGAAAACTTCATACTTTTCTATAGCGACCAGGCTAATGAAGACAGACATTCGTCACATTATGCCCGAACAGCAATTGAATTCCAATTATTAAGGGGCAATGTTATACGTGCACTCGGAACATCGGGGTTTTATTTATTATAAATCTAAAATCATTGTATTATAATTCAATGAAATATTCTAATACCAAGTATAAAAATGAGTGGGAATTCTTTAAATCAGAAGTGGTATCGAGTGTTCTAGTGTAGTTATAACGCTTCTATATTACAGTGTGGGTTCTTTAAGAGGGAAAAGAAAGATGCTCTACAGAAGTGGAAGAGAGAAAGTGGATATTACAAGAGAACGAGTTCTAGAAACCCTAACAACCAAACTTCATAAATAACATTCTAGTGTATTTAATGTATGACTTATGCAAATTTTGCATACAACATTAAATTCATTTCAAGTTTAGGTAAACCTGCAAGCATGTCTTCTAGATAATATTAAATTCATTGATAAATTTATAAATATTTAAAAGTTTAAACAGCCTACAGAAAACACGCCTCGCCCTTATTTGATTATCTCTCTTGTATGAATATACTAGATAAAAGGCATAATACAGAGTTATTTTAAATTCCATATCTACTGAATACATCTTTAATATCAGCTTTTCATTTTTTAATAAAACCAAGAAGGTTTATATATTTTTAATTTTTTTTTTAATGTACCGTTTTTTTGTTGTTTTTTTTTTGTATAATATACTATTTTTTTCTGAGATTTAAATATATGTAATACGATGCATGTTTAATATCACCTTTTCATTTTTTAATAAAACCAAGAAGGTTTTTATATTTTTCTTCTTTTATTATATACCGCTTTTGTATAATATACTAATTTGTTTTCTTAAATTTAAATATATGTAATAAGATGCAAATATTATGATAGTTTTTTTTTAAAAGGACGAAATAATATTGTTTTTTAAATTATGTTTCTTATATTTTTATAATGCATGTGGTCGACGTAATTAAATAATTTAAACCTACTATACTAATGACCAAAAGAAAGTATACACTGTGCATTTCATGCTGCATCAACTAAAGTCGTTTTCCATTGTATGCGGTATTTGGGTACTATCTCAATCTGTTTCACTTTTTTTATTTTGTTTAGAAATGAAATGAAATGGGGTTTAACGTCCTACATTTTGTTTAGAAATGTTAAGTTTGGACGCAAGAGACTCTCAGTAAAGTTTTATCAATTGTTTTTAATCTAAATAAAACTTATTCCTATTTTTAGTGTGTATACCTTCTTTTGGATATTAGTATATATGAAATAAAAATAAAGTACACATACATATATATCAAAATTAAAAACTGTTCAAATCCTTTAAAGAGGCATTATCCAAGAGCTAACTCTACTTTGTTTACGACCTTCATATGTTATATTATTATAATTTAGACATTTATTTATATGCTAAGTCCATAATCAACTACCTAGAAAAACCGATGGCATATATATTGATTGGATTAGAAAACAGCCGCCATATTGTCCTTAAACGATATGGACACAACTCATGGAGATTGTCGATTGAAAAATACAATCGAGATAATTATGCGTTTTATTATCAAAACTGTCAAACACCCATGGCTTCGTTCAGAATTAAGTAATTTGGGCGCCCTGGGTTTATTTGGAATATGATAGTGTATAAAATTAATTACGTTTATTTTCTTGTTAAAAGTGATAATTCCTCATTAAATATTTTAAACAGTATTACATCAACTGAACTATAACATTTATATAATTGTTTCCAGATTTATATAACAATGTTTAATTATAGATATATATCTATATATATAACTGTCGGGTTGCCAGTTAGTGATACCCTGACATTTTTGCCCAGTGCTTTGTTTTTTCGGGTAATCCAGTATTTATCTAGTAAGTTAATACACAGTAGGTTGATTACTTTCAAGAGTTCTTGAATGAAAATATTAAAGTAATGAAACTAAAGCAAAGAAAACTAGAATTGGAAATTAAAAAAATAGAAAATTAATAATAAATAACTTCATGACCAGACATATTAGTTTTTTTTTATGAAAATGGGCAATAAATAAATAAATCCATGTACTTCATTGGATTTCTATGTTTGGTATATAAAATCATATTTAAGTATAAACCTGTCAATACCCTCGAACCACATGAAATTAATTTACGAATTGTCAATTCAGAAAGATTTATGGTTTTTATTATTCGGAATTCGTCGTCACGATTCATGTTTGTTTATGATAATGCATGATTTATAGGATTTATTTCGGGAAGGGGCGTAACTCTTTCTTTGCATGCGTAAACGGGAATTTTTGTATGCGGTTGATTATCCAGTTCGTCAAATATTGACAACTGATCCGGACTCTCCATACGGTGAGGACTAGGCGTTCTGGGTGTCCGTGACTAATTACACTTAATCGTTTTATCAATAATTTGTTACTTGATTAAACCAATACAACACCCATAATTAGGGCACGATTCAAAATATTTATGTATTAAAATTTCTATAAATTTTGAAACTAAGATAGAAATCGAAAGTAGTATGTAAGTTAAACTCAAACTAAAGCATACAAAAGGTAAACAAATAAATCTACACCCGCCTACTCTGGTATATCAAAACTACAAATAACAGTTTTATCAATAACAGAGCCTATGAGTAATTTATTATTGAACACAATGGCAGTCGCAGATCCCGATATAAGATCACCATCATCATAAAACAGCTCCTTTGTTCCAGTAACATTACCGTCTTTCATTTCCAATTTCAAAACCTGAAAGTAATTTTAACAGATTAGCATGGGGCCAGAAGGCAAAAATCTAATTGAAGAGTCCAGGGGAAGAACGATCTAAGTCACATTTTTGTCTTTTCGCATAAAAGGCAAAACAAACTTTTGGACGAGAATCCTTGACGCGAACAGAACAACGAGTGGGTTCAATCACAACTTCAAATGTTGTTTAATATGAATCATAATTACAAGTACAACAACTGACTTCCACTTTCAGCCAAATTAGAGTCAAATAAAGGGTACGATGGAGGTCATTTCAGAAGGACCTTGGTTCAATGTGACTCCGATCGTTTTTACCTGAAAATGATTGTTCCACAGAAAGCTTATACAATTTGCTACCCGATGGCGCCATTAACTGGGGTTCGTTGAAAGTGTAACTTATCTCGTTCTTCCCCGGGACTCTTCAATTGTAAAACACATTTAGTCTGATCTGATAAGCCAAGAGGTTTTTTTTTTAAAGTCGTGTAAAAAATTACATTTTAGAAGTTATGAAAATAAAATTACATTTTAGAAGTTAAATGAAAATAAAATTACATTTTAGAAGTTAATTGAAAATAAAATTACATTTTAGAAGTTATGAAAATAAAATTACATATTCAGACAGAATAAAGATATGCTTTCTATCATAGAACCTGTTTTTGGCCCCACTACGATTAGAAGCACCGGAAATAAGTTTAGACTTGATGTGCACACCATGTTCGCTTGCCATAAAGTCGGTGGTTAAAACAAAAAAGCAAGGTATTACTTTATCTCTGGGGGCATAATAATATCATAGTTCAAAGACCATATACATTTAGTACCTGTGATGGTGTTCGGTAGACTTGAGGATTGTCTAAATGTCGTGCTAGTTGATATTTAATAGGATGCGAGCCAATATACAGATGATCTGTCTTCATATCCACAATAATGTTATCTATAAACGTGTATAAAGGATAAACCTACAATCAGAAAACAAAAACTAAAACATACACACACACAAATCTACATACACACCCACACGCGCATCAAAACCCCAAATGGCATTCGTGTAAGTGTAGGGGTGGGGAGAGGGCATTCTGAAAGTAGGATTGGTTATTCCCATTCAGATTTAGAGCCACACAATCCTCTGAGATATGTCGATAGTTGCAAAATCAAAATTCGTTTAAATGAGTTTCATGCCAGGTTCCCACTGTCGTGCGATGCGTTACAATAGTATTGTCTCTATTGAGTCTACGATCCGGTACGTGTAAATACGTTTGGATACGTTTCAATACGATCAACACAATTGCTACGACTGACCTCAATATATGATTAGACATGATTTTAATCGTAGCACGAATCGTGATAGTGGGGAACTAGCATTAACGATTTTGTCCTGAAAAAGGTTTACGAGACTTCGGCGACTGGAACAACATTCGGTAAATATTGATATATGGTTTTTTGAACGTGGACACGGTTGCTCTTAATGCTTTAATCGGAAATCGCGTGATCAGTAGAGCGTTTAAAATTGTTCTCTTTTATCAGGCTCAGAAACCTTTTTCAACCCATCAACAGGTTGATTAAACCTAATTTAACATTGAATAACCTGTTTAATAAACTCGACATTCGACATCCGACGTGTCAGTATATTTTTAGTCTAAATAAACATTGAATAACATGTCTAATAAACTCGACATTCGACATCCGACATGTCAGTATATTGTTAGCCTAATTAAATCAACATTCGAAATCTCAAGTGTAAGTATATTGTTAGCCTCCTTGTATAATGGCTTACCTGTTTAATAATTAAATCGTTATTGGCCTCCCTCTTGGCTACAACCAGTTCTCTTGCATCATGGTTACTGATATAAATATATCTAAAACAAAATTACTATCAATAAAAAGAAACCCATTGTGGAAAAATAAATCAATTAAATGACCGAATTAAGAATTTACTTTTCGGTCAATTTCCATATATAGGATTGTAACCATATAAACGTAAGTACCATAAAATCCTATTTTGTCCTGTGCAAAATCAATCAATATTTTTTTTTATCGCAATAAAGCTAGATATAATTATATTTTCTTGGAAAAACTATAGTATACAAAACAAAGCAAAGTTTTGTAGTACGACATACGTTTATATAGAGAGACATAGCCATATTATCAAAATATATCTCAATATTCTTATCTCCCTACATCATATACCGTTAGAAAAGGCCATACCATCAAATACCACTCTATAGTTACCATCAAAATACACCTCAATATTCTTACCCCCCAACACCATATACAGCTATACTGTTTGAAAAGACCATACCACCATTAAATACCATTCTACAGTTACCATCAAAATAGACCTCGATATGCTTACCGCTGTACATCACACAGTTATACCCTTAGAAAAGTCCATACCATCAAATACCACTCTACATTGCTGTTATTGTCTCCCTACGTCACATACAGTTATACCGTTAGAAATACCATCAAATACCACTCTACAGTTACCATCAAAACATACCACAATATTCTTCCCTCTCTACATCACATACAGTTATACTGTTAGATAAGGCCATACCATCAAATACCACTCTATAGTTACCATCAAAATATACCACAATATTCTTACCTCTCTACATCACATACAGTTACACCGTTAGAAAAGGCCATAATACCACTCTACAGTTACCATCAAAATATACCTTACCTCGAAACCATTAGGCATACTATATAACACAAATCTGTAATCTTTGAAATTATACCACGTTATTCATACCTGCCATCATTAGACATAGCTATACCATTAGACATAGCCATACCATCTAGTACTATCCTATAGTAACTTCCATCGAAATATACAACAGTGGTCCAACGGAGCAGTGCTAAGCTCTGCATTAATTTTATTTCAGGGTTATGTCCAGTTCCAAAATTAGTAAAATAAAAGCTATCATCACTTGTTGCTTGTACATCGTTTACTCTGAAATATATAGTTTTAAGAACACATGTTTAAAATGTGCCCTACATTAACCGATTTAGATCGGAGGCTCAGCGCGGGGGGGGGGGGGGTCCATCAAATGGGCACAAAACCAGACCCAACTTTTCTAGAGTAAAATTTTGCGTAGAATACGATGCCGAGTGGTAATCAGTCCACCGTTGGGGCGTTTTCGAGATATTCGGGGTCAAAGGTCATTTGCACTGAAAGTGAATGCGCAGTCATTCTTTTATTATGAAAAGAAGGTGAAAATGATCAAAGGTAATCACACTTTCAATAAAAATGTAAACTTGCTAAATTCACCTTTAGTCTTAGTGACCCTGGAGGTCAAAAGGTGAAATTTACCGTTTTTGCAAGAGGAAGACTTAAAGCAATAAAATGGCAACGTAAAATATAAGAATTAAAGCGAAACCTGTTCTAATTAATAATAGGAACATTTCAAATTTATCTTTAGGTGGTCTTAGCACTGAGCTTTTACTTTGGAACGTCGAAAATGATCTTGCATAACAGAACCAACACATTTTGAAACCTGTTTCAAAAATACGCAAAAACTGACAAATCGAAATCTCTCCGATTTATTTTCACAACGATTGTTATGCATAATGATACTAGTTATGTGAAAAACAATTGAATAGTTTCAGTGTTGGACTCCAGCCTGCAGGCCGCGTGGATTTCCGAGAATCCCAGTCTAGGAAACCGACCTTAATCTGTGACGGGAAAACACGCATCTGGCGACGAGATTAAAAGTTTGCAAATTTTTTATGAGTTTTTATGAATTTCGCCGGAACATGGACGCAGATAAAACCGACGAATGCATTGTACATAGTAGTTCACAGAATATATATGTCGTATTGGTAAATGTTAGCGGGGAAAATTTTAGCAGGCTTTGTGACGCGGCCTGCAGGTTGGAGTCCAGCCATGGAACTATTTAATTGTTTTTTTCAGACAACTAGTATCATTATGTATAGCATTCGTTGTAAAACTAATTCGGAGAGATTTTGATTTAACAGTTTTTACGTATTTTTGAAACAGGCCCCGAAGCGTTTTGGTTCTGTTATGCAAGATTTTTTTCGACGTTCCAAAGTAAAAGTTTGGTGCTAAGACCACCTAAAGATAAATTTTAAATGTTCCTATTATTAATTAGAACAGGTTTCGCTTTAGTTTTTATATTTTACGCCGACATTTATTACTTTAAATCGTCCTAGTGCTAAAACGGAAAATGTGACCTTTTGACCTCTGGGGTCACAAAGAACAAAGGTGAATTTAGCAAGTTTACATTTTTATTGAAAGTGTGATTACTTTCGATCATTTTCAGCTTATTTTCATGATGCAAGAATGACCGCGCATTCACTTTCAGTGCAAATGAGCCCATTTGACCTTTGACCCCGAATATCTCTAAAACGCCCAACGGCGGACTGATTACCACTTCTTCAAGAAATGTGATACCACATCACGTGTCTAACAGTCTAACATATATAACTTACAGTAACATCGTATCATCACGATATCGTTTAATAAGTTTATATAACTTATAGTGTAGCATCGTATCATCACGATATCGTTTATATATATAACTTACAGTAACATCGTATCATCACGATATCGTTTAATATGTTTATATAACTTAGTGTAGCATCGTATCATCACGATATCGTTTATATATATAACTTACAGTAACATCGTATCATCACGATATCGTTTAACATGTTAATATAACTTACAATAACATCGTATCATCACGATATCGTTTATATATATAACTTACAGTAACATCGTATCATCACGATATCGTTTAATATGTTTATATAACTTAGTGTAGCATCGTATCATCACGATATCGTTTATATATATAACTTACAGTAACATCGTATCATCACGATATCGTTTAACATGTTAATATAACTTACATTAACATCGTATCATCACGATATCGTTTATATATATAACTTACAGTAACATCGTATCATCACGATATCGTTTAATATGTTTCAGTTGCTTTTTCCCAGGAACAAATTCAAACTTTTCTATATAATCAACTCCCAGTCGTTCATGGTTCACCACAAATAATATCTTCGTGCCTGTAAATCAATAAATACATTTGGTAGTAAAATGGTTCCGTATGGCAACACTGTAAAATTCAAATCAGTTTTACAATATTAACGTTATTAATAAAGATACATTATGTAAGATTTAGGAGTTTAACGTCCTACTGTTCTGCTCCTAACCTGGGCTAATGAAGACGGGCATACGCCATACAGTGTGCTATGAGGGAAATTTTGCCCGGACAGCGGCACTACGGCCTACTCTTATATCGAATTCCAACTGCCAAGGGATCTTTTACGTGCACGCCAATGTGTACACGGGACCTCGGTTTTTCGTCCCATCCGAACGACTAGACAGCTTTCCTTGTCAGCCCCTCCGTCCTGCATCACTGACAAGGGAGAACCACGCCGGAAAATCTGGATGAACTTTCTCGGCCAATGCAGGGATCGAACACCCGACCTCCAGGCTAGCGAGCTAGCGTCTTACCCACTTAGCCACGTGATCCCCTGTAAGATTTAGATTCAAAAATAGATAATGTAAAATGAATAAATTGAAAATTTCATTCAAATTACTCTATTGCGAGCGAAGGTATTAGCCTCTGAAGGTTTGACAAAACGTGTGCAATAATTTTGACCACCGTACTGGTTGTTCGAAGCTAAGTCTCGCTCCTCCATTTTAAGCTTAAATCAAAATATGGCTGAACTGTTCTAAGCTTTTTAATATGGGAGAAATCCGATGCCACCGAGAGTTGATTATGGCCTGGATAAGTTAATTAATGTCTAATTAATAATTTAGAAAATATTTCAGGCCTTGCATAAGGTATGTTAAATGGTGAAAAGTTGATATGACACATGATGACAACGATTACTTATTAAGAAAAACTCTTCATACCAAAATTAGTCTGAATGCGTTGTCAACATTTGAGAATAATAGGTCATTCCGATCTTTTACATTATTATAAACAATGTCTAAGGGAGGTTACTAGTGCTAATACAAAATGCCGACGCCGATAAAATTAATTTAAGCATGACATTTCAGAAAATCCATTGGACTGCATTGTCTGTTCAATATCCAACACCCTTAATTTTCTTTTATTGTAACATTTCTCAGTTCATTTGTCATATCTATGGTTTTTAATCAATCCTAATTCGTCGTCACGATTCATGTTTGTTTATAATAATGAAAGAATTGTGGGATTTATTGTGTGAAGCGGGGCATGTTCAATGGAACTTTTCGTCAAATATTGACAACGGCCCAGACCCTCCGTACGCTGAAGACTGGGAGGTTCTGGGTGACCGTGACTAGATGTTCAATCCGTTTCAGACCCCACAAAATCACAGTTTCTTTGCTCATGTTCTTATGTTCACTTCTTTCTGTTTAGCGGCCCGGTAATGGACGTTATTGCAGCAGTGAATGCTAGATTACAGTCCTGACTGCCCCGAAAAGTCTTCAGAATTTTTCAATTTGACAAGCAAATCCTGCTTGTTTTCGTGCAGCTATTGTATTAGTTCTACGGTTGATCTGACTCAACAAGTGTTTATGGGTGGCCGTCTCTGGACAAACTCCCCCCTCCCCCCGCCCCACATCTGGTTCCAAATACGTAAAACCGGCACCACCTAATCGATCGCACACGACTTACTATACATTTAGCCTAACTAGAAAAATTATAACTAAATACACTAGACGATCCTACCTGATTTATTCAGCCAACCACTGATTCCATGAGGATGGAATAATTTGACATTAAAACCACCATTAGTTCCTACTATAGACAGTTCATCTACTTTCGCTTTATTCTTGTTGAAATCAAATAAATATATTCTACCCAACATATTATGTTTAACCATATATTCTCGCTTATGTACGGATTCATTTTGTATAGCAAACCCCTGCAATTAAAACAGTATTTAAAATTACCAAACAAAAACACATTTCGTATAGCGTATGAGAGAGGGAGAGAGAGAGAGAGAGAGAGAGAGAGAAAGCGAGAGAGAGAGAGAGAGAGAGAGAGAGTTTAACGTCCATTCGACAAAAGCCAGGTCATTTCGGGACTAACATATGGTTTAATTTTTATTTCAATAATTCGCTTGCGCGTAGTTATCTTTAGCAGTGGGGTGGAAAATGGGGGATTCCGGAGAAAACCCACAAGGTTGGACAGGCGACCCTACTCCTTGGTACGTACAACCGGGGATTCGAGACCACGCCAGTTGACTCAATGACAGGCCTTACGATACAATGCGTCCGTGCTAGCCATTCGGCCATCCACCCCACCCCCACCCCCATTTCGTATAGCAAACCCCCGCAAATGTATCAAACTATCCAATGCTCCACATAGTAATTCAAATATCTATGCGGTTTAAATCTGTTGCCGTTTAATCAGACTTTAGATACTTATCGTGCGCAACCCTCTGGAGCAATTTATTTATCTCTCGATAGTATCGAAATTTTAAAACACGAATATATTTGTCCAATTCCATCAATAGTGATGTTAATAATATTTTGCTTGGAAAATATGAGATTCTAATATCCAACATTTAAGATACAATAAACATTTTATAATCATACACTAGTCGTGTATTTCATGGTTTCATGCGCCATTTGTATACAGAAAAAAAAAGATTTCGATACGTAATTAATTAGTAATGGCTGATTCACAAACGACAAATAATACAAAAAAACTGTAAAAAGAACCAAGCAGGTGTAAACGACTGTCGTTCTGTGTTAAAAATTGAATATTAACCATACATTCAAATAACATTAATATGTGCTTTTAGGCCAATTTTAAGGTTCCAAAGTATAGAGCCATACGCCTTTTAAACCCATTAATTTATTTGATAGACGCTGACGAAGTTAAATACCTTTGTCCGTTTTAATATCTAAACAATCTGTTTACAGGTCTAGCGACATTTGTATTTTCTGTGTGTAAAATAGGGGGTAGGATACCCTACTAATATTTAAAGTAGTCACGTCTTTAACTCAGTATCATCTGCATCCACAGTCTATGTGAGTTTAACACAGTAGTGATGTTGTTATTTTACTGTGAAAAGATGAGCTTCTGATATCCAATATTTAAGACACAGTGAACATTTTACAATTGGCACACGAATCGTGTATCAGGATGCATTTGAGCGCCATTTGTAATGACGCGAGTCGATGAACGAGGCTAAACATACACCATGGGAGAATACTACTGGTGTAGACTGGAATAACTACTCTTCGCGTATTTCGTCGAACATAACTGATTAGAAATTACAGTAAAAACAGAAACGATTGAATGTAATTCAGTTTATGTACATTCATATTAGTATTACGTGCACATTATTATATGTTTTGCGACCCATTTGTGTCAATTTCTAGGTGGCAAAGATTAAAGAATCGGTGCCTTTAAAGCTCGGTGCCTTTCAACCATGATTGAATACAAGTATATTTTTTAAAGCAATTGTTAACCTAACCGGATTTGTGTATATGATCAGCCAACGTTATCAGCCAAATGCTGGTGTGTTCCATGTTATGTTTTGGTGTGTCAATTTCTAGATACTATAATGCTTGGAATAATAACAAGACATCCATGGATTATGTTGGAATGTACGCAAATCTTGATTAAACTCTCTTACCGATGTTATGAACGTTAGTCCATCAGGAAATGTGTGAAAATCCTCGGACCCAAGACCTGGAAAGAAAGTAAGATCACGATATTTACATTATGCAAGAGCTAAATCTGTCTATTGCAGGTCTTTCTTTTGGCCTGAAATGTTATCTAAATTATTAATTAGACATTAATTAACCTATCCAGACCATAATCAATTCTAGATGGCATCGCTAGCCTGCAATCTTTAGTGGAATGTGAGCCGATTTACTGCATAACGTTCCTTCACGATTTAACGATTAAATGGATAATCGAGACTATGCCGTTTATTGTACTGACTTTAGTAATGATGATCGAGGCTAGGCGTAAATTTCAATGCCTTAGTTCCCGGTTCAAAGTGGATCAATTTGAATGGAATTTTCAGCAAATTGCCTTTACATTATTTAGTTTTTAACTATTATAGTGAGAACTGCCAACTCGTTATCGAATCTCCCATAACGTGTCTTTAAAGATAGTTAGAGCTATAAAATAGACCTGGTTTTGTGAACTGGTCGTTTAATATGTTGTCTTTTTATAAGAAGGCATATTGGAAAACCCTTTGATGGTTTACACGGATTTGATTTAGGTACTTTAAGTTGTTTTAACTGACTTGAGTTTTAACATTCGTACAATATTTATCTCTATGCACATTCCATGAAGATTTTGTCACAAAGATAAAGTGATGTCGAGACTCATACCACTTTATTTAGTTAAAGATGCCTTATGGGGGATTAAATAAAGAGCTGACAGTTCTCACTAAGATATTTGTCTACGATATCACCTTAGGTGGAAGTGGACGTAAAACACCAGAAACGAACGAAACGAACGAACACTATAATATTGAAAAACTAGATAATGTAAAGGGAATTTGCGGAACATTTCAGTCAAATTGTTCCACTCTGAACTGAGATTTTAGCGACTGAATTTTCGGCGTAACCTCGATCATCATTACTAAAGTCGGTAAAAAACATAGTCTCGATTATCCATTTCATGATTAAATCATGAATGAGAGTCCTACAGCAAATCGGAACCTAATCCAATAAACATAGCAGGCTAACGATGAAATCGAGAGTTGATTATGGTCTGGATAAATTAATTAATGTATAATTAATAATTTAGATTACATTTAAGGCCTAAAGAGAGATCTGCACTAGGCAGATTTAGCTCTTGCATAATGTATGTTCAAACAACAGTACATAGTCTAGTATCATAACAATGTGAGATAGCCTACAACCGAGTATCTTTCTCTCTCTCTCTCGCCCCCCCCCCCCATCGCCAAGGGAACACTATCCATCCATGTACAGGGTCTCAGACCACTATATATACACACCATGGCTTTAACACAATACAACCAACCCCACAGATAACAAAAACAATAACTTTTTAGTAGCTGGTACAGTGATTGTGGGTCGTCGAGGCCTTTAATACTATAAACCTAATATCTCATCACATTTTAACCACATCGTAAAACTGCCTTATTGTGTTAAAACAGTTTGTTAAACTATTTATATCACTTTATTGCAAAAATGTTTTTGTGGGACGAAAGGCGCCATATTAAATCTTAGCTCATTCCGTAAAGACGAGAAGCAATAACTATGATTCATCAACGGCACTTACCCATGTCAGTTCTTAAAGGCTACAAGCAATAACTATGCGTCACTTACCCATGTCTTTAATTTGTTCACACTCTCCAGGATAATGTTGGTAATAATGTAAATGGAAGCCCAATAGGTACCTAGAATGAAAAATGAAGACGAACATACGCAATACAGTGTTCTACGACCTACTCTTATATCGGAATCTGCCAAGGGATCTTTTACGTGCATGCCAATGTGTACACGGAACCTCGGGTTTTCGTCCTATTCCGAACGACTATACGTTGTCCCCGTCTAGGTCTTCTGTCCTGCTCCACTGGCCAGGACGAAACACGCCAGACATCCGATGAACTTTCTTGACCGATACAAAAAAGGGATCGAATACAGAACCTAAAGGTTAGCTAGTGAACGTCTTACTCACGACTTGGCCATTGAAAACGGACATACACCATACAGTGTGCTAGATGGAAATGTTGCCCAGACAATGGGGCTACGACCTACTCTGACGTTAAACCCCATTTCATTTTATATCGATTTCCAACTGTCAATGGAGTTTTACGTGCATGCCAATGTGTACTCGGAACCTCGGTTTTTGGTCCCATTCGAACGACTACACGTTGTCACTTGCCTCTGTCCTGCACCACTGACAAGGAGGAACCACGCCGGAAAATCCCGATCGAAAACCTCCATGGCCTCAAGGTTAGCGAGACAACCTCTTACTCAAAGAGCCTCTGTAGCTCCAATGAAAAGAATGAAACCACGCACTTCTTGGTGTTTAAATAAATGGCAAAAAGTAAACCCACGACAAAGAAGGGATGTAGTAAGTCCAGTGGTTTAGTACAGGGATGGGAATATGTCGGGTTCGAATCCCGGCGTGGGCAGAGAAGAATCATTTACATCATTTCATGCCAAATGACAAATCTTAGCTGTCTGTCTTGTATGTGTGCATGTTTTTTTTTTATTTAAACAATATTTTATTCACGGGATATTGAAACAAGCCAATGGTTAATATAAATCGGCTTCCTAAAAGCAAGATACATAAATGATATAAAAATATATTATTATCAATATTCATGTATATGGAGTGTTAAATTACATAACATAATCAGATTAGAGGAAAAAATAATCAAGGACCAACAAAGGGTGTATTATTTTACGAGGGGTGGGGGTTGGGTGGGGTTGATTTGTCTAGGGCGGTTGTAAATGACAATGTAGCGAAATAATCCTGTTTGTGACGAGTGGACGTTAAACTCCATATTTAACTTGCTCCACTTTAGATCAGTTTATAATCCTGAATATTAAATACGTTATAATTGTGGAAGATAAAGTAAACATAGTCCTACTTACACTACTTTGATAATGTGCTGCACCAAGAACAAGAACAATGATACAAAAATTAATTTCATCAACATTTTAAATCAATTCTTTAATTTGGCTAATCCAAAAGTAATCCTAAATTCTTTGACGTATCTATTTACGCAATGGCTGTGGTTTTATTATATCCCAACTTCCCTCGCGCCTTTATGGCAAACTAGGTCAACCTCGAATTATCTGTAGTCTGCAGATTAACAAATGTGCAAAATATGCTATATGGGTACACAACAGGGTGACATTTTGTCAGGTATATCACACCATACACCTAAGCCTTGTATATTATTATAGTCTCGCTCAACCACAAATATGTGTTGTTAAGAGTGACACTGACTAAACCTTGTATATACATGACCCTATACTATACATGTCGCCTTTGTGTCTATCCTTGAGTTTTCCTTCTTCAACATAGCCTACGGATGATATCTTTCATTTACCCTGAGGGTCTGGTTAAAGGGACAATAACACTCTTGCTGGCTTGAAAGCTCCGGAAAATAAATAATATCTCTATCTAAGTACTAGATGTTTAAGTGTCCCACCTGTTGTGTAAATTATCCATTACATCCTATTTTACTTGTCCAGAGGGTTCGAAAATATTTTGAAATCGAAGTTTCATTTGAAAAGGTTTACGTTAGACGTTTCAAACCATTATGTTGAATTTTTCAAAATTTTTAAATAAGGTGTGTTAAGATGAAATTTGTATCATCAATTAATTGAAATATTCTAAAATAGTACAATTTGTTGACCAGAATAAAGATTGGGACATATTATTCAGTTACAACAAGAGTGGTATTGAGCCTTTAAGAGACTACATGACCTTGGGTATAGTTATCTCCATTTCTATATAGCCGTTATCAAACCCGGTTATCATCTACAATAGATGTACGATATATCGTGAAATTGTGAATTCGTGAATTAAAACACTTGACCCACGAAAAGCTATAAACGATCACAGGACGTTATCATGTTGACTCGAGTACAAATTTGTAGGATGAAATACAGTATAAAATCAGCAATTATCAGGTCATATTTTAGCATAGTAAGTAGTTCGATCAGCCTCACTGCTGAAAGAAATTGTAAAAGAAATATGAAAGCAGTAGGTCAATACTGATGATGCCAAGTGAAAATCACGTACTTTGTATTCTATTTGAGAGATGAAAAGTAACCGCAAACATCACACTTGTAACACACTTGTGAGACTTACCTATCTCAAAACGCCTCTAAATTTACACTAGGCCTAAATCTATTTTCAATGATGTTAGCATTGTTGAAAATCTCAACGCCTTACATGACAAGTATGTCATTGTACCGGCTGACAAAGCGTCCAATAACTTATATGTAAACGATATTATTATGACTGCCTGTTCAAAGAACTTAATTTCGGGAAGTCAATCGACAGTGCTACGTATAAACCTACTCTTAGTAAGGATGAAATTATATCCAATCACAGATCTGTACTCACTTCATTTGGTACTCCATGTGGAGATACCTATACAGATCTGCCCTTGTTATATTGGATACCTAAACTACATAAAAATCGTTACAAGCAACGTTTTATAGCAGGTTCATCCCGTTGTTCCACAAAACCACTTTCAAAGGTATTGACATCTATACTAACGGCAGTGAAAGAGGGTATTCAAAAATACTGTGACAAAATATACTCTCGTAGTGGTTTTAATCAATTCCAAAGAATTACTTAATGGTTTGCAATCTAGATCACTTGCTTCAATCTCATCTATACAAACATTTGACTTTTCTACTTTGTACACTATAATTCCCCATAGTAAATTAAAAGCTCGGTTAAAAGACATTATTCACAGTGTCTTTTCATCCAAAAAGAGAAATGCTAGATATCAATATTTAGTTGTTAATTACAATTCCACATATTTTGTTAAGAACCATAGTGATTCTAAAAATAAATTCACCACCAAAAAGATAATTCAGATGTTGTTTTTTTTTAATTGATAATATCTTTGTTGAATTTGGAGGGGAAATTTATCAGCAAGTGGTAGGTATCCCCATGGGTACCAACTGTGCACCTCTGCTTGCTGATTTGTTTCTCTAGTCCTACGAAGCCGATTACATACAGGCATTTGTAAAATCAAATAAAAGATTAGTCAGACATTTTAATTTCACTTATCGATATATCGATGATGTTCTATCACTGTATAATCCAAAATTTAGTGATTATGTAGAATGCATATATCCTGATGAACTCGAAATTAAAAACACTACTGACAGTGACAATTACGCTTCCTACTTGGATCTGCGTCTCGATTTTGACAATTGCCATAAACTTAGTGTTAAATTGTACGATAAACGTGATGACTTTAACTTTCCATTTATTAGTAGTAACATTCCGATATCACCAGCTTATGGAGTGTATGTGTCTCAGCTAAATCCTTACGCGAGATCTTGTTCATTTTGTTCTGATTTTTTAAGTAGATCGAGGCATTTGTCATCTAAGCTTTAACTACAGGGATACTTGCGAACTAAACTTATTAAAACCTTTAAAAAGTTTTATGGTCGTCATAATATAGCTTATTTTCCATTATTAATTTATTGGTAAATATTACTTTAAAGAAACATTTTAGTTTGCTGTTCTTAACGTTAGAAATGAGAGTTATCTCCCCTTGTCAAATTGAAACTTTCCAGATTTTCAACCAATTGAAATAATTAAATAAATAGTTGGATTTAACAATGTTTAGGAATCTCATGTCAGATGAAAAATCACTTTATTCAACATCACGGTTCTTATTCATCTGTAATATGTTGATCAATTCAGTCTGGTAACATCAGTCAATTGTCTAACCAGGGCGTTATTTGTTGCATTTTATTTATTTTGCGTTTTGTTAATTTAATAATATACACAAAAACTATACAAAGAGATTCATATTTGCCGCCATTAAACACACCTTTAAGATTAGTTCAGACATAATTAAATACGTGTAATCGAAACTAGGATAGAACTGTTCAGGTTGATAAGAATATAATTTCAATTATAACATTTTGATGTGGAACAGCAACTGGTTGAAATATTTAATAATATAGCCCTTTAATATACACTGTTGCTATAAAATATGCTAAGCAAATAACAAAACGACCAATCATAACTTCAGAGGCGCCTCCATTTGTTTTACGGTCCGTTACTGCATCAGGTGTGACAGTGGTTACGTTTGGTTTGGTAGTGCTTATGATCTTCATGGTGGTACGTAAAGTACTTGTGAGACTCGGGTTGACATTAGTGATCTCGTTTTTCATGGTGGTAAGTGGTGGACTTGTGAAACTAGTATTTACTTTCATGGTCTCGTTCTTCATGGTGGTACGTAAAGTACTTGTGAGACTCGGGTTGACATTAGTGATCTCGTTTTTCATGGTGGTAAGTGGTGGACTTGTGAAACTAGTATTTACTTTCATGGTCTCGTTCTTCATGGTGGTAAGTAACGGAAATTTGCCATTTCCACAATGGTTGCCAGAAAAATCATCAAAATCTAGTGACCAAAACATGGCTCCTGCCAACCCTTCAGCCAAAATCCATTTCACCTGTAATTTAATGTAATTCATTCTAAAAGACAACCGAAAACATCTCCTTGCGATTAAAGCCAAGGTCCATTCGTGGACTGGCTCTTTAACCAAATGAATATCTATGTCTATGTCTAAATCCGGGTTCGGTTTTGATGTTTATAGACCATTTATTAATTGCCTTGTTCGTCATCGAAACTAAACCAAGGGCAGCTGTGTGGTCCAGGTTCCTTGGTCTAAACCGCGAGTCCTGGCGAAACGTCTAGGTTCCAGTTCTATCCCGTGGCTATTGGTTCTAAGCCTTGAGTGAGTCTCGAGACTAGCCCGTGGGTATGGGTAAGTCTCGAGTCTAGTGGGATACACTAAAGCATGAATCCTGGGTGTAAGCCTGAGCTGACGAACTGGGTCTTGCCCACAAACTATTCCAAGTTAATCCGCGTGTCTTGGGTCGACATGTTTATATCATCAGTGTCGGGTCTAAACATTGAACCCAGGGTGGGTCTTATTCACGCACCATCGTTTTGGATCTGATCCTCGGTTTAAAGTTCTGGATCATTATGATGTCTAATCTACTAGCGTCTTCGAATCCGTAAGGTACATGGGATATATTTACCTTAGCTTGAATACTCCTAATGTCGTCATATCCTACCCATTGATTACCCATGTAAGCAAAGGGTACTTCCTGCTCAACGTCATAGGTCACAGTAGCGTTATTCTTTATCAACTCACAAATCTGAATTAAAAGGGTTTGTAATTAGACAGACTTGGAAATCTCCGAATCTGCTCTTAGGATACTATGAATTATTCTTTTGGCAATGGTGCCTTTATCTGATAGACAAAAGGGTACATAAATTTTGGGGGTTTTCCCAGCAGTAATTGAATCCTTAGCTGTTTTTGGAAGTGTGCGTATTTCACTACTTCCTGAATGTCTAATTTAAAGGAGCTTAATCGCTAATATTTTGGACCTAGAAATTGACACAAATGGGTCGCAACGCATATAATAAAAGTCTACACCAATAGTATTGATTGCGCATGCTCTCCAGATAAGAATATGGCGTCACCGTTTGACTGATATGACTTGTGGAATATGTCTAGCCTCGTTATTCAAGTCCGTTGTTTCATATGGCGCTGAAAAACATTGTTGTAATCGTGTACCAATGGTAAGATGTTTATTTTGTCTTAACTACTGGATATCAGACGCCCATCTTTTCCCGGTAAGAACACAGCATCCATGTTGATTTAAACTGACAAATAATTCGTGTTGTCAATGTCGGAGCCTTTGGGTGATACTGAGTTAGAGACTTAGCTACTTTAAATTGGGATCTTACCTCAGGGTAAATAAGTCGACCTGGTATAAGATATAAAGTGCCTTCAGTACCACCACCATCAACAGGAGCACCAACATCAAATACTGATGAATCATTTAAAGTAAAACTAGCACCAGCACCAGTCATACCAACTACTATCTTTTCTTTAGGTGCCTTATTACGTAACCATTCAGCTACAGACCATTTCTGAAACATGAACATTTCATTTATTTTTGTAAAGAAATATGCCAAATGTTACAGCTGTCTGTGGTTTGTCACTTGGGGGTTGGATGGCCGAATGGTTAGCCCGTTCGCGCTGTATCATAAGGTCTGTCATTGGGTCAACTGGCGTGGTTTCGATTCCCGTTTGTACGTGACAAGGAGTAGGGTCGCCTGTCCAACCTTGTCGGTTTACCCCGGGTCCTCCGGTTTCCTCCCACTGCTAAAGACCCCTACGCGCAAGAGAATTATTGAAATAAAATTGAACCATATGTTAGTCCCGGAATGACCTAGTTTGTGTTTGTGTACACAATGCAGTAGACTATAGCACCGCTGTCCGGGAAAAATATCCCTCATAGCAATATCATAGCCTCGACTTAAATATTGTTTTCAAATTAATAAACAGGTTTTATGAGATAGACGTCACGTAATCCAACGGAAATGGATGATATATGGATATATTGTAGTGACCCCAGGCACGGATCCAGAGGGGGGGCAGGGGGCCGTCCCCCACCCCCATCAGTCCCAGTGAGACTGGTCATCACTGTTCAGACCAGCACCTGCAGCCAGCAATGGGATTCCTAGATTTTAGTTTCTGTTTAATAAGGCCGCGACGAAGACTCTGGGGACTACACTAAACCACTATCGCATGCGGCACTCTGATGATTACCCTTTGCTCTAATGTATGCCCCCCCCCACCTCGACAAAATCCTGGATCCGGGCCTGGACCCATGTGTTGGCAAAGACAGTATAACATGCGTAATTAATCAATTAATTAAAATTTTAATAGGGGATACCAGGGAATATATAAGAGAAAAAATTATTCTCGTTATATCAAACGCCGTTTGAATTCCTAGGAGAACCATGATGTGAGGTTCCCATCAGAGCGAGTTGAGTGAGTTTGAAATAAACTGATAGACATGTTATTTTTAGGTTGTATGTGAACTTATGCTTGTAACCTTATTATCCGGCCGAGAAAGTTCATTGAGATTTTTCGACGTGGTTTCCCCTTGTCAGTGGTGCAGGAAGGAGGGCCGGACAAGGACAGCTGTCTAGTCGTTCAGGTGTGATGAAAATCCGAGGCCGCGTGTATACATTGGCGTGCACGTAAAAGATCCCTTAGCAGTTGGAATTCGATATAAGAGTAGGCCATAGTGCCGCTGCCCGGGCACAATTTCCCTCATAGCACACTGTATGGCGTATGCCCAGTCGGAGCCGAAGAGTAGGACGTTAGACCCCAGTTCATTTCAATATCTTAGTATCCTGTTTGATATATAAGAAAATCTTTATGTTCTTGATCTATATACGATTAGGTAGCCATATTAAATTAAATAACATGAAATACAAGATTAGAGAGTTCCAACATAATCCAGGCAAGTCACACCCAGACCAAAACAAAGATGTGTAGCCAGGATTGTGTCATACGTCAGATGTGGTAAGTTTTCGGCTTTGCTTTCCATATTCGACCGACAGGCAGTTCTACATACATTGCATGGCGTATGCACGCCCAGTCGGGTCAGAAAAGTTAGACGCCAAACCCCATTTGTGGCAACCAACACTCAGTGTTGTTTCAATAATTCTCCAAGAAATGAGTGTTATCCGGTGTTAAAGACATTAATTGAGCATATCTTGCCTTGGGTTAATGGGAGCATAACATAGCGTGCCTACCTGGTTCAACTCTTCTGAAAATCTTGGATCGGATGTTCTAGGATTGAGTGGACTATTAAATCCAGCAATTTTATTCCATGGTCCAAAATAATCATACGCCATAATATTTATATAATCCACATACCTGATTTATACAAATATAAAATTTTATCATAAAATCCATTTGTGAAGTAATCACTGACAGACATTTGTGGTCTGTGCATGTTAATAACAATTTTGGTTCTAATTTTACAGACAACTTAAAAAGAAATTCCACCCGGTAAAATCTAAATGCGGGAAAATAGGGTAAGAGATACAATTTTTATCATATATATTAATGGAGAATGTGTCACAACGTAGTCAAACTTGTATGAGAGGACCTTCACAAAATGACACCCACAAGTGGCAAGGATTCTAATAACATCCATGAGTTTATGAAAAGCGAAACTATTCGATCCTCGAACATTGAAACTATTCCATCATACAAGACTGTGAAACTATAAACTCAAATAAGGCAATCCATGTTCAAGGGCTAAAATCTAAAAATTACCAAGATATTTGTTCCACTTCGTAACCGTCTTGTATACGCGTTCGTCCAGGCGCCACAGCTATGGATATTATGAGCCTTGGTTTACCAGATTCTTTAGTTTCTCTGTCGAAACCTTCTTTTAAACCCTGTTGAGAAATAAACAAGATGTCCATAGTTCAACTAATAACCAACTAATAAATGGTAAGCAAATTACATCATCATAATTCAAATATTTTAATAAATTCATAAATTGTCTCAACATCTTGGACTTGCAGTATACGACTCGAAGATTTTTATTCTACATTGACTTGGGTGACTATTAAGAAAAATAAATGATATTATTTTCCATGTCCCTTATCAGCCATCATATTATTCTTATGTCTCCAAAGAAACAGGGCAGTAATTGGGTTTGCGAAGAGGGTGGTTTGTTACTGGCTTGCACAGTGCTGTAATATGGACATTTAGATTTAAAACATAGAAGAACCATACAGAATTCAGTCGGTAATTAAAGAAGTGTGGCGGTTGTAACAGGCCCAACCTGTACGTAAGCATGGCGTGGCTGGTATTCGTGACGCAGAAGATGAATTGAGATGTATTATAGTTCAGTGCGGGTGAACATATTTCGGATATTAAAAAAAAAGATTGTTGAACATTAGTTGTATTGTGTGGTCTTTATGTCCTTGCTACGGCACAAAGCAGGACGGGGGTCCTGACAAGGACAGCTGTCTAGTCGTTCGGATGGGACGAAAGAACGAGATCCCGTGTACACATTGGCGTGCACGTAAAAGATCCCTTGACATTTGGAATTCGATATAAGAGTAGGCGGTAGTGCCGCTGTCCGGCGAAGATTTCCCTCATAGCACACAGTATGGCATATGTCCGTCTTCTTTAGCCCAGTTCGGAGCAGAATAGTAGGACGTTAATCCACATTTCATTTCATTTCTACGGCACATGAATTCTCCCGGTAAATGTCATTGATCGTAAGGATTCAGTTACAATCTAGGCTTAAGAAAAGGTGTACTTACTTTTAATAAAGCAGTAAATTGTTGTTTCGTATTTTCTGTCTCACCTGGAAATTCCCAATCAACATCAATACCATCAAATCCATTATCTCTTAAAAACTTAGCACTTGCATTGGCAAAATGGTCAATATTTGTAGCGTTAGACGATAAACCTGTAAAAGTTGTTGACATCGCATTTTGTCCTCCAACAGACAACAATGTTTTTAAATGTCCGTTTTTCAATTTTAAATCATTGAATTTTTTATATCGTTCAGTCTCTCCTGCGGACATAGGACCTAGCGTATGATCTGTTTTAATAACGCCGAAAGCATATATTAAATGTGTACATAGATAAGGATCGATATCTTCTATAGTAAAGCGAACTTCCGCTACAGGACGGGTGTTCGCCCAGTTGGTGAAATAACAGAGACTAACAAATTCTGCTCCTGGAAGATAAACCAAATAATATCATTGAAGAAACCAAAATGGCGTCCAATTAATATGTGAGAGCGGTATCACTGTATCATTTGGTAGGTACATGTGACTAGGATTCCTAAAAAAAAGACGTGTCAGTTACGTTCAGGACTGGATTAATGCGCGCGGGGGCGGGGGTTATCAGTGGTCCCAGTTTTACCCCCCCCCCTCAATTAATTCTAAAAAATGTGTACCATAAATAATCATGTCACATGATACCCTATCGAGCTTTACAAGTGGAGGTCAGACATTTTGGCAGCTAAGGTTAGGCAACCAAGGGGCATTTGCTTTTGTGTGAATATGACGGACGGTGACCGAAATATGCCCAGTTTACACTGTTGTTGCAGAGCTCCATGTTCAGCCATGTGAGCTTAATCGGACTCTAGTTACGTGTTCAGCCATGTGAGCTTAATCCGACTCTAGTTACGGATCTATGTAACACTCCATTTTCTTATTTTAATAAGAAAATGGATTGTTACATAGATCCGTAACGACCAAATCAAAGATTGATATTAAAATATCAATCTTTGATTTGGTCGTGTATTTCCTATTTATTTACATACTTTTATTTGCATATATATTATCGTTATAGGGTCTACGTAGGGATTTTGAGTACCTTATTGAATATCATGTATGTCTACCGGTTTACACGGATAAATACACAGGGTATAATTGATGTGTAGCTAAATATATAAAGTACAGATCAAACACGAATACCAACCACAACAGCGACACCAGGTTTGAGAAACTCTGACAGTTACGCTCTGTCCACTCCAGAGTGATTATGAATAGTTTACTTTATAAATCTTACCAATAATTGGAAGGATATATATCCATGTCAGAATTGTTGATAGCAGCTTCATCTTCTTGTCACCTGTAACAAATACGATAACTCAGTTTACATGTCTAAAAGATAACCCAATAGAAAATAGCCAGCTCCTCCCGTAATATCAAATTGAGTTCAGAATTGATCCAGCAGTCAGTATTAATCTTACAAGTTTCTTTACAGTTCCGACATGTTTTGTTAGTCAAGGGTCTAATTGTATATTAATTTCTGGCACGACATGATATGGTAAATGTTCGTTATGTTCGTTTTAACGAGAGCATTTAGGTTTCCAAAGTTCATATTGCTTCATACCGAATTCACGCAGCCATCTCTGTTTACTCTTAAACCAGCTAGTCTGCTCATGAAGGATAAATCATTTCTATCCACGAACCCAAGAACGGACTTTATATATTTTGTTCCTGTATGCTTTTATATAGCCATCTTGTAGTGACATGAGTTAAAAATATTAACATGTTTTATACACGAGTTCAGTCTTCAGAGAGTATTCTGATAAGATTACATGATGATCTGTAAAAGATTGTAGATAATTTTCATTTTAAATGTATGTCCCACCCCGCCTTTTAATCTTTGCGGGATTATAGTAAGTTTTGGGGGCGTTTGTGTGGAATTTTTCACCACACCAGTTCCATAAGATATTGGAATTAGGAGAAACATGATTTTTTTTTCTTTAATTTCTTCGCAGATCTCCATATCTTTCTTTATTGTACTAGATTCACAAGAATGTCGACTTACATAAAATATGTGGTGTTTTTTATCACAAGAATATATTTTTGTGGGATGAAATTCTGTCTTTGTTTAAAATTTGATGTCTATTCTTTAGAAACTACCAGTTCAATTACTAGTGTCATTGAAATAATTTAATATACATCAAGTGCCATTGGAACAGTTTATCAGACATCAGTATGGAGATGTGTCATTTAAAATCGCTGCTTGCTAAAGGAGCCCAGTCGAAACACTGCTCGGCAATTAACCGTAATTGTATTCCGTAGAATTGTAAACTAGGTTTAATTTTAGTACTATTCGACCTTTCAGCTTCACGTTGCCTTCACTTCCGTGATGAAAATTATAACTACACTTCTGGTTAATTTCTTCTGCTTTTTATTTATATAAAAAAAAAACATTTCTCATCAGTCACAAATCGTCTTCGCTCTCAAATAAGTATTATTAATATGTCAGGCAGTGTGAGATCTGCCAAATACTACCCCCCCCCCACTCTATTTTATAGCGCATACACTTTAAATCGTTTACGTCATAGACTGAGCACGTTTCCAGTTTATAAATATGAGGCATACCCCCTACATTGCACCCTGGGAGGGACTTATTACTAAATTTGGTCAACCTACACATGCCATTTCTGACCATGAAGATGACATATGACAAATGTGTTTATTTCAATTCATGTAGATTTCTGTTATTTCAGGTGTTATTTTACCTGACCAAGAATCTATAAACAACTATTAATCAAGGCCATAATATTATTACATTTTATAGACTACTAGAAGAATGCCCGGCTTCGCTCGGGGGTCATAACCCAGAAACCGGAAGTGGTAGACTAACGCCACCTGGCCTAATGTTACTCCCCTGTCCGCGCTACCCCTATACCCCAAATTTCAGACTCGGGGCAGACCTAGTGTAGTCGCCAACCCCTAACAGACAGACAGACAGACAAACAGACAGACAAACGACAATCACAAATATTAGTATATAGAAGATGTCTGTTCCCAATCCCTATTCAGTTACAAATCTGAATAAAATATTATTTTCTTAAAAATCGATTTATTGTTCCAGTAAGACAAAAACAATCAAAGTAAAATAGGTAAACTCGGTGACTTCCGCTTAAACATTTGAAATTATAATCGGAACGAGTATACCCAATCGCTAAATGAAATTTAGCTACTTTAAGTACAAGAAAACTGTTGTAACCGGAACCAAAATACTATTGGTCATATCAAAAATCCGGTTTACAAATATACTATTGTCCATATTCAATAATAATAGTACATTCTTAATATAGCGCATTCTACAAACATAACATAAATATACACAATAGAAATGCATGGCAAAGTCTTAACGCACTGTATAGAAACATGAGTAACAAAAATAAATTATGATTTAAAAATTCAACGATGATATGGATATAATAACTTCTAGTGAATAAAAATACGTAAAAGACAGTAAAAGTGATTTTGACTAGAAAGATATTTCGTCACACGATTCAGAGAATTGATCAGCATCACACTGATCAGAAGTGAATATTCGCTAGGCCGCTACAATCAATGATAAGGATGACATCAATGCGACTTAATGAGTCTCAAATATTAACTTTTTTCCACCGACAAATTAAATTCTAAAACATTTTTTTTTCATGTTTTAGAAAAATAAAGACGTTTGACGTATTTGTAGGTAAAAATTATTTCCTATTTAGTGTAAATGGGTATTAAAATGACTAACCCTTGTGGGTTCACGTTATGAGAATCACATAGCAGGTATCAGGGGTCCATATGGACCCCAGTTATAATTCAAAGTTTTTACGTACAGATATATTTGAATTAAAAGGCAGCGGTTTAGTTTTTATTTGCCTTCATATTTGACAACTGAAAAATAACTTAATTATGTTACAAAAACATTTTAGTGACATTAGGAAAAGATTTAATAATTCTCACAAAATTGCTACTTTGTGTACTTTGAAATAAAGAGGTTAAAATGGCAATTCACGCTTGATACAAAAACCATTGAATATCTTGAATTCATCATTTAATTTTTGGTATTTGTAACATGCAGCTGCTAAAAGAGAGAATACTCTGGCATACGCAATATGGTATCAGGCAGCAAACACATTAGCAAAATCCCTACGTTGAGTTGTTTAAGTTAGGGGTCCGATTGGACCCCTTGTTCCCTTCAAGCGTTGGGCCTGATTTGCATGTAACAGAACTCTGCATGTGGGAAGCAGATGAATACCGAGTTCTTCACTACGTGTAAAAATGTATAGGAGACAAAGTCACTAAATTTCAGAAAGCAGTGCCCAGTAGTTATTACACAACACTATAAAACATGTTCATGGGGTCCACGGAGACCCCACGTGAACCGACAAGGGCTAAAAGGCAGCATTCGGACCGAAGCAGTAACGTCTTATGTAGTAAACAATGCACGCGCCATTCAACCAATGATTGACGCCGCGTTCTGTGACGGCACGGGTTGAAGGCAGTCATCTTTAACAAAGATATTAGTAATTCATTGTGAAACAGATTGGATCAGCATGTGAATTGACGCTTGAAGAGTATGATTTTAATTGCGCGTTTAAAATTATCAATGTCATTCTCAGCGCGACTTCAACTGAAATTAATTGGAACTCCGTCGTATTAATAACATTGGTCTCAATGTATCCAATACCTTTTATTCTGTCCACAAATACACATTTCCATACCTGGAGACAGGACAATATTATTAGCGTGCCGCTGTTATTTGTGCTTAAACAGATAGGATACACTAGTTCTCACATAAATAAAAACAACTATAAAAATATTAATTGTGGTGTGAAAATTGGTTTTGAGACAGAGAGAGAGAGAGAGAGAAATGGGGTTTAACGTTCACTCGACACAAACCAGGTCATTTCGGGACTAACGTATGGTTCAATTTTATTTCAATAATTGGATTGCACGTAGGGGTCTTTAACAGTGGGAGAAAATGTGAGGATCCGGAGAAAACCCACGAGGTTGGACAGGCGACCCTACTCCTTGTCACTCCAACCGGGGAATCGAAACCACATCAGTTGACTCAATGACAGACCTTATGATACAACCCGCACGCGCTAACCATTCGGCCACCTCCGCCCCCCGGGTTTTGAGACAGATCATTGTGTTATGTTTCATAACAGATTTAGAAATCAACCTTCCTCCACAATGGAGATAGAAGAGCTTGGTTTCTCACGCAGATCACTGCATTACAACAATATTTGAAATAGATAATATCACCAATTTACACGGGATGACGTTGGGTTCATTTTACGGTTCAACGCATTTAAACGCGCGTGTAGGTAACTTTACATACTGAATAGCATATCCGTGTCCTTATAACTAGAACACAGTTATTATATTTTTTAGAATATAAAACTGTTGTAGATGATACTAAGTCAGTATTTATTGTGACGTCGGTTATCCTTGCTACTCCTTTCATAAGACACATATGGCTGCATCTCTGGGGACGTAGAAGCCTTTTATTTTATCCAATAGTAAGTGACGCAAAACAAAACCGATAAGACAAACCTGTGGGCAAGACAAACTACACATGTATTGTAAGAAATAAAAAAATAAATATCAGCCCCAGGCCTGTAATGATTCAGACTTCAGTGAAAATGTATTCATATTCATATACATGAAAAACGTAATGAGACCTAATAACAGAAGAAATCAAAACATATAAATTAGAGAGAGGGGGGGAAGGAAATGGGGTTTAACGTCCACTCGACACAAACTAGGTCATTTCGGGACTAACATGTGGTTCAATTTTATTTCCATAATTCGCTTGCGCGTAGGGGTCTTTAGCAGTGGGGGGGGGTGGAACTGAGGGACCCGGAGAAAACCCACGAGGGTGGACAGGCGACCCTACTCCTTGTCACGTACAGGCGGGGAATCGAAACCACGCCAGTTGACTCAATGACAGACTTTATGATACAGAGCGCACGTGCTAACCTTTCAGCCATCCAACCCCCCATACAAATTAGACTACAGTTTTCTCAAACAAGAAACATTAAAAAAAACTCTGTAGGTTAAATTACAAAAGAGAAACAGTTGATCGATATCCAAAATAATCAATACTTTACCCGATTAGTAAAATTAATCCATGGATTTATAACTTATATGAATTCTTTAATTTAAAATCCACAGTGATTCACAGGACGATGTCATAAGATATTCTCGTTACGTCCTTTACAAAACATAATATAGTCTCAACTATCAAAATTCTTTCGTGATTTCTTTCACGTCTTTTGTAAAGCATAACATATTTTCAATTGCCTAAAAGCCCATTTAGCTTGCAGTTATTTTCGTCACTTTGTTAACAGTTTAATATTGTTCGGTGTTAGGCCATACCAATTTAAATTTCTGTTATACGGGAACGCCTATTAAAGATTTGGCCTCCAATTTCTTCACGAAAAAAAAAAGTTAAATTGCTCAAAAGCCTTTAGTTCCAAATATTTGCGTTTTTGCTATTTTACCAAGGGGTGGCCGAATGGTTTAACGCGTGCGCTTTAGATCACAGGGTGTTTATTAAGCCAAGTGGTGTGATTTCGATTCCCCGCTTGTACGTGACAAGCGAGAGAGAGAGAGAGAAAAAAAATGAGGTTTAACGTCCACTCGATACAAACTAGGTCATTTCGGGACTAACATATGGTTTTAATTTTATTTCAATAATTCACTTGCGCGTAGGGGTCTTTAGCAGATGGAGGAAACCGGAGGACTCGGAGAATACCCACGAGGTTGGACAGGCGACTCTACTCCTTGTCACGTACAACCGGGGATTCGAAACCACGCCAGTTGACTCAATGACAGGCCTTATGATACAGCGCACCATATGTTAGTCCCGAAAAGGTCTATTTTGTGTCGAGTAGACGTTAAATCCTATTCTCTCTATATATTATAACAAAACAAGATCAACGAAGAATTAAAATTAAATTGGATATTACCTAGTTTGTGTCGAGTAGACGTTAAACCCCATTTCGCTCTATACATGTATATTATAACAATAGAAGACCAACGAAGAATTAAAAATTAAATTGTTTGGGCCTTCAATCGATATACATATGTCGGCGCAATAAATAAAAATCAAAATGGAGACGGGTCATTAACCAGGGGGCTATTTTCTGTTTAAATATAATAAATCTATCATAACCCGGTTTAGGAAGAAGAAGTCTAAATCTGTTATTTTTAATGTAAATTCTTAAAACCTAATAAAATATAAATCACACTATATAGATTTATATTGAATGTCGCCCTCTTAAATTTTTGTTAGTTTAAAAAATACCAGAAAGATAAGGCTGTCATTATATGTACCCACTGACTGCGTTGTAAATGACAGAAATACAGGATAGGTAAATAGATTGTAAATAACATTACTTCACGTGGGTATATCCTGATCATACATCACATGAATATATTCTAATCTAGCAGAACATCACGTGGATATATTCTCATCACATAAATAACACAACATCACGTGGATATATTCTCATCACATAAATAACGCTACATCACGTGGATATATTCTGGTCACATTACATCATGTGGATATATTCTGGTCACATAAATAACAGTACATCACGTGGATATATTCTGGTCACATAAATAACAGTACATCACGTGGATATATTCTGGTCACATAAATAAGAGTACATCACGTGAAAATATTCTGGACACATAACTAAGAAATGAAATGAAATGAAATGAAATGGGGTTTAACGTCCTACTGTTCTGCTCCTAACCTGGGCTAATGAAGACGGGCATACGCCATACAGTGTGCTACTCTTATATCGAATTCCAACTGCCAAGGGATCTTTTACGTGCACGCCAATGTGTACACGGGACCTCGGTTTTTCGTCCCATCCGAACGACTAGACAGCTTTCCTTGTCAGCCCCTCCATCCTGCATCACTGACAAGGGAGAACCACGCCGGAAAATCTGGATGAACTTTCTCGGCCAATGCAGGGATCGAACACCCGACCTCCAGGCTAGCGAGCTAGCGTCTTACCCACTTAGCCACGTGATCCCCCACATAACTAAGAGTACATCACTTGAATATATTCTCATCATATACTAACTAGTATATTAGGTGAATATATTCTGACCATATAAATAACAATACATTTAAAGTGGATATATTACGTGTATAATTTCCAATCATGTGATTATGATATTAGCATCACAACATGTCTACTAACATACTCAATCAATAATACTCTTACCAAAGTCGGTTAATTAAAACACATGTTTCAGATTGAAGTTTATCAGTTTCTGTTGAATTCAAGCCGCCATCTTCATGGGACAAGCGTAAATAATAGTAATTCTCTATACTGTCTGTATACAAGTATTATCTCTCGTTATATATTCCTTCCGTTATTGTCGTGTGTATTTATATACAGATTATAATAACAGTCTTTACAATAAAATAAGTGACGATAGTTATTCACGAAACCTGGGAGTTTTTTTGTAAAGTTAAGAGATAATGTGTCAACCGACGATACTGAACATCTATGCATAGAAACTCTTTACAGCGTTTTATTGTCACTAAGTTAACGAGCAGTGCAGATATCATAAATTGACAAACGACATTTTATTGTCACTATAGGTTTGTTATTGTGTATGTTGGCTATTGAAAACCAAATGACCCAACCTTTAAAGTGTTTCACATAATAACTTCACGATATATCTACACGATATTTTAATGGTACTATTTTGATTGTGTATTTCGAATAGTATTTAATGATGAAAACCACAGTTTATGATTGCTGACATTGTTGGTGTTGGTGTCCAAGAGGGAAAACGTAATTTTTGTCGTGGGAGTTATCCTACCTTAAAACCGAGAGAACGTGTGTTTTAAAAACAACCTTCTTTATAACCATTTTTACATGAAATGTAATGGCGCTATTCCATTTGTATTTCTTAAATTATAGAACAATGCGGGTTAAAAGGAAGACTGAAAAATGAGTCCTTCGACCTACAAATCCTTTAACATATCACATTGTAAAATACTGGACCATGTAATCATAACATGTTATTGTCTGTGCGGAGCCACGGTGCCTAGTTGGTTAAGACGCTGGCTCGCTAGCCTGGAGGTCGGGTGTTCGATCCCTGCATTGGCCGAGAAAGTTAAATATAATTTAAGACCGTTTAATATGATTCATAGGACTCTCAAATCTATTGCCCATTCATTATATCAAACTAGCAGGATACCCGGCTTCGCTCGGGGGTCATAACTCCGAAACCGGAAGTGGTAGACTAACGCCATCTGGCCTATGTTATTCCCCGGTCCGAGCTACCCCATACCCCAAATTTCAGACTCGGGGCAGACCTAGCGTAGCCGCCAACCCCGAACAGACCGGCTTCGCTCGGGGGTCATAACTCCGAAACCGGAAGTGGTAGACTAACGCCACCTGGCCTATGCTACTCCCCGGTCCGAGCTACCCCTATACCCCAAATTTCAGACTCGGGGCAGACCTAGTGTAGCCGCCAACCACGAACAGACTGGCTTCGCTCGGGAGTCATAACTCCGGAAGTGGTAGACTAACGCCACCTGGCCTGTGTTACTCCCCGGTCCGAGCTTACCCTATACCCCAAATGTCAGACTCGGGGCAGACCTAGTGTAGCCGCCAACCCCGAACAGACAGACAGACAGACAGACAGACAGACAAACGACAGCCACAAATATATATATAGATAGATAAATGTCAATAGATAGCATATATGTCTCTCTCTGCTTTTCAAATATTTTTTATAGTATGGGTGTGGATCGATGTGTTAATGGGGTTGGCTAGAACACCACTAACCAACCACATGACTGGTGCTGAAAGGAATATGAAAGTGAAGTACTATAAGGTCATATCCCCTTGTTCCGCTTTTATCTCAAACATACGCTAACGCAGTTTAAAAAGGGTAAACAGAATGAAATCGAACTAATCGTCTATAGCACATTGATTAACGGGGAGTAGGCCTCCCTTGGGCACAAATTCACCGATCTTAATTACTTCAGAGGCTGTATTACATTATAATTTGCGCGGTTAAGAATATCACATTACGTTAAAGATAACGATTTCTCGATTCGGGTTTACTAGATATGTGGTGACACCTTAAAAGATAATTTATTATAAACTATAACACATACTTATGGAAGAACAATTACTGATTTATTTGGGCGACGTTTCGAAACGTCGGCCAAATAAATCAGTAATTGTTCTTCCATTACTTGCTTGAAAACGTTGAGAGAATACTCTTCGAAACGTCGCCCAAATAAATCAGTAATTGTTCTTCCATAAGTATGTGTTATAGTTTATTGCTCTATCCAGTTACTAAATGCCTCTAAAAGATCATAATTTATTATATAAATTGACTGACCCCCTCATCTCTACTGGTAGCGGTATGTTTCATTAACTCTAACATCTCATTAATGTTCCTCCATTTCAGATCTCTTTTATGCTGCCACACAATTATTGTTTTATAATTTTAATTTGATTTGATTTTATGTGTAATATGTTGATTCTTCTATATGTATCAATGTCTATTTGTAAAACATTATTCCGACTGTGAATTCATGTCTTTCGGGATATTGGTATTAAGACTCAAACAGCATGCTTCGATACAAGGAAAACATTAAAATTTAATGAATTCAAATATTCCCAAATGTATGAACATTGTGTTTCCTGCTCCAATCCATTATTAGGCCATATAACCCATTAAGCCGTCATTACAATTTTAAGTATCCAATGGCCTAACTAGTTATCACTTTACAATGACAATTTTTGTACTCAACTCCGTTATATTTGCCATCTAAGATTTTTACTTCCCATACCCACTTATTATAATATGATATGTAAGATCGCTGATCCTCTCCCTTAAAATTCATAGCACAAGAACATCCGATGTCAAATTCACAGTTAGGTTTATGGGACATACTTGTAAGCCCACAATGCGACACATTTTGAAGACATTATGATGAACCCAATGGTTAGGTCTATTATATAGGTACTAACAACACATCAGTTAGAATAAAAATATATTTGTACGTCATATAAAACAATTGATTGTCATTTAGACCATCGAAATGTCATGAATCTAACAATATAAAGCTTTCCTAAGTCACAATAAAGATCAATAATACATAAATGTCACAAAAACGTAGTTGATTGTACATCACACTGGTAATACAACTCTAATCTAGCAAAATAAAACATGTACATAAATATCATAATAAATCAGCTAATTGTACACTACACTGGTAATACATGTACATAAATGTCATAACAAATCAGCCGACTGTACATCATACTAGTAATACATAAATGCCATTATAAATCAGACTGGTAATACATAAATGTCATAATATATCATCTGATTGTACACCAAACTGGTAATACATAAATGTCATAATAAATCAGCTGATTGTACATCAGACTGGCAATTCGTGGATAATCTTAATACTATGAAATATAATAATATGTGTATAATCATATATAATAATATCCTCGGTACTTAGCTTGATACGTGATTCTCGACCAGTGTTCCGCCGCACACCTGTGTGCCGAAAGATCTTCCAAAGTGTGTCTGTGTTTGCGGTTGTATGCCGTCTATGACTTGCCATGTTTTTATTTTGCAAAATTCAAATATTTTTCATATATATTTAGCCAGGTGTTTCACTATTGTATCATGTGTTCCAAGGGTGTGCAGCTGCTGTTGGCAAAAAAGGTTGAGAACCACTGGAAAAATGTCGCTCTGTAATAAACATTAATTGCATTGCATATTTTTATAGAGGAATATTAACATCACATAAAACAGTTGTATCTATAATAGAACCTATGAGTAATTTAGAATTAAAAACATTGGCAACAGTAGACCCTGTTATTAAATCTCCATCATCATAAAATAATTCTCTTGTCTTCGTTATGTTTCCATCTTTAACATATAACATCAAAACCTATAAAATATATTTAAACAACAGATATAATTAATATCAACACCTGTAAAATATACTAGAAGTGGGAACATCAACACCTGTAATTTAAAATAGAGATTGGGGCTGGGGGGCGGTCATCAACCCCTGTAATATATAATAGCGGGCTGGGGTATCAACACCTGTAATACATAATAGAATTGGGAACATCAACTCCTTTAATATATACGGGGCAATTCATTTACAATATCAGAGTTCACAATTTCGTATATACATTCTTGAGACTATTACTTGATATTTCAAAAATGTATATGTATACTCTTGACTAGGAGTTTATTCAATTTCGTATATACATTCTTGAGTCTTGAGACTATTACTTGATATTTTAAAAATGTATATGTATACTCTTGGCTAGGAGTTTATTCAATTTAAAGTATCGTCTAGTCTTGATAATGCAGGGCAGGTAGGGTCTGAAATATTTGCTGGTAGAGCAAGTCTATCAATTTGCTGGTAGAGCAAGTCTATCATCTATGGGAGAAACATCAATCTGATTAAAATACAGATCTATATATGGGCGATTGTAGTGGATGGTCGCGTCAGAGGTCAAACGCACAGCCTCTGACCCTATGACATCAGATATTTGATTAACCAATCAGCGTTGATGTTTCTAGTGGGTTGCCCACAGTTCCGTGCACCTCACGCCAAAAACTTGCCCTAACAAACCGTTTCATTGACCAATGACTCACATCATCCAGAACGCGGGTTATATAATAACTCTTTCAGATCCTAGTGTAATAAAACCGCCAAGTTAAGCAAAATTTTGAACTATAAAAAACGAAACGAAATAGGATCTGTGGTGCTTTAATCAGATTGTTTTGCCAGCTGGATGAAATAATAATTTTTGTTTTCACTTCACCTTTCACTTGGGAGACGCATGTGCTCTTTGTTAATTATGGGTTCTTCATTCTATGTGCTTAGTTCTAATTATTAACTTGATGCCGAAAAATCAACATTTGTATATTCTTAATACCACATAACGGATTGTTTGGAGTGGAAATAAAGTGTCCTTTACCTGAGAGGGTGCGCGGTAGTCTGGCTTTTCCAAATGTAGAGATATTTGATGCCCTATAGGATGTCCAGCAATATATAGATTGTCTGTCCTTGAATCAACTATAATATTATCTACAAACGAATAGACTGGATAAACCTGAAATAGTAAAATATAGTAAATCATATATATTTCCTCAACTGTACAAGTGGTTGTTGGGTGGCCGAATGTTCTAAGGCGTGCGGGGAGCTTCGAGAGGCCAAGTGGGTTAGACGCTGGCGCGCTAGCCTGAAGATCGCGTGTTCGATCCCTGCATCGGCCGAGAATGTTCATCGGAATTTTCCGGCGTGGTTTCCCCTTGTCAGCGGTGCCGGACAGAGGGCCTGACAAGGACAATGTATACATTGGCGTGCACGTAAAGTACGCCATAGCTCTGCTGCCCCGGCACAATTTCCGTCATAGCGCACTGTATGGCGTATGCTTGTCTTCAACAGACCAGTAGCAGCAGAACAGTGGGACGTTAAACCCCATTCACAGAGTCAAGTTTACCTGTTTTCTAATCAAGTCATTGTTTGTTTTTCTCTCTGTAACAACTATATCATGACTAATAGTGGTGGCTATATAAACATATCTGTAAATACAATAATATTAATATTTAGAATATTACAAGCGAATTATAATGAAATGCAATTAAAGCAATTTATCGTTTTACCACTTTATTCAACGTTAAAATATATCTAAGATTCATTTTAAAAAATATCCAATTCTTAGATATAGCAAATCATACCACTAAAGGATTGTCTTTAGACACATTGATTTACCACTCTATATTTAACATAGTCTACTCAGGTCCATAACTAGAGAGGGTGCAGTCCCCACCCCAAGCCTTGCAAAAGGTTTCGCCCCCCCCCACTCCATGTGAAAAATATTATCGACCTTAAAAAAATAGATATACATTGTACGTCCATTTTACAGCACCCCTGAGAATACCACCCCCCTCGTTGCCATGAGCTAGTTACGGCCCCGAGTCTACTTACTTAAAATCCTTACACAATGGGGGTACACAATGGAACGTTCCGGAATTGAATTCTCTCAATCCCAAAGTAATGAAATCGAGTGAAAATTGGAATTCGGTGCTAGAACGTATGTGCCGAATGCATAAGAATATATCTCAACCAACGATGATAGCTAAAACATAAGTATATAATTACGTCACGATTCTACTCACACCAAAGCCGTATATAGATAAAGTTGCGACAACTGTGAAGCCAGAAATTTCATATGACGTCATGAAAATATGACGTCAAGTGTACAAAGACGCCATCTTGGGTCCCAAGTATTTGTATCTACTCACTTTCTATTTTATGTCCTATCATACTGTTGTGTTTAAGTTGGCTGCCAATGACAGGGATGTAGATGGATATCTCATAGAATTCCGCGAAAAAGAGATAAAATATACATTTTTTAAACGAAAAGTATAGCTGAACAAACTATTATTATTATTATTATTATAATTATAATACAACGAAAAGCGTACATTATTATTATAATAATATAGTCCAATTCATAAGAAAATGAAATGAAAGATACACCAGATAAAAGCGCTATTAAATATATTTAACTTGCATACGCTTTTAAAAATCAGATTTTTTGTGCAGACGCGTAAAGTGAAAAATTAAAATTTAAATTATATAGTAATTTGGAATATAAAACCTTTTTGCCTTCTAGCCGGCAAAATAAATAGCTGAAATTCCATTATTTTTTGGTCTGGAGCCATTCCGGATTGGGTCATCAATCATTAATTGTATCATCAATTTTTCGGAAAAAGAAATTTCTTTAAATTGACTAGATAAAACATTGTAACAATGGACTCGAAAAACGAGGTTATACATATTCCACAAGTCTTGTCAAACAGTGACGCCATATTCTTATCTGAAGAGCATGCGCAATAAATACTATCGGTGTAGACTGGAATAACCAGATGCTAGTGACTGCCATTGGATTGAGACTTCTGGCGTATTTCGCCGAACATAACTGCTTTGAAATTAGAGTAAAAACGGGAACGATTAAATGTAAATCAGTTTATTTACATTCATATTACATTATTATATACGTTGCGACCCATTTGTGTCAATTTGTAAGTCCCAAATATTAGCGATTTAGCTCCTTTAAATAAAAGGTGTCTAGCGTAACATGTGTTTCGGGCATAGGTTTCATCAGTGACATGTGAGACGAGATATCGCTCTACGAAACTTCCTGGTGTCTTTTGCAATTTGTTTGGGTTAAGACGTTATCTCTCCCCGCCCATGAGTAAATAAAAATATTAATCTAATATATAAACCTCACAAATTTAACAGATACAAATAATGTACCTGTTATTCCACAGGTAGACATACATTGAAGGGGCCCAAGGAAGGAGACGCAGTTGCTTTAGAGTTTGTCCGACACCTTTGGGTATTTGCGCCCATTTCCAATGAAATAATCATGTTGTTCTGATGCTCAACTAGTATCAGGCCAATTCCTTACACATGAATATAAACATTTAATATGGGCGGCTTATCTGACCGCCCCATTTCATTCGCAAATAGATACACCGTCAAAAATGAAAATGGACGTTTTTGATTTTTGGTCTTAATAATGAGTAATTGCTCCACCAATCCTCAGACATTCAACAATTCGTCGTGGCATGCTCCTAATCAACCGTTAAATCAAGATTTGGGTCAATCTGACCCACTCCTCTTGCAGTGAGTATATCGTGCCAGAGATATTTTACAAATCGCCCCGAGCATGTTCCACACATCTCAACATTTATCAGCTTTTTGTTCAATCTATAAAAGCCTACATTCCTACACAATGCTTTGTTTAGTCAAGTGAAACAAGAAAATGTATAGGCTATAAGTAGAACAATAGAACACGTACACCTAAATGTCGACAAATACGTAAAACTATGCAAATAAGATATTCCTATGATATGATTCAACCGAAAGGTCCTATATATGCATGATATAAATCTACATTCAAGTTAAACGAAACGCATCTATCCATTTTAAATCTTGCGTCGAGCTGAATAAATTATGTGATTTATAACATCTACGGGTGGTTAACAGTGTATAACTAAAAACTATGATTCGATTTTATTGCCAACATTTCAATGTAGCTTGAATTTTCTACACCTTGTCTATTGCATCTAGATGTTTAAAGAGCTTTAACAATATATTTATTTAAGAGCAACCATGTCATTTCGGGATTAATATACCACATATTACAAGTCATACCCAACGGAAAGAAATGAACATTAATGAAAATTCCACCATTTTGAAAGAAATGCCCGCCATCAAATGAAAAATACATTTTTAAATTGATGTTTGTCAAATTTGATTTTTCGACACACTTCGCTTGCATAACCACTCTGTGTTTGAGGAGTTTAAAAATAAATTATTTATCCTACCACCACTGAAAGACACTGATTACGATATAGCGCTCTCGATAATTCCTGAAGAACGCCAAATTGAATTATGTTAATCATGTAATTTTGCCATGGCCGATTTTGAGTATGATTTTGTCTAACATATTATCATTAAACCAAACTGCATTGGTTTCTTTTGCAATTTTTTTAGGATAAATTCAAACGTTTGGTTAAGTAAAGCTATATGACGCCATGACGTCATAGTTTTTGTGGCGTCATAGTTGGGACCCAAAATGGCGCCTGTAAATGAGTTGTCGTAACTTTCCCTATACAGGGCTTTGACTCACACCACCTCAGTTGTTGGGACTGGCATAACTGCCACAGGACTGACTTCCGCGTCACTCGATTGCAATTATGCCAATTCTGGATGTGCTGGATTGAGAATCGAGCATCCCCTTAGTGCAGCAGAGAGGGGCGCAACCCTTACTTGACTTGGCAAAATTACTGGATAAACAACCACTTAAAAAAAACAAATCCCCGGTTACGCATGTGCAATGGAACATTTAGTCAAATGTTGACAACAGACCAAGACCCTCCTTAGGTTGAAGACTAGTTGGTTCTGAAAGACAAGGAGTTTGTGGGTGACCGAGACTGTTAAAGGAATACCGAAGCTGGCAGCCTTCTTTGAAAATAACGTCAATTTTGAAAATAACGTAATTAATTTAATAAATCACTCTGAACGTACACAATATGCAAATTGCTGTGCTTGTATCAAGATTTGAACATTGTTACCACGTTATTCTTACCTTCCATCATTGGACATAGCTATACCATTAGCCATAGCAAGACCATCTAATACTATCTTATAGTTACTTCCATCGAAATACACTACTGTACTCCACTCCATTCGACACAGTATTTGTACCTTCATCATAAACAAACTTGGACCAGTTCCGTAGTTGGTAAAAAAGAAACTGTCCTCACTAGTAGGTTGTACATCATTGAGGCTGAAATAACAATGAGTGAAGAAGCTTTGTTACATCAACTGGCATTTATCACTTACACCATAAGGTTGTTAATTGTAAATGAAATTAAATGCTATGCGGTCTAACCTCCATCCGTTTTGCACCGACGGACACAAGCCATGTCCTGGGTTCCTATTCTAAGGACTATATATTGTCCCTTGTCATGTCATCCGCTCTGCACCACAGAAAAGGGGGAACCATACCGGAAATCTCGATGAACTTCCTCCATCTCCGCCAACAGGGGACCTAGAGGTTGGAGAGCCAAAGTCTTACTCACTGAGTCATCGTGGCTACTGGTTTGGGATAAATTTAATTTTCTTGAAAAAGACATTCATATTTTGTTATTTAAATTTAGATTTACTTACAGTAACATCGTATTATCAGAATATCGTTTAAATATATAACTTACAGTAACATCGTATCATCACGATATCGTTTAACATGTTTAAGTTGTTTATTTTCAGGAATAAAATCGAACTTTTCTATATAATCAACTCCTTGTTCTTCATGGTTCACCACAAATAATATCTTCTTGCCTGTAAAATATACCAGGGTTAGACGTTAACACAGCATAAACTCAATATCTTCGTCACTAGATCATTAAACCTCATTTGCGTTCTCATTGGCGGATTTTCAGTAAAATATTTTACATTATTGTGGTGTATCACTTTTTTTTAAAGGCTCAATACCACTCTTGTTGTAACTGAAATATATGTCCCAATCTTTATCCTAGTCAACAAATTTTACTATTTTACAATATTCCAATTAATTGATGATACAAAATTCATCTTAACACACCTAATTTAAAAAATTGGAAAAATTCAACTAAATGATTTGAAAAGCCTAACGTAAACCTTTTCAAATGTGACTTGGATTTAAAAATATTTTCAAACCCTCTGGACAAGTAAAATAGGATGTAATGGATAATTTACACAACAGGTAGGACACATAAACATCTAATACTTAGAATAAGGCTATTATTTATTTTCTGGAGCTGTCAAGCCAGCAAGAGTGTTATTGTCTCTTTAAAAAGAAACGTTTTTTGTTATTTATTGCAAATCAAAGTCTCATTACGTGATTTGAGCATACTTTGAATCCCTTGTAAACCACAGTATAGTGAAAGATGATTCGCTATTAGGAATATTGATCCTAAAATGTAGCTATTCCGTTCAGTATTTACAAAGGTGAGAGAGAGAGAAATGGGGTTTAACGTCCACTCGACACAAACTAGGTCATTTCGGGACTAAGACATGGTTCAATTTTATTTCAATAATTCGCTTGCGCGTAGGGGTCTTTAGCAGTGGGAGGAAATCGGAGGACCCAGAGAAAACCCACGAGGTTGGACAGGCGACCCTCCTCCTTTCCACGTACATACAACCGGGGATTCGAAACCACGCCAGTAGACTCAATGACAGACTTTATGATACAGCACGCACGTGCTAACCATTCAGCAATCCAACCCCCCATTTACAAAGGTATACTGAGTTGAAATTTCATTGATCTATGCGGCTCGCTATGTAATAAGCTCACACTGTTTTGCTGTAGGCAAACACAATTGATAGGCCTAACTTAAAGCAGATTGAATCCAAGCCGGGAGGTTATCTTGAGTTAGTATTTTGATTTTGTTTTCTAAATCTAATGCGAAATGATAAATCTTAGTACATATAAGCCACAAGAAACTTAAAGGCCCATTATGTAAGAATTAGATTAAGAGCTAACCATTCTTGCTCTAATAGTTCAAAAATAGATAATGCCAAATGACAACATTGAAATTTCATTCAAATTACTCTATTCTGAGTCAAATTATCAATGTTTATAGTTTTGAAAAGATATGTGCATAGTGGTAACCAGGACTATGGTATATTTGAGAATTAGCCTCGCTTTCCCATTTTTAAATTAAATTTTTAAATGGCGAACCGTTCTAAGCTAGTTAAAATCTCGAGAGTTGATTATGGTCTTGTTTTGTTTATGAATGCCAGGGGCGGATCCAGGAATTTTTGCAGGACGGGGTTTGCCAGGTTCCTGAGAAAATGTACACCCCCCCCCCCCTCGGCTTGAAATTATTTTTTAAATACATGGTCTCTATCGTTATTTTGGCGTATATACATACACATTGATCTTTTTAAACAGAGAAATCCAACATCCTGTTTGACGTCAATTTGTATTATGAATTAATACGGTGACATTGTGATTCAATTTTATTGATGCAAAGCATTAATTGTGATATCACATATGTCTACATCATAAAAAAGGTTATTTACCCCCCCCCCCCTCTGGATCAGCGCCTGAATGCATTATTACTAATGTAGATACCTACATAATGCATGTTTAATATAATAGCGAAAAATGCAAACGATGCATCGTTACTTTACACACTACTTTGACTGATATTTACCTGATTTATCAAGCCAACCACCGATTCCATGGGGACGGAATAATTTTACATTAAAGCCACCATTACTTCCTACTATAGACAGTTCTTCTACTTTCGCTTTATTCTTGTTGAAATCAAATAAATACATTCTACCAACAATATTATGTTTAACCATATATTCCCTCGTATGTGCTGTTTGATTTTGTACAGCAAGCCCCTGTAATTAAAATTAGTACTGTGAAGAAGAAAACGATACCAAGACAAAAAGCGTATCTAATCGCTAAATGTTTGCAAAATCAAATCCTATCACTCCAACACACTGAGTTCATCAAGCATATTTCCGCAGTGGCCCAGACTTTCAGATTTTAAATGAACTGTTCACAAGAGAAGTTAAAGCGATCGATGCTTCGAACCATTCAAATGCCCTTCAGTACCACCCATTTATGCTGGATAAAAAGGAGGAAAATATTGCAGTCAATCCTAAATGGTCTTTGATTACAAAAATACATATTTGAGTAATCGTACCTAGAATTTACAGTGGATGACCTGCCAATCAGTCTTAACTCATATCTAATTCCTTTAAATAAATCTAGTCCATCTAACAAGACTACCGCCTTAAGAGAAATAGGGTTTAACGTCCACTTGACAGAAACTAGGGCATTTTGCGATAAACATACGGTTTACTTGCGCTTATGGAGTCTTTAGCAGTGTGTTGGTGAGGGGAGGATGGGGCCTTAAGGGCCTTGATGTATTAAAATAACTAACCGATGTAATAAATGTTAATCCATCTTTAAATGTATAAAAGTTTTCTGAACCAAGACCTGGAATAAGATAAGATTATTGTACTATTAGTGTTTACACAATTGTCTGATTAAATTTCATACATAAAGTGGTATCTAAGACAATGGAGCAGCTGTTAGCTGCAGCACTCAGCGATATACAAATTGATTATTATTATTATTATTATTATTATTATTAAGCGCGTCTTACATGTTAAGCAATGTACATGTATTATGTTTGCGAGAAATTTTGCCAGGACAGCGACGTTAAAGCCTAGTCCTATATCGAATTCTAGCTGTCAAAGGTTCTTTACAGCCACACGGGACGTCGGTTTGTCGTACCATCCGAAAGACTATACTCTGTTCCTAGCCCAGACTTAACCGCCCTGCACCAATGACAAAGGGAGCCAGGCTGGAAAATCCCGAGGAACGTTTTAGACCAAAGTCGGGACATGCTCACTGAGTCACCACGGTGAGCCGACGACATGCTCACTGAGTCACCACGGTGAGCCGACGACATGCTCACTGAACCACCACGGTGAGCCGACGACATGCTCACTGAGTCACCACGGTCGCCGAACAGAACATACAGTGGCATAAATAGAGAGGTTCCGCAAGCAGTACGAACTACGAACACGGCTTCGTACTTCGTACTTCGTTTTTGACAAATATCCGTTTCCGCCAATATGCGAAATCCGAAGTAAGATCTTTAGTTCTTATTGTTCACCTGAAACAAGGAATAAAACTGTTTAGTTTGGTTAAATAAAAAGTATCAAATCAAATCAAATTTTAGTCCTCAAGAGGCTCATTGCAATGGTTTTTTTTTTTGGTTTTTTTTGGGGGTTTTTTTTGTTTTTCTTTTTTTATCAAATGATTCGATCTTATGGCCGACTGTCGTAAAAAAAAACCAAGTTTCACAGCCCGGAAATTTGCCCAAAATCAGAACGATTGCCAACCATTTTGACGCTCATTAACATTCTACTGAATGTCCAGGCTGTCTATAAAACAGCAAAAATATGAATTTCATCCACAAATCAGCGAGAAAATCACGATTTCGTACTTCGTTTTTTTAACCACGAATTTTTACCGATACTTCGTAGAAAATAGACGAAACGAACGCCGCTTATATCAATGACATCACACGAAGTTCGTAGTGCGGAACCTCACTAATATCAGCAGTGGAATTCGGTAGCGATAAGGTGGTCCACGCATTCCACACTTTCGTTTTGATACTCTATTTTCAGACTTACTGATGCCTTTAACCTGTTCACACTTGCCAGGATAATGTTGATTATAGTGTAAATGATAACCCATATAATACCTGAAAAATATTACAGACAACGTATCAAGAGTCCGTCACAATACGCTACTAGACTATAGTGCTAGTGTTTAATAAGATATATTAGCTATTTTACGTTCTGGGAGGTATCAACCTTCCTGAACTACCTCCAGGAAACGGTGAAACAACAAAGAACGACATTTTAAGATTAATTTTGTCATAATCCTTATAGGAAGTATAGAAGTAGATTTCACAAATTAAAAACACTTAAATGGATATACTACTTCTGAATTTATTAAGATGCTACGCTTTGATACACATTTAGGTATCGTTTTCAAGCAAATAACGATACCTAAATGTGTATCAAAGCGTAGCATCTAAATAAATTCATAAGTAGTATATCCATTTAAGTGTTTGAAAAATTCTGTCATTTTCCAAATGAAGGTGTAAAATGGGTGAAACTATAAGTCTAAAGCATTTCGGATGGCACATGTCAATGGACACCCTATAATAGTTCAGCAATGCAGCGAAATACGTCAATATCTTATGTAGCCCCTGCCAGCCTGAGCCACTCTTATTGCCTAAATGAAACGTTGGAACTGAGTCTGCGTTAGTCTGTGTGTACAGTCTGCAGTGGCGGCGCCAGGGGGGGGGGGGGGGGGGGGCAAGGGGGCCATTTGCCCCCCCCCCCCATTAATCTGGTCTGCCCTCCGTTTGCTCCCGCCCCCCCCCCCCAATAATTTTAGAAAATAAAAAAAAGTATTTGTGATACGTTTCGCTAATCAATACCTTCTAGGTTAATAAATCCCAAATCCCCACTCAGTCATAAACTTGCATGTTGTAGAGCATTTCCGACAGTCTATTTTTCAAAATTTTCTTGGCGAGGTCCCCAATGGACTTGCTACTTTGGCGCTCACAAGGGGAATTCGTTGAGGTTCGCAAGTCCGTTCGTTTGACATTTTGTTCTCTAGTCGGATAAACTAGTGATCAGGCGACGGACGGTATCTGGTCAGATCTATTTTATCTCGACGATCGGTGCCTGGCAGAATACTGTAAGACAGCATTTCCGGCAGTCTATTTTTCAAAATTTTCTGGGGGAGGACTCCCTACTTTGACGCTCTTGAGTGGGCTTCGTCGTGATTCGCAAGTCCGGTCGTTGGACACTTTACCCCATCGACCATGCAGTGCCTTAAATACTGCCAGGCTGCATTTCCGGCAACCTGTTTTTCAAAATTTTCTGGGGGAGGCCCCCTACCCCTAGTTAAAGCTCGTGCCTTTGCCCCTTAACCTTGGACTTTGCCCCAGCTTTGCCCCTCCAGTCACCGACGGCTGGCGCCGCCACTGACAGTAGGGTGTAAATCCTCAAGATATACATGGTGTCTCTCACTGAAGGATTTTACGCCCAAGACTATCCCAGGTATACTCAATTGAATTTAGGCCAATGTATGTCCCATTAACATCTAGGATTGGACATGAAATGAAATGAGATGGGGTTTAACGTCCTACTCTTCTGCTCCGACTGGGCTAATAAAGACGGGTCTAGGACTGGATAATCCCCAAGTTCGATGAAATGTCGTTTATATTCATTATTACGGTTAAAATTACTTGAATTTTTTTACTTACGCCGTTCTGAGCACCATTTGTAACAAAAACAGAAACAAAGAGCCAACAACTAACTTCACCAACATTATTGCAAATCTGAAATTTAAGATTACGCAAGAAATTATAACTTGTGTGTGAGAAAACGACTAATTCTGCTTTGAAAAGATAGTCGCATATATATCAAAGTTTACGTTAGACAGCCTGTGAAAGTTCGGGCATAAACCATACGAATTAGTCGAGATTCGTCAGACTATTTGGAATATTTCGTACATATATCAAATGTAAACACCATGGGCTACCATACATCACTTGTAAAGCGAAAAAAAACGCCGAGTTGTGTTTTGCATGTTAGATACATTTCAAGGTCGCTGTTTAAAACCCAGACCGGCAATTTAATCAGGGGCTGGTGACCCATGGTTTTGAATCAGGAACAATTAAGGTCCCGTCCGGGTCCCCCAAAAAACAATATTGATATGTGCGTGTGTGTGTCGAGTAAACGTTATTAAACTCTCTCTCTCTCTCTCTCTCTCTCTCTGCGAATACAATATAGCCGTGTGTTGTAACAAGTGACTTGTAGACTTAACACTAATAACAGCATAACAAGTCACAAGTGTGTATATATTAGAGATGTATTAGCACAGCTCTACACATACCAAACAGTTAAAGCTATGATATTATTGTTTCACTATGGATGACCTAGAAAGACAAAGATGTGGTTAGGCTATGTAGATTCCCCGAATGTCCCCAGTCCAGTTGGTAATCACTGATTATTTAAGGAGTGTTTCTGTGTCACGTGCTTGTTTATAAAACTATGAAAGTAGTTCATCGATCATAAAGTTCAGTATAAAACGCTTGATCTAATAATATACATAACATAGCCTACCTTCAACCAGTATTCAACCAGTGTCGGCCGAAATAGTCAGTGAATGATAATAGCTGTCTCGGCTTCGCTTCACTGCAGGACGAGTTAACAGTTCAATGTCCAGTCAACAAACGCAACAACACTAAGCACAGCTGCACCAAACGTCAATTGCACACATCGGTGGTTTGGGTAGCAGGTTAACGTTTCTTGGGTACATCAATTCGGTCGTTCACATGAAACTAAACGTCTACTCACACTAGAAATTATATTTGTTGTCGAAAGCCCGATTTTTTCTTGGTGACAAAGAGATGAAATGGGGCGAACGGCTCGTCAATCCCATACTATATACTGTTATTTTGAGACTAACATACCTAATTTAATGCGAAGTGTGTGTTTATTACGAGGTATGTGTGTATTGTGAGGTATGTGTGTATTGCGAGGGGTGTGTGTAATGCGAGGGGTGTGTGTATTGCGAGGGGTGTGTGTAATGCGAGGGGTGTGTGTATAACGAGATATGTGTGTATTGCGAGGGGTGTGTGTAATGCGAGGGGTGTGTGTGTATTGCGAGGGGTCGAATTTTACCGACAGGGCACTTTCATTTTTATACATAATCTTTATCAAATGCCAGCTACCAAGGGATCTTTTACGTACACAGTAATGTTCACACTGGTTACGATTTTGACGGTAGCGCCCTTTTCAACATAATTTTCATCGAATGCCAGCTACAAAGGGTTCTCTTAGGTACATACTAATGTGTACACTGTTGGAGCTCGGGTTTTTCGTAACCGCCCGAGCTTCATAACCACACGTTGCTTGTCAGCCCTGCTACCGCCACCTCTGAAATGTGAGAACCGGGCTTAACAAATCCCAAAGGTTCTTCTTGGCGCACACTGGGATCCGAACTCGGAACATTCTGGTCGAAAGGCAGTATCCTACCGCTGGATAAAGTTTATGTAAAACACCTTACGCACCCTTTCTTATGGCGCAAATATTTGTCAAGTGTGAACGTGCTAGTAGAGAATGTTACCCCGGTGTAGTTTTCTTTTGTTAGTGATGTAGGAAGGAGATGCTGGTCACTCGATGGGGCGAAACCCCATAGCATACTATACCTCCTAGCATACTGTTTATCCCAGTTTTTGCAGAAAACGAGGAATTAGTTAAGCCCTATTTCATTTCCCTCGTGAATGGTATTAGTTGGGTTAGATCTATTTGATAAGGCCAACTTCAAGTTTGGTCAAAGGCCACGAGATGTAAACAGGGCTAGCGCTAATCCCATCCCTAAACCTGGACCTAGCCATAACACTTACCCTAACCCTAACCTACAATCTCGCCAACAATCAAGCGCCCTAACCTTATTTACATCTCAACGACCTTGACGACAATTGAGGTGGCCTTAACAAATAGATCTAGCCGTATTAGTTGTGGTCCATTTAGGCTGGAGCGGTCGCGACTAAAACAACTATGTGCAGTACTTGTCAAGTAGAGATCATCGTTGTGTCATTTACAAACTGATTCAAGGTTAATAAGAAAAGACATATACTTTAACAATGTAAAATAACTTGATCTAAAAATATCTACGTCTTGCAAAATTAGGATATTCGGCACATAGTTTATATAAGGGACATAACTCCATTTAAGCGCAATATGTCTCTTACTAGCAATTATTTGCCTGGTGACTTCAATGTTAAATGGCTGTAACATAACAGACTGCAGTTTTTTGCTCATTCCGTTTGTTCTCATCTTTATCGGCACTATGGGGCAATCTGCTCATTTTGATGTTGACTGGGATCAAAATCTCACTTCCGACACAATGATTGCTTTACAGAAAGACACTTTACACCCCATATCCCTCCGCCCTAATATCAACATTATTACCCAAAACCGCTATGAAATTGCAAATTTGATCCATTTTCTCCAATTCTAGACCAAAAAAACAACCAAAACATGCAGGAAGAGTGGAGAAAAAAATTAATGGAAAAATAGTCTAGGCTATTTATAACTTTCTAGTCTGCGGCATCTGGAGCGAGGATGCCGAATGGTTAGCACGTGCGCGCTGTATCATAAAGACTGTCATTGAGTGAACTGGCGTCGTTTCGATTCCCCGGCTTTACGTGACGAGGAGTAGAGTCGCACGCCTAACCTCGTGGGTTTTCTCCGGGATCTCCGGTTTCCTCCGACTGCTAGAGACCCCTACGCACAAGCGAATTATTGAAATACAATTGAACCATATGTTAGTCCCGAAATGACCTAGTTTGTGTCGAGTAGACGTTAAACCTCATTTCTCTCTCCCTTCTATCACTATATAACTGTACGTATTCTCGCTGTGTGGTTGTATCAAGAATTCATAGCCGCATATAATGTATTCGTAGCAGGGTTTTCTAAACATCGATGGAAACATCAGGTCGTAAGTTCAGGTTTAATTTACAGGTGAATCTCTGTAATTACAGATGAATCTCTATATTTACAAAGGTACATTGACATCACATAAAACAGTTTTATCTAAAACGGAACCTATGAGTAATTTAGAATTAAAAACAATGGCTACTGAAGACCCTGTTATTAAATCTCCGTCATTATAAAATAATTCTTTTGTCTTCGTTATGTTTCCATCTTTAACATATAACATCAAAACCTACAAAATATATAAACAACGGAAATATTTATGACGCTATGACAAGAAGTGAACTACTCGGTGATTAAGGCGCAGAATAGATCTCAGTTTGGGCCGAGAATGTGGCAGGGGATTTTCCAGCGTAGTTTTTCTTTGTCAGTGGTGTAGGTCGGATGGGATTTGACAGTTGGAATTTGGGAAGACTATATGCGAAAACGCTACTGTCCCAGCCCCAGGGAATCCCCTACAACAATGAACTTTCTTGGCCAACACACCATGAGGAAATAATCCATGTAGGCTCAAGCAGTACATCTGAGTTTAAGTTTAACTGGGAGGTCCCGTTTTCATTAGTCCAGTCGGAGAAGAACGGTAGGACGTTAAAGTTACAATTTTATATTTTTAAGTTATATTTTTAAAATGTATTAAAATAAAGCCCTAAAATAGATGGTATCTATAAACAGTCCTACCTTGTTAAAGAATAATCCTATTAAGCCTATAATTCACTATTGCCAGTTGAGAAATTGGCAAAAATATCATTTTCAACTTCAAATTCAAGCGTTTGAAGATAGCTACTCCATGGTGGAGAATAGAAAACAAGGGAGGTAATTAGGAGGTAATTGTGTTATTATTTCCGGTGTAAATGAGTGTGAGAATGACACCTATGATCGTATAATAGTGAGTTGACAACCAATTGAGCAAAAGACATAGAAATAATTATGTTTTGACTTTCTTAGAAAATATGAAATTGTAACTTTAAAATCCATTTCATTTCATGTCATTACCTGTGAGGGTGAATGGTAGTCGGGGTATTCCATGGCTTGATGTATTTTATAGATAAAAGGATGGCAGCCAATATATAGATTATCTGTTTTCATATGGACTATAATATTATCTGGATATGTATAAACTGGATAAACCTGGAATATTAAATACAGAACAGTAATTCGGTACCAGTAATAGTCTTTATATAAATTAGCAGTTATCGCCCTTGGTGTGGCTATACATTGGTGTGGTTAAATTGTACGGTTCACAAGACCAACAAAATTTGGTTGTGCTGTTAAACTTAATTTGACTTATTATTAGTTATCGCCCTTGGTGTGGCGACAAATAATTCCTATATAAAGCTATCCATCCGGTTGATCATTGACTTCAATATGGACTTCACGTTGTGTTCTTTTAATACCAAAACTTCGGAAAACCGCGTTGTACTAAATGCGTGTTTATATAACAAAACGCGTCACGTAGACAAAATCCACAATAGTTATAATATTACAGATAAGTTATAAATTATAGTGACCTACGAGTTATTCATTGACTCTGTTAGTAGTATTTAGTTGACTCTGGAGCAAATTTGGAATCGACGTAAAACCCTATTTGATTCCGCATCTGTTCTATTCTATAGATTGATTAGTGTAGTGTTCACTGAACAATAGATTGTGAATAATAGATGAATAAGTATTGTTATAGTGCCCAGGTGTTGATCGTGAGGTTAAACTCATTCGACTTAGTAACACAATTAGAGTGTCATTAATTGTTTAATAATGAATTATTGGTTCTAGGTCGTTTAGGGTTCGTGGATGGTCCTGTGATGTCTGTAATTATAAGGACAGCTGTGTGGTTTTTTTAAAGTGACGGTTTGGTTAAAGGTACATTATGGGAGATTCAATAACGAGTTGGCAGTTCTCACTACAATAGTTAAAAACTAGATAATGTAAAGGCAATTTGTTGAAAATTTCATTCGAATTGATCCACTATGAACCGAGTACTAAGCGATTGAAATTCCCGCCTAGCCTCGATCATCATTACTAAAGTCACTACGATAAACAGCATACTCTCGATTATCCATTTAATCGTTAAATCGTGAAGGAAAGTTATGCAGTAAATCGGCTCATAATCCACTAAAGATTAGCGATGCTATCTAGAGTTGATTATGGTCGGGATGGGTTAATTAATGTCTAATTAATAATTTAGATAACATTTCAGGCCTACAGAAAGACCTGCCAAAGGATCTGTTACATGCAAGGGACCTCTGTTTTTAATACCACCCGAACCACTAGACAGCTGTCCTTGCCCCCCCCCCCACCCCCGTCCTGCATCACTGACATGGGGGAACCACGCCGGAAAACAAATTGAAATAATGAATCTATTTATTTATGAGAGTTTCGTTGTCGAAACTTTGCATGTTAATAAACCAGTAATTTCTATTTCTTAAATAGTTTATATATTTCTTGTTGTCAGGTTCGCGTGATCAACATACCGGGCGCAATTGTGGAGAGAAGGTAATCTCCCCTTGTTTTGTTCCAATTACATGTTGTGTACATGCTGAAGTACACTGAGTAATACCACAAGCAACCTTACCTGTTTTTTAATTAGATCATTGTTTGGTTTTCTTTCTGCTACAACTATTTCTCGGTTCATTATATTGGCAATATACACATCTCTATAAAGACAAAGTCATAAATATCTTTTACTATAACTACTTGGGAGTCACGGTGGTTCAGTGCGTAAGACGTTGGCTCGCTAACCCGGAGGTTCTGTGTTCGGTCTGCAATGGCAAATAGAGAAGTAGGTGGCGCCGAGGCAAAATTACGATAGCGCAATGCAAACTTTTCCCCAAGGGAATATAACTTATCTTAAATTATTCGCGAGAGTTGACAAACTAAACCTGGTCCGATTCTTACCTTCCATCGTTAGACATTGCTATACCATTGGCTACAAATAGATCATCTAATACTATCTTATAGTTACTGCCATCAAAATATACCACAGTATTCCATGCCAAGCGACAAAACATCACAAACCACCAAGGCTGATTCCATTCAGTTGCGGAGTTTGTAAAATAGAAGTTATCTTCGCTGGTAGCTTGAACATCATTAACACTACAAAACACGATAATGCAGAAAGAATCACTGTAGAAAACTAACGAATAAAAACATTAAAGTCCCGTCCAGCGAATCACACATCTGTTAAAACATGATACATTTGGTTTACATGAATGAACAACTTGTAGAATGTTTCACATTTTTTAGCTTAATGTTACATCTTTCATTAAACTATTAATCAATCATAAGGCATAAATAGACCACGTGATACCACCGTGCATCATAAGGATATTATTACGATATCGTTTAATGTTTATATAACTTACAGAATCATCGTATCATCACGATATCGTTTCACATGTTTCAGCTGTTTATTTTCAGAAATAAATTCGAACTTTTCTATATTATCAGCCCCTTGTTCTTCATGGTTCACCACAAATAATAATGTCTTGCCTGTGAAATATATAGATAAAACCCCCAACAATTTTGAACTAATTCAGGTCCACGTGGATGGTAGACCTAATGACTGAATATACTATTTCCTCATCGACAAAATATAGTATGGATCATCTGGTAATACTAAAATATAGTCTGGATTATCTGGTAATACTAAAATATAGTCTGGATTATCTGGTAATACTTAAACACAATATGGATCATCTGGTAAAGCTCAAATAAACTATGGGCCATCTGGAATTACTAAAATATAGTATGGATCATCTGGTAAAGCTCAATAATTATTATAGTATGGATTATCTGGTAATACTAAAATATAGTATGGATTATCTGGTAATACTAAAACACAGTATGGATCATCTGGTAAAGCTCAAATATAGTATGGCCCATCTGGAATTACTAAAATATATATGGATCACTGGTAAAGCTCAAATATAGAATAGTCCATCTGGTATTATTACCGTATGGACCATCTGGTATTACTAAAATATAGTATGGTCCATCAGCTCAAACGACGATTCTTACAAAATGATAAGCTAGTTGATACCTACCTGATTTATCCAGCCAACCACTGATTCCATGAGGACGGAATAATTTTACATTAAAGCCACCACTAGTTCCTACTATAGACAGTTCTTCTACTTTCGCTTTATTCTTGCTGAAATCAAATAAATATATTCTACCAACAATATTATGTTTTGCCATATATTCCCTTTTTTGTACCGATTCATTTTGTAAAGCAACCCCTGCAATTAAAATACTACTTAGAATAACCAAACAGAAAAAGGTTTTTTATAGCAAACCTCTGTAATTATTTTTTTACGAGAAAGACTTTCAATCATTGCACCAATGTTTGCAAACAGATTAAAACACAGATCCTATTTCGTTTCGTTTTTATAGTTCAAAATTTCGTTATATTTGTATTTACTACACGGAAGAGTTGTTATATAACCCGCGTTCTGGTTGATGTGAGGTTTAGCCAGTAAAATGTTCTATTGTTGCGAGTTCTTGGCATAAGATGCACGGAACTGTGGGTATCCTATTAGATACTTTTCAACGCGTCAAAAGCCGCTCGTATGACCCCTGACGGGTCCTCCGACTACAACTGGTCAGATCTTCGTATAGTAAAGGTCCTCGAAAGTATAAAAAAAACGAAACGAAATATAGATCTGTATTTTAATCAGATTGCCAAAGTTTGTGTACTGAAATAGTTTTTATTATTAAGAACCTCCAATATTAATGCCAAAATTATTATTTCGGAAAAAATATAACCCAATTGAATGATTCGTTAAACACTAATTCTGATTTTACTTGAGCTCCAGAAAATTCCCAGGGCCTTCCAGTCTGGTTTCCTTTTGCTACTGGCGCAGGACGTTGGACGTGGCGAGAGAAAGGCAGCTGGTTCATGAGGGCACTATACACCCTAGAGATACATTTTTTATTGGCTGTGCCTCCCACCAACAAAGTGTGAAGGGACTGGTTGGCTGTAGAGCTCAGATTGAAACTGCTCAAGACCCCTACGCGCATGCGAATTATTGAAATAAAATTGAACCACGTGTTAGTCCCCAAAATGACCTAGTTTGTGTCGAGTGAACGTTAAACCCATCTATCTCTCTCCCTCTCCCTCTCTCCCTCTCTCTCACGAGTGTGTGCACTCGCAATAATGTAATGCAACTAGTGCACATATACTACATATCAGGCCGTGGAATGCTTTACACATACGCTAACGCCCTCTGGTGTAATAATGTTGAGAATTGAATTATATTTTTCTGGACATTTTCATTTCAAGATTTTAACTTCAAGACTTTTTGAAACGTAGAAAATATTTTCATAAAAGTTCAAATTCCAGATTTGTTTTTAGATACTTTCAGAAACCAATAAATTGATTTCTTTGTCGTGTAAAATTAAGAAATTATTTTTTAATTTTAATATTTAATGATATATAAAAGTTACCGATAAAACGCCGAAAATGAAACATAAAGTCATTTTTTTGTTTAAGATGTTGATTTTGTGCATGAAATATTGACATAAGAATGTAGAAACAAGAATCAGTGTTTAAACTGGAATGTAGAAACAAGAATCATGAATATTGTCCCATTTGGTCTTCTAAACTGTTATCCATTCACGCTAACAATCATTGATAGCCTATATAGATTATTTCTCCAGGTTTTGTTACACCCGTGCGTTGATATATAGATTATATATAAAATTAGTAAGCCAGTGTAACTAGTTTAGATATACGTATATATGTACATTATAACATAGTCTTACCGTCAACAACTTCTGATCCCCACAGTAATTCCGTTTAAATTTTTAATTATAATCCTCCTTTCTCGTCGGTTAACATAATATTTGACTGATCCTATTCTCTTTAACTTGACCTTGTTTAACCACAGTTGAACAGTTGCACAAAGGCGACAACAACAAACGCAAATGCAACGCCCTGACCCCAGTGGTGCAGAGGCAAATGAACCGACACGGTTGTGGTGATCAGGCTTATATCTAGGTCAATGTAATCTATTTCCAGTCTAAAGCATAATGTAAACTGAAGTCAAGGAAAAGCGGAAATATATATAGGTTAAATCGCGCTGGTAGAACGGGACTCCGGAGGTGTAAATAGTCCAGAATATCCTTACATAAATCTGTATTGAACAGAGTAAAGTCCTAACGGGGGGGTTAAATTATGGAAGCGTATTAGTGCAAGGTTTTAAAGAGAAATTATACCAATATCCACCACGTTGGACATAAAATGTCCTAATCAGGACAGAATATCCATGTAGGACAGTATGTCTCAGGCCCGGCGGAGTAGGGGGCTAGGGGGGGGCTTTAGCGCCCCCAATTTTTTGGCCGCAAGTACCCTTTTCTCCAGGTTGTTGAACGCAAGTAACTATTCTATTAAAAACAAAAAGGCTTGAATTTAACATAGAAGTGAGTAGAAGTGAGACTTCTATTACGTAGACTTTCAGTAGAAGAAAACCCTGCTATGCTGTATACTGTTCCCAGGGTTAAGAGACCCGCGATTGCGAGGGTCGCGATTAGAAAACTGAACGGTCGATCTTTATTTCAAGTCCATCTTATGTCTGTTGTATCTATGACATATTAGGTAATTGGAAAAACGACGGGATAGAGTTTTATTTATACTCTTTCCTTGTGCCCCTTATCCATCAAATAATTCACTGCTATGGCCAGTTGAAACAAGCGGTTGCCATGCAAGATATGTCCACATTTTGTAAGAAATGGACGGGGGAGAGGTAAAATCAAAAGGGCTATCATATCATTCAAGATCATTTGATCCTTAAGATATTTAAGGTTCATCAGAATGGGATAACAATGGTAGCCCCCTCCCCCCCCCCCCACACACACACCTGGGAGTTCCTACAACATCCGTACATATTTCAGATTTTGCGTGAAAAACAGGGGCTATAGCTCTATAAAGTAAGGTCTGATGCTACCAAAGTCGAACTGATCCAAGAACTTTTGATCCTTAACAAACGGTTGAAGTTCATAGTGAAGGGTACACAAACTTCATTCATATTTAACATTTTGTGTAAAAGGCAGGGGCAGATGCGCAAGCAAATGGAACCCATCCATTAACTACTGATACTCTTTTTAAGTTTCATCTAAATCGGATAAAATTGTGACCTCTAGATGGTCCACAACCTTGGTATTACATGATTTTATTATACTATTTTCGAAAAGGGGACTGGCTATTTGACGGGGAAGTTTCGGTCCGATTTTGCGGAAATAATTATTGTGTAACAGTTTTGAAAATAAGATACAAATTGTGACCTCTAGATAAAACATGATATTGCCTACAATCAGGGGATCAGAATCCAGAAAGTTACGGTCCAATACGAGCCAATATCGAAGAAAAGCAGATCTTTGGGATATAAATGTATATTTTAAATTTCATCAAAATTGGATAAAAAATTCGAACCGCTGGATGGTCTACAACCTGTTTATTACGATCAGATCTTAATGTTAAAGCTACTAGCAGATTTCGTCAAGGTCACGACATGTAAACAGGGTTAGGGCAAGTGATTGTTGCAGATGATTGTGAGTTAGGGTAAGGGCTAGATCTTTGGTTAGGGTTTGCGCTAGCCCTGTTTACATCTCGTGACATTGGCGAAATCTACAGGTGGCCTTAATATTTAGATCTAAACTGAATATTATATGCTTTTAGGGGAGCGGCCATTTTGTCGGCCAGGTCGGTCTCATTTTCAGAAAATGTGAACTCAACCGTAATTATGGTGTACCAGTGATATATTCGAATGCCTTTTAAATCGGATAAAAATTGTAACCTCTAGAGGTGTGATGGTGATATATTCAAACGTTTTTTTATAAATTGGATAAAATTTATGACCTCTATAAGGTCCACAAGCTCAAAAACACATTTTGCGTACAATCAAGGGCCATAATTCAAGACGTTACGATCCGATATGCAAGAATATCAAAAGGAACCAAGATCTTTGGGTTATAAACATGTATTTCAACTTTCATCAAAATCGGATGAAAATTGTGACGTCTAGAGGATCCACAATCTTGATATACTATATATTTTGCACTATTTGCGTAGGTGGGGCACCCATTTTGTCCGTCAGTTTTGGTCCGATTTTCACGAAATTCAAAAGCAATCGATATTAAGGTGATATATTCAAACGTTTTTTTTTAAATAGGATAATAAGTGTGCCCTCTAGAGGCACCACAAGCTAAAAACTCGATTTTTCGTAAAATCAGGGGCTATAATCCAGAAAGTTACAATCAGATATGCGCGAATATGGAAAGGAACCAAATATACATTTCAAGTTTCATCAAAATTGGATGAAAATTGTGACCTCTAGAGTGCCCATAAGCTAAAAATATCATTTTTCGTACAATCATAGGTCATAATCCATGAAGTTACGGTCCAATACATGCCAATTTCGAAAGAAACCGAGATCTTTGGGAGATAGACCTATATTTCAAGTCTCGTCAATTTCGGATAAAAAAATTTAACCTGCTATAATTGAATGTTTTTTTACAATCAAATAAAAACTGTTACTTCTACTGGGTCCACGGTTCGTAAAATCATGGGCCATAATCCAGGAAGAGACGGTCCTATATATTCGCCAATATCGAAAGGAACCGAGATCTTTCGGTATTAAACGTAGATTGTAAGTTTCATCATGCATTATGCATATATTTGTCAAGTTCAGCATCACAGGATTAAACCACCATAGATTGTCGTTTTATGGTAAGGGAGTTAAAAAAGAAATAAAATTTCACTTCATTGCCGAGTAATTTTATTAGCCAGAAATCGCTTAGGCAGCCCCTGGACCCTCCCCTATGGACCTAGGATGGTAGCCCCCCCGCAATCAAGAATTGCTTCCGCCGGCCCTGTGTCTACTTGAAACAACACAAGTTTCATAAATTCATAAGTTTGTGTTGTTTGATAACAAGTTTGTGTTGTTTAAACACACATATTATGTCCTGTAGACATAATATCTACTACGTAGGACAGTACATGATATCTACTACGTAGGACAGTATATCTACAGGACATAATATGTGTGTTTAAACAACACAAACTTGTTATCAAACAACACAAACTTATGAATTTATGAAACTTGTGTTGTTTCATGCAAACTTGTGTATAACCTCCAACAAAAACCAGTTCATATCCAGTATAGCAACCTTTCCCATGCAGTCCCCTCCTTTTGTTCTGTTTTAACTGTAATATTTGATAAATGACATGACAACAATTTTGTTTGTTAAATTATAATCTATTCATTAAATTATAATCTATTCATTAAATTATAATCTATTCATTAAATTATTATATATTTATTAAGTTTTTATATATTCATTAAATTATTATTCATTAATTAAATGATATGAACAATTAAATTAATGCCAAATCAAAACTAATCAGACATTTTGAAGGGTAATAAAAACAATAGTAAGCCCAATACTAACAAAATTGTGGTATACAATGAAAATATACCCTCCCCCCGCCAACAAAAAAACTCATAAAATAAACATAGCTATTTAGAATACTAATCAACTAAGTTAATTCCAAATTGTGTTATATAATAAGCAAGCAAAAGAGACATTAATTATGCACTAAACTGAAATACTTTCAAAAACTGAAAAACTACATACAAAATGAAATATAAGAGAATGTACAAAATAATTATATACAAGTCAAAAGCAAGGGATAGGGGAGGGGGGGGTCACGGTGGTTCAGTGAGTATAAGGAGTTGGCTCACTTACATGAAGGTCCCTTTTTGATCTTGGTATTGGCCGAGAAAGCTCATCTGGATTTTCCAGCATAGTTCAGTGGTGTAGTACATGGCAAGGGACGATGTATAATCCCTCGGATGGGATGACAAATCAAGGTCTCATATCTTATATGCACTTTAAAGAACTCTTGACAGTTGAAATATTTAATAAAAGAGGAAGACGTAGCACTGCTGCCAGGGCAGAATTACCCACTTTATGATTTCCAACCAAATTCTAAGTGATTTATAGGTCACTTTACAGTCTATATTTTACACAAATATCTGGAGAGAATTAAAATGTAATTGTGTTTGGGAGGGATGTTTAACATTAAAAACAAAAAAAACATATTTAAATTACTGGCCAAATGCAACATATAACTTATTAGCTTTTACAATCACTACATTCTTTTTCAAAATTATAAAATAATTTGATGGCTTAATATTCAAAAGGCATATGGTTGAGTTCTCTTGTTGTTGTTAACATACATCAAATGCTCTCTTGTCTGAAAAAAAAAATATATATATATATATATATATATTATTATACATTTTAGTAAGCAATAAATGTATTTCAATGGTTCAGAATGTTTAAATAAGACAAGAGAAAACATTAAAAACACGAATCCTGTAATATCTTAAAGATACTACATATAAGATTTTAGGTGCTGGAATTCTCACTATAATAGTTAAAAACTAGATAATGTAAAAGGGATATGCTCAAAATTTCAGTCAAATTGCATCCAAACTTACTCCCCACCCCACCCCTTTGCACGTAGCCTACAGAACAAAATGATATGTTACTCTCAAAATAAACTATGTGTTTGTATAAGAGGCAGGCCATCTTTAAAATTCACCATCTTACGATTTTTAGGTCGTCTATTTATAGCAATTATCTGTTGGTGGCAGACCACCATTAAATTTCACCATCTCGGTACCCACAAATTGTACTTCGTCTATTTATAGCAATTCTCTCTCTGTCTCTTTTCTCCCCTTTTGCATGCCCAATTTTTGTTGATTTTTTGGTCTAGAATGGATGAAGAGGGTTTGAATTAGTTTGTGTATCTCAAAATTTTGGTGGTCAACCTCATACAAATTTTAGTGCAAACACATGACCATTTGTTCCTCTGTCTGTAGTGAAAAGCATTCGGGCAAACGAAAATTTGGGGAAAAGTTGGAGGCGGGCAAAGAGTCAGAATTAACATTGAAGTCGATGGGAAATTAATGGTGGTCTGTATCCTGTTGATTTAAAAGGAGTTGTCTCCCTTACATAACTGCTCGTCGCTGTTAATCTTGCTTTGTGTGAATTGTCATTAATGGTCATTCACTGAGCACCACTTTAAAGGATGCGGTTAGTGAATGGTTAAACTGAAGTTACAGATTTTAATTAAATTGTTCCAAATTAGAAATACTGCGCATATTGAATTCCACAGTCCGGTAAGCATATCTATTAACGTATTAATTAACAGAGTGGGGACTTTGGACTGCTGAACTATTATTGACACACATAGAGTGACATTTGTCATTGTGCTACAAAGCTTATCCTTTAGAAGTAGAGGCGACGTATAGTAGGCTTATTCAGTTAAATACTATCACCGATTCAATTTAATTTTACCGTCAGTCATATTTTAACTGAAGAGAAAGTGCGATTACAACTTGTGGCTAGACAGGTATGTCATTATGCATATCCATACACTTTGAATTGTTTTATGAGCGATGCGATAAAATACCGATGTAGTCCTAATATTGAATCCATAGTTGTGTATCGTAGTCGTACAATGTAAATCTGTGTATGTTGATTATGAAAATTAAAACCCTGCTAAAGACTCCACCAATATCGACTTGAATCTAATTATCTATATAATATAGCAGTTTGATTCAAATATGACCGGTGGCGATGAAACAGGATACAGACCACCATTATTTTTTCTCAGCCTAGTTCCCTTCTATTTATAGCTTGTTTTGGGTTGGGTTTGTTTTTCTTTGGGAGGGGGGGGGGTATTGTTGTTGACATTTTGGTATATAATCGGAGACAATGGTTTAAACTTACATTTGCAGTCAGGTTGTTTTTTTATAAGCGTAAGAATAATTGAGCTAAGCGGTTGGGGCAGACGGATCTACGCTACTTCCAGTTTGTGTATCGCAAGATGTCCATGGTTGAAACGCTGCCACAAGTAATGTTGTTCAATCTTTGGTAGGCAGTGAAAGCATGTCATCGAAAATTTAAGCGGCACTTAGAACCCGTCAAAGAGACAAGAATTAGCATTAAAGTAATATACAGTGACCTGTCGGGGAAAAATGATTCCGGCAAATGATCAGCCGGATTCGTTCACATTGACTGCTCACTAAATGTACCAGGCGTGCTAGAGTCCTATATGTTATTGTATACTTGCACAATAAACGGGAGTCTGTTTCACGAAATTTTAACTAAGATAAAATCCAAATTTTAGTAATTTGAGTGGATGATATTAGATTGATTTTAGTGCTTGGCCAATCAAAATTGAAGTATCTACTAAAATTTGGATTTTATCCTAAGTTAAAATTTCGTGAAACAGGGCCCGGCTAGTCTATATCTCAACACTAGCTTTATTTAGACGTTAACTTTTCAACAAAGATAGATAATCAGCTCATAATACAAATCAACATTAAAACCCATATCAAAGTGATCTAGCCATTTTAAATATGCAAGCCACGCAAGTATTCGGACTTGACGTTCAGTGATATGTGTTATTTTCTTACAGAGCTAAAAATGATATCTTTAAGTCCGTATTCTATCCAAATATTAGCATCTACAAAGTTATTTAAGGAAAATATTCTCTCAATGACAGAATGACAGGAATCCGGTCCCTGAATTTTAATTTTATAACTTACGTGGATTTCAGATTTGCAAACATGTTAATGAAATTAGTTATCGGTTCTTTGTTCCTGTTTTTGATACAATTGGTCCTGAAAAATGTGTAAGTATTTCTCTATTTCATAATATTGCAACTCTTCATGTCTGGTGTCGACATCCAGTTATATAAATGAATAAATTATTAATTAATTTTTATATACAGTAATGAATAAATTATTGATTAATTTGTATATACAGTAATGAATAAATTATTGATTAATTTTTATAACCAGTAATGTATCTTTGGGCATATCGAATACGATAAGGTAGATAAACGTACAAATCAGTTCAATTTGGTTTTTAGAAATGGAACAGTACTTTGTCATCAAAGAGAGAAAGAAATGGGCTTTAATGTCCATTCGACACAAACTAGGTCATTTCGGGACTAACATATGGTTTAATTTTATTTCAATAATTCGCATGTGCGTAGGGGTCTTTAGCTGTGGGGGGAAACCGGGGGACCCGGAGAAAACCCACGAGGTTGGACAGGCGACCCTACTCCTTGTCATGTACAATCGTGGATTCGAAACCAAGCCAGTTGAATCAATGACAGGCCTTATGATACCGCGCGCACGTGCTAACCATTCGGCCATCCAACCCCCCCAGTTTGTCATCAAACACATATGCTTAATAAACATATTTGTGACACAGTGATGTAATATTTTTCAGGTATTATATGGGTTATCATTTACACTATAATCAACATTATCCTGGCAAGTGTGAACAGGTTAAAGGCATCAGTAAGTTTCAATATCATATTAAAGTTCTATTTTACAGTATCAATCAGGCTAATAAAGGCGAACATACGCCACGTAGTGAGGTTAATCATCGAATTCTGTCAACAATTCTTTTACATCAATACCAAGGACTGTTCGGCGGGACCTCGTTCAGCTAAGGCCAATCATATTGGAAAGTACTGAGAAACTTTCTGGGATAACACCGGAATCGAACCCGATACCTCTTGGTTAGTGAGCCAGACCCATTCTCCTCGCATACTTAGTCCGTACATTTCTTAATGTGTCTCTCATCGGAAACTAGCCAATTACAATTAAATTTTACTAATAATTAACTAAAGAACGAAAATTGCATGTGGCATATGTAACTTATAACTTTTAAGCAAATTGACAAAATAAAAAACAAATTTTAATTTAAACGTGTTATTGTCGCATGAGTTGACACATGAGCTTAAAAATTATGTTTAATGTAGTCGAGATTAATAAACTGTTTATCTTCAGGACGCGCCCCAGGCATATTGGATATAAAGTTGTATTAGACAATCGTTTATAAAGACTGAAAAATGTTATTTATATAGTAATTTAGAACATTGAAACGGAACACTAAGGTATTCGAAAGATGTCTTGGTTTCGATGTTAGTTGATTCACATAAATTTCAAATGCTTGCGGTCGTATGAAAGTGGCTGTTTGAAACCAAAAGATAATTTAACTGGCAATAACTAAGATTGAAAGAGAAGAATATTGTTTTGACTAACATATTATTTGACGAGAGTACATCAATTGATTCATATCCACGTGTTTAAGAAATACATGTAAGAATATAATATAACAGATAGAAATTATTACCCAAATACACGGGAAATGGTATCTAGTGTTCTAGAAATAAACCACTGTCTCGTAAAATTAAATAATTTTATTTAATAATTATTTCAGGTCTTGGTTCAGAAGATTTTTATACATTTAAAGATGGGTTAACTTTCATAACATCAGTAAGAAATCCCCCTTCTTAATGAAATGCTTTAATAACCAATCAATTACCGCGTAACAAATGTTGGTCAAGAAAGTTCCTCGGTATTTTCCAGCGTGCCTTTCCCTTGTCAGTGATGCAGGGTGGAGCGCCTGCAAACAAACAACGTCTAGTCGTTCGGATTGTGCGAAAAACTTAGGTCCCATGTACGTAATAATCCCTTGGCAGTTCGAATTTGACGAAAAGTAGGCGGAAGAGCAGCTTTTTGAGAAAAAATTCCTTCACAGCACCCTGTATGACGTTATTTTTATTGATGGACGAAAGCTAACCAGATTTAAGGCGACGCATACCAAGGGTAATTTGTTAACGATATTTTCTATTGTAAGGCGCATATAGTCCGTGAGATCGTCGGCGATACAGTGTCAACAATATGTGTCATCAAAATGTTTTTAGTAGATTTACGTTATCAAGAGGGTACACTCGGCAAACCTCAGCAGATTCCAGTACCCTACATTTAGCCTCAACTGTATGACGAAGTCCGCCACTACTTTCAAGTTGCCGGATTACCAATGACGTTGCCCATGACGACGCCTTTGAAGAATGTTTTATCATATAAATATGTCAAAGTCTGAAGCTGTTTAAAGTTTATCCGATTTTCTTCAAACAAAGACAACTTAATTGCACTGAAAATTCTACACACGCTTCGAACGACGCAATTTTGATAACTTCTTTTTGAAAGCGAGAAGTTTTCCTAATAAGTAAACCGGCGCCGCATCACTTACCGTCATACAGCCGAGACTAGATGTAGAGTAACGAAATCTGCCGAGGTTTGCCGAGTGCACGAGGGTAGTGGATTCAACGCTGTACAAAAAGTTCTACTTCTCAACACCAAGCGATCGATAATTCCCTAATTGTCTATGACCAGACGTCGACGACCAGTACCGGGATTTACTTAAAGATACATGGCGTTACTTAAAGATACATTAGTTAAGGGTATTATAATGAATTGGCAATTTTTGCTATAATAATTCAAAAATAGATGATAAAAAAAATGTTGAAAATTTCAGTCAAATTACTTTGTTCGGAACGGAATTGTCACTGTTGGAAGTTTGGACTAGAAATAGGCATCAATTGTGTCTGCACCGTTATGAGAATTGGCGATCGTTTGATTGACAGACGATAACTCCACCCACATATTCTCGATTATCAAGTAACACGATCAATGGCTATGGTAGCCTCGCTTGAATGTCTTTTCATCACCAGTTTCAGGTAGTAACATCAGCGACTAACGATAAACGTTAGCTTGGTCCACCATTTATTGATTTAATTTTAAATGGACGACTGTTTAAATCCAAACCGTAACCAAGCCGATTTTGAGCTTGTGTAAATAAAGGTCTAATTAATATTTTTTATAACATCTAAAGCCTAAATAAAGACTTGCAATAGGCAGATTCCGCTCTTGCATAATGTATGTTTAGAGGCTGAAGTCTAGGACCTCAAGTTCTAAAAGGCAGGCCTCGAGCCAAGTTGTATAAAATATGATTCACACCGTCATAAGCGTTTCTTACCTGTAGTCTTCAACACCCGTCATTATCCCCACCTTTGCTCAATTATCTGGTTGATTGGGAGGGCCGTCATACGTGTAGTAGACCAGGGCCTCTCTTCATCGAAATACATGAAATAGTGTTCTCTGAAAATTTTATCCTTACGGATTAGCGGCGACTAGAAATAAGGTAGATGGATATAAATAATCATAGGTATTTTGGTCTTTGATATTATTTATGCTGTCAGTGCATGAACTAAATGGCCGTGAAACCAAATTACAATGTCGTTGAAATGTTTTTCTTTTTTCATTTAGTTAATTGTGTTGTTGTGGACTTATTTTAATTTCAGGGAGTAGCCATTCAAAATAATACATTTGGTCAGCGAGAATATATGATTAAACATAATATTGTTGGTAGAATGTATTTATTTGATTTCAACAAGAATAAAACGGAAGCAGAAGAACTGTCTATAGTAGGAAGTAATGGTGGCTTTAATGTAAAATTATTCCATCCTCATGGAATCAGTGGTTGGCTGGATAAATCAGGTAGCTATTACCAGACGTCAACTACTGTTTGGGCCGTGGTTCTTTCACATTTCACAGTAAAGTTAGCTCTCAACCATATTTTTTGCTCAGTACTTCGTCACCTGAATATAAAAGATAAGCCGAGGATTGTTTGGTGTCTTACGTCGGTCTCTAGCTCTAGCGTGCTGATGCGGTAACCAACTCTAAAATCTGTCCATCATATTGGAATGTTGTCTGAGGGATCGGAGTCCAGTCCCTTCTTTTAAAGACGGGGCAACGCCCATAGTTGAATGTGTCAGACAGTAACGCCCGGGATTTACAAGGTACTATTTAATTGATTAGTTAATCGGCAGAACTTATCCCTGGATTCAAACACTGGGAGCGGAGGGATTATTTCGTGATTCATGATGGAGTACAGGACCAAATTTGGATTACCAGACAGTTGGCGCGCGCGTCACTGAACAAGTTTATTTCTAGGACACATAATTAAGCTCAAATCTTATTTACAAGTCAAACAGACTTCCCAAATGCATCAAGGCAATTGATTACATAGATTATCAGGTCATCCAACGAAAACACTGATCCGAAATCTTAAACGGATTACGTGGCCGGATAAGCGGTTTTGACGTGTACGTCCAAACGACTCAATAGTGTGAGCTGCAAGTTTGAGACAAGGTAAATACACCATTCCTCTATGTTTTTGTGCATATATTTGATACGTACACGGACGTTTATTTCTGAGACTCTGTTGTTAGTATCGGCATGGTTCCTGTAATGTTAGACTCCCTATATGGGCTATAGTTGAAACTATATTGTTGTTAATTTCAAAATTTTCGGTTTTCTTTTCTTTTTACAGGCATGAAGATATTATTTGTGGTGAACCATGAAGAAAACGGAGTTGATTATATAGAAAAGTTCGAATTTATTCCTGGAAATAAACAACTTAAACATGTAAAACGATATCGTGATGATACGATGATTCTGTAAGTTATATAAAACAACTTAAACATATTGTGATAATACGATTTTACTGTAAGTTATATAAAAACAACTTAAACATATCCGACAATGTGCTGGCGATGTTAATATGCTAAAATAAAAAAAAACTATGCACCGCCTGTAAGAAGATAAGGCCATAACTTAGTTTACGTGTACCAAATGAAACTGAATGTGGGTCGTCAAGATTTAGCTTTTACAGAATTGCGATTTATTGTGTTACTAATTCTATGTCGTTAGCACATTTAAATAATGTTATTTCATTTTTAGCATCAATGATGTTCAAGCTACTAGCCAAGACAGCTTTTATTTTACCAATTCCGGTACAGGTTCCGGAACAGTTTTGACGATGGTACAACTATTTGGTCAGCTTGCATGGTGTACAGTTGTGTACTTTGATGGCAATAATTACAGAGTGGTATTAGATGGTCTGGCTATGCCAAATGGTATAGCTATGTCTAATGATGGCAGGTATAATGACACTATAATATATTCTGATAGGAACTATAGAGATATTTTAGAGCAGGGAAACGATTTGGGGTATATGGAGTCCGTCAATATTTTATAGAGTGGTATATTTAGGGTGGGATATTTAAATGTAAATATAGAGCGGTATATTTAGACAGTTATTATAGAGTGGTATATTTAGACGGTCAATATAACGTGGTATATTTAGGCGGCCAATATAGAGTGGTATATTTAGACGGTAAATATAGAGTGGTATATTGAGACGCTAAATATAGAGTGGTATATTTAGACGGTAGATATAGAGTGGTATATTTAGACGGTAAATATAGAGTGGTATATTTAAACGATTATTATACAGTGGTATCTTTAAACGGTAGATATAGAGTGGTATTTTTAGACGGTAGATATAGAGTGATATATTTGGACGGTAAATATAGAGTGGTATATTTAGACGGTAGATATAGAGTGGTATATTCAGACGGTAAATATAGAGTGGTATATTTAGACGGTAAATATAGAGTGGTATAATAAGACGGTAAATATAGAGTCGTATATTAAGACGGTAAATATAGAGTCGTATATTTAAACGGTTATTATAGTGTGGTATCTTTAAACGGTAGATATAGAGTCGTATATTTAGACAGTAAATATAGAGTTGTATATTTAGACGGTAAATATAGAGTGGTATAATTAGACGGTAAATATAGAGTGGTATATTTAGACGGTCAGTATAGAGTGGTAGATTTAAACGGTTATTATAGAGTGGTATATTTAAACGGTTATTATAGAGTGGTATATTTAGACGGTAAATATAGAGCTGTATGTTTAAACGGTCAATATAGAGTGGTGTGTCACGGTATATTTAGAGGTTAAATATTTGCAGTACATTATAATTTACTTGTAATATTCTACATTTTAATAATATTATTTATTACAGATATGTTTATATAGCCACTTCTATGAGTCGTGAAATAGTTGTTACAGAGAGAAAAACAAACAATGACTTGATTAGAAAACAGGTAATTACTACAAACACAAGTACAACAAAATGTTGTTAACTTATGTGACGACGTCAAATGAGAAGTGGTATAGATTTTTTCCCAAATGAGTAAACATACCTTTCCTAGTGCACTGACCTAGATGTTCGAACTTGGCACTCGAGGTCCATAGAAACTGGGTAGAAAATAAAACAATTATAAACTTTTAATCCCAATTTCGTGACCAGATGGTGAAATGTAAAGTTGGTCTGAATCCCACTGAAAAAGTAGTTCGTCAATTGTCTCAGCATACAGCATCTCGTTTATTTTCAGAGTAACGTATTATTTGGTTATGAACGTGCAAAGATGAGGTTTAACGTCCGCTCGACACACACTATGTCATTTCCGGGCTAACATTTTATTTCAATAATTCGCTAGCGCGTATGGATCTTTAGCAGTGGGAGGAAACATGAGAAAATCGACGAGGTTAGACAGGCGATCCTACTCCTTGTCACACACACACAAGCGGGGAATCGAAACCACGCCACTTGACCCAATGGCAGACCTTTTGATAAAACGCGTTATACTAGACACCCCCACCCCTCCCTCCGTGGGTAAAGGATGTATAAGTATTTATTGGCTATATTTCAGGTTTATCCAGTTTATACACATCCAGATAATATTATAGTAGATATAAAAACAGATAATCTATATATATGTGCACATCCTATAGCATATAAATCATTTCAAAGTATGGATATACATAGACCCGCTCAGGTAAAGTATGGATATATATACATAAGAGAGAGAGAAATGGGGTTTAACGTCCACTTGACACAAACTAGGTCATTTCGGGACTAACATATGGTTCAATTTTATTTCAATAATTCGCTTGCGCGTAGTGATAGGAAACCGGAGGGTCCGGAGAAAACCCACGAGGTTGGACAAGCAACCCTACTCCTTGTCGCGTACAACCGGGGAATCGAAACCATGCCAGTTAACTCAATGACAGACTTTATGATACAGCGCGCACGTGCTAACCATTCAGCCATCCACCCCCACCCCCCACTCGGATATACATAAACCCACTCAGGTAAAGAAGTATGGATATATTTACAGTGATTGGCATCCCCCCCCCCCCATAACGTCACGCCATGTGTGTGAATTTGTTCAATAAACAACAGTGCATGATCGAAGCTAATTTAAAAAAAAAAGCCATATCGACTGGTGTTCTCCATTAATGGAGTAGTTACAGATATATTTTAGTGATGAAAAGGTATGACAGTTTTGTGTTTTGACAATAGTGTCGATTGTTAAGTATCAATTTTACGATAATAAACAAACAACGTGTTCTAATCCATCCATTACAACGTTCAACTTTCTGTTACCTAGTCAATTTAGTCACGTGGTGTAAGTGCCTGGATAACCATGCATTATATGACAGTTTTATGTTTTGATAATATAGTATCAATTGTCAAGTACCATTTCTACAATAATAAACAAAGTCTTAACGCTAAATTATTAAATGCCATCGTGTTCTAATCCACTCATTACAACGTTCAACTTTCTGTTACCTGGTCAATTTAGTCATAAATTCCCAAATACCACGTGCTGTAAGTGCCTGGATTACCATGCATCATATTCATGTGGTTCGATATGGATTGTGTTGTATTTTATATAAGGGGTGCTGGGTGGGGGTGGGGGGGTAACCTCAAGGAACGCCCCAGTCGGTACAATCTATAGCTATAAAGTGTTCATACCATATCATATTCTTTATACTATATATTTTAGGTTTTGATGTTGAAAGTTAAAGATGGAAACATAATGAAGACCAGAGAATTATTATATACTGATGGAGATTTATTGTCATGGGCTTCAGTAGCCATTGTTTTTAATTCTAAATTACTCATAGGTTCAATTTTAGATAAAACTGTTTTATGTGATGTTAATGTACCTTTGTAATATTTCGTATAAGTTTAAAGGGGACTACGTGTGGCATTTAATCTATTATCTAGTATTAAAATAAAGTAGAATCGAGAAATACACATGTTGGGTTTGACGTTATGACGGAACTGTCAGCAAGTGTAATTAAACAAAGCAGCGCTCCAACTACTTCCTTGTAGTGTAGTCACTAGGGCACGTGCATATACGCTGTTTATTCACAGATGTGTTAATGCAAGAGCTAATGGTTATTTCCCTATCAGTAGTATAGTTTCTCTTATCTGTGACTGTGTATCTAACTGTGAGTTTAGATACATTATGAATTACTAGCCAGGGCGGCTTGACACGAATCATTATTACTGCCGATTCTCACTTTTACAATAAACGTAAGTGTAAAACCCACCCGAAATTATTGTGTGTTCTTATTTTCCCCTTTAAGTATAGCTATACATATACCCATGTTCGCACAACAGCGGGGTTATGGGAGGTAGCGACACCCCCTGAGCATAGTCCAGATAGACAAATCGGCGGACTTGTTTTGCCGAGTCAGCCGGATTTTTACACATTCAATCAAACCAAAATGAGACCTACAAATCAATATTCAACTATAGGTATCCTGGACTTGTAGATGCGTATGTATAATTTCTATCGATATTTACTGAAACTGCGAGAAGTTAGCTCGCAATAAGATCTGCGGCGACAAACCTGGCGATAGCGCCGGTTGGCAATGTTCAGACTGTTGTTAATCAAACCGACCTTTTTTTTCTCTCTAAGAATTCATCCACTGCGTTATGTCATAATGAATTGGGGCGATATTCAATGAGTGTTGTTATATAAGTTCGTATTGTCCAGTAGATTGTCATGATCTGTAGTCCATTCTCGTTTGTTTTCATCATGCCGGCCTCATCTATGATACACTTAAAGCGAATGGAAGCAGTTTCCATTGACTTCCGGTGGGAAATCTTTGGATTTCCATGATCTGAAGTTCATTTTGGGTGTTTTTTAAATCATGCCGACTCGGTCTATAATACGCTTCAAGCGAAGGGAAGTAGTTTTTATTGACTTCCGGTTGGAAATACCAATTTCCGGTGTCAAACTCGGATCGATTTCAGTTTAGAGAAATCTATCACGCGGTACTACTTTTTGTGGCTTCTGAAGAATGGTAAATGTTTTATGCAGTCACTTTTGGGTCATTAGAATGTTCTGTCATGAGATTCAAGACAAATCTGACGTTTCTGACAAGTAAATCAGTTTGATATCAAAACAAAAAGAAATCGTAACAAGCAAGAAGTCGACAGAAACGAAAACAACGAAATTCGTATCTTGGAAATAAATACGCAGTCCACTACATCAGCGATGCATCATCCTCGTCCCCTTGCATACCCCTGGTCATATTGGTACGTTCCCTATCAAAAGCCTTGCACAGAGATGTACAAGGTCGACCATTATTCCGGAAATTGCACCGGGAGGTTGTGAAATCTATCAGGCATTGACACTTGACGCTTGTGACTTCCAATGACACGTAGTCGTTTGATCACATATATGCATCCCTCTGTATTTTGCGGCCACCGCAGTTAAAACCTTCTAATGACCTGGAGATACAAAGTCTAGGAGAATTGTGAGGATATCCTATAAGCTACTGAGGCAAGACAAGCATATGACACTGGTTGAGCCTTTGCTCCTTCAACAGCATATCCTAGCCTGTTTGATACAGCAAACGCTACACCACACAGGGTTCTCATCATTGAGAAACTCTTAGATCTTGCATCTGTAGCTGAGAGTTACTGGCGGGAAGCACGTGTTTGGTCACGTGACGCCGATGCTCTCACAATTCTCATGGGCCTTGTCTTCCGGGGCCGTCTCTGTATTCGCAGTCATTTCAGGTCTGTAACTGAAAAGGCCGCAAAACACATAATTCGCTTGCACGTAGGGGTCTTTAGCAGTGGGAGGAAACCAGAGGACACGGAGAAAACCCACGAGGTTGGACAGGCGACCCTACTCCTTGTCAGGTACAACCGGTGAATCGAAACCCCGCATTTGACTCAATGACAGACCGTATGATACAGCGAGCGCGTACTAACCATTCGGCCATCCAAGCCCCTCAGATGAAGAGTAGACTTGGCAGGCAAATCTCTCCAATTCCTAGACCTGCGAAGGCAAGTCACCCTTCAACAGCTCAGTTGAGATGATACATTCTCCAAGCTTCTTGAAATATGATAACACGGTCATCACCATCAAGCTTCATCTATGCACCAACCCTTGTTTTCTTTGTGGTGCCCACAAGTTTACCTCTCCAGGCAGTACGCGAAGTCCAATCAAAAATTGATACTTCTGACTTCCAATGACACGCACTCGCTCGATCACATCTATCTCTAGATCTCTGTGTTTTGCGTCGTATTTATTTCCAAGATACGAACTTCGTTGTTTTCGTTTCTGGCGACTTCTTGCTTGTTACGATTTCTTTTTGTTTTGATATCAAACTGATTTACTTGTCAGAAACGTCAGATTTGTCTTGAATCTTCTGACAGAACATTCTAATGACCCAAAAGTGACTGCATGAAACATTTACCATTCTTCAGAAGCCACAAAAAGTGGTACCGCGTGATAGATGTCTCTAAACTGAAATCGATCTGAGTTTAACACCGGAAATTGGTATTTCCAACCGGAAGTCAATAAAAACTACTTCCCTTCGCTTGAAGCGTATCATAGACCGAGTCGGCATGATTTAAAAAACACCCAAAATGAACTTCAGATCATGGAAATCCAAAGATTATTGGATGAAATCAATCCGAGTTTGACACCGGAAATTGGTATTTCCCACCGGAAGTCAATGTAAACTGCTTCCATTCGCTTTAAGTGTATCATAGATGAGGCCGGCATGATGAAAACAAACGAGAATGGACTACAGATCATGAAAATCTACTGGACGATACGAACTTATATAACAACACTCATGGAATATCGCCCCAATTCACTATGACATAACGCAGTGGATGAATTCTTAGAGAGAACAAAAAGCTCGATTTGATTAACAACAGTCTGAAAATTGCCAACCGGCGCTATCGCCAGGTTTGTCGCCGCAGATCCTATTGCGAGGTAACTTCTCGCAGTTTCAGTAAATATCGATATAAATTATATATACGCATCTATAAAAGTCAAGGATACCTATAGTTGAATATTGATTTGTAGGTCTCATTTTTGTTTGATTGAATGTGTAAAAAAACGGCTGACTCGGCAAAACAAGTCGGCCCCTTTGTCTATCTGGACTATGCTCAGGGGGTGTCGCAACCTCCCATAACCCCGCTGTTGTGCGAACCTGGGTATATGTATAGCTATACTTAAAGGGGAAAATAAGAACACACAATAATTTCGGGTGGGTTTTACACTTACTTTTATTGTAAAAGTGAGAATCGGCAGTAATAATTTAGCCTTAGACAGGTTTCTATATAGCTCTATGGCTAGTAATTCATAATGTATCTTAACTCACAGTTAGATACACAGTCACAGATAAGAGAAACTATACTACTGATAGGGAAATAACCATTAGCTCTTGCATATTATTTTTTAATATTCATCATCTAGTATTAAATTAGTTTCCAAAATGCTCAATCAGACGTAAAAATAGTTTGGACATTAACACATCTGTGAATAAACAGCGTATATGCACGTGCCCTATTTGCTACTCTCTGTATACTCCGTAAACATAGTGACTACACTACAAGGAAGTAGTTGATGCGCTGGTTTGTTTATTTACACTTGCTGACAGTTCCCGTCATAACGTCACACCCAACATGTGTATTTCTCGATTCTACTTTTAGGGAGCATTGTTAAAATTATTTAAATACTAGATAATAAATTAAATGCCACACACGTAGTCCCCTTTAAACGTACACGAAATATTACAAAGGTACATTAACATCACATAAAACAGTTTTATCTAAAATTGAACCTATGAGTAATTTAGAATTAAAAACAATGGCTACTGAAGATCCTGATAATAAATCTCCATCATTATATAATAATTCTCTGGTCTTCGTTATGTTTCCATCTTTAACTTTCAACATCAAAACCTATAATATATAGTATAAAGAATATGATATGGTATGGACACTTTATAGATATAGATTGTTCCGACTGGGGCGTTGATTGTGGGTACTTCCCTCCCACACCCCTTACATAAAATACAACACAATCCATATCGAACCACATGAATATGATGCATGGTTATCCAGGCACTTACACCACGTGGTATTTGGGAATTTATGACTAAAATGTCCAGGTAACGGAAAGTTGAAGGTTGTAATGAGTGGCAGGGGCGTGCTGGCAGGAAGTTTAGGAGGACGGTGTCCTCCCAGGCCCCCATTAAACAATAAGTCCACCCGTATAAGCGGGCCCCCCTGAGAGCTCTAATTTTCACGCGGAATCCCCTCAAAAATTGAGAGTGCGCACGCGAAAAATCCTACATACACAACGATTAGTAAAATATATTATGCTGACGTGCAAATGTCTGTCACCTTAAGGTGAAATGGTCTTTGATACATGTATTCATGCCTCGATATGTATAAGATGCAATTTATTATTTGGATAGAAATACATTGTATTAGCATTATATTAAGCAGACCTGTCATGAGTGTCTTGTGTAGTACAGTAGTATGTCTTATAGTCAAAATAGCAGCATAAATTTGGAAAATATGATACCTAGATTTCTCCCAGAAGTGCTTGCAAAACGCGTTTCCCGTTGTCAAATTTGGCATTTAATAATTGATACTACATTATCAAAACATAAAACAGTCATATAATGCATGGTTATCGAGGCACTTACACCACGTGACTAAATTGACCAGGTAACAGAAATTTGAACGTTGTAATGGATGGATTAGAACACGTTGGTATTTTAATAATCTAACGTTAAGACTTTGTTTATTATCGTAAAAATGATACTTGACAATCGACACTATTGTCAAAACATAAAACAGTCATAATTTTTCACCCAGGATAAAGAAATTAGGCTGAAATTTTCAATATATTCATTTCTCACTAACTATTTTAAACTATTATAGCAAAAACGATCAGAGCTCTTCACTAAAATATATCTGTAACTACTCAATTAAAGGAGAACACTAGTCGATATGGCTTTTTTTTTTAAAAAAAAAAGAGACTTTATTCCTTTATCTAGTATTAAATTAGCTTCGATCATGCACTGTTGTTTATTGAACAAATTCACACACATGGCGTGACGTTATGGGGGGGGGGGGGTGCCAATCACTGTAAATATATCCATACTTCTTTACCTGAGTGGGTTTATGTATATCCGGGGGCTTGGATGGCTGAATGGTTATAGTGCGCGCTGTATCATAAAGTCTGTCATTGAGTCAACTGGCGTGGTTTCGATTCCCCGGTTGTACGTGACAAGGAGTAGGGTTGCCTGTCCAACCTCGTGGGTTTTCTCCAGACCCTCCGGTTTCCCCCCACTACGTGCAAGCGAATTATGGAAATAAAATTGAACAATATGTTAGTCCCCATTTCTCTCTCTCTCTTATGTATATCCATACTTTACCTGAGCGGGTTTATGTATATCCATACTTTGAAATGATTTATATGCTATAGGATGTGCACCAATATAAAGATTGTCTGTTTTCATATCTACTATAATATTATCTGGATATGTATAAATTGGATAAACCTGAAATATAGCCAATAAATACTCATAGTTCCTTACATCCTTAACCCACGGACGGAAGGGGTGGGGGTGTCTAGTATAACGCGTTTGATCAAAAGGTCTGCCATTGGGTCAAGTGGTGTGACAAGGAGTAGTAGGATCGCCTGTCTAACTTCGTGGACTTTCTTCGGTTTCCTCCCACTGCTAAAGATCCATACGCGCTAGCGAATTATTGAAATAAAATGTTAGCCCGGAAATGACATAGTCTGTGTCGAGTGGACGTTAAACCTCATCTTTGCACGAACATAACAAAATAATACGTTACTCTAAAAATAAACGAAACTACTTTTTCAGTGGGATTCAGACCAAATTTACATTTGACAGTCTGGTTCCGGATTTGGTATCAAACGTTTATAATTGTTTTATTTTCTATCCAGTCCCTATGGTCCTCGACTGCCAAGTTCGAACAACTAGGTCAGTGCACTAGGCAAGGTATGTTTACTCATTTGGAAAGACTCTATACCACTTCTCATTTGACGACGTCACATAGTTAACAACATTTTGTTGTACTTGTCTTTGTTATTAAATTAAGTACCTGTTTTTTAATCAAGTCATTGTTTGTTTTTCTCTCTGTAACAACTATTTCACGACTCATAGAAGTGGCTATATAAACATATCTGTAATAAATAATCATATTACAATGTAGAATATTATAAGTAAATTATAATGTACTGCAAATATTTAACCTCTAAATGTACCATGACATACCACTCTATATTGACCGTCTAAATATACCACTCTATATTTACCGTTTAAATATACCCCTCTATCCCGTTTAAATGTGCCACTCTATATTGACCGTCTAAATATACCACTCTATATTTACCGTCTAAATATACCACTCTATATTTACAGTCTAAATATACCACTCTATATTTACCGTCTAAATATACCACTCTATATGTACCGTCTAAATATACCACTCTATATCTACCGTCTAAATATACCACTCTATATTGGCCGCCTAAATATATCACTCTATATTGGCCGTCTAAATATACCACTTTATATTGACCGTCTATAATAACTGTCTAAGTATACCGCTCTATATTTACGTTTAAATATCCCACCCTAAATATACCACTCTATAAAATATTGACCGATTACATATACCCCAAATCGTTTCACTCCTCTAAATATCTCTATAGTTCCTATCAGAATATACCACAGTGTCATTATACCTGCCATCATTAGACATAGCTATACCATTTGGCATAGCCAGACCATCTAATACCACTCTGTAATTATTACCATCAAAGTACACTACTGTACACCATGCAAGCTGGCCAAATAGTTGTACCATCGTCCAAACTGTTCCGGAACCTGTACCGGAATTGGTAAAATAGAAGCTGTCTTGGCTAGTAGCTTGAACATCATTGACGCTAAAAATGAAATAACATTATTTAAATGTGTAACGACACAGAATTAGTAACACAGTAAATCGCAATTCTTTAAAAGCTAAATCTTGACGGACCCACATTCAGTTTCATTTGGTACACGTAAACTAAGTTATGGCCTTATCTTCTTACAGGCGGTGCATAGGTTTTTTTATTTTAGCATATTAACATCGCCAGCATATTGTCTGATATGTTTAAGTTGTTTTTATATCACTTACAGTAAAATCGTATTATCACGATATGTTTAAGTTGTTTTATATAACTTACAGTAACATCGTATTATCACGATATCGTTTTACATGTTTAAGTTGTTTATTTTCAGGAATAAATTCGAACTTTTCTATATAATCAACTCCGTTTTCTTCATGGTTGACCACAAATAATATCTTCACGCCTGTAAAAAAGAAAACCGAAAATTTTGAAATTCTCAACAATATAGTTTCAACTATAGCCCATACAGGGAGTCTAACATTATAGGAACCATGCCGACACTAACAGAGTTTCAGAAATAAAAGTCCGTGTACGTATAAAAATATATGCGCCAAAACATAGAGGAATGGTGTATTTACCTTGTCTCAAACTTGCAGCTCACACTATTGAGTCGTTTGGACGTACACGTCAAAACCGCTTATCCGGCCTCGTAATCTGTTTAAGATTTCGGATTAGTGTTTTCGTTGGATGACCTGATAAACTATATAAACAATTGCCTTGATGCATTTGGGAAGTCTGTTTGACTTGTAAATAAGATTTGGGCTTAATTGTGTGTCCTAGAAATAAACTTGTTCAGTGACGCCATCTGTCTGGTAATCCAAATTTGGTCCTAGTATTTGGTACTCCATCATGAATCACGAAATAATCCCTCCGCTCCCAGTGTTTGAATCCAGGGATAAGTTCTGCCGATTAACTAATCAGTTTAATAGTACCTTGTAAATCCCGGACGTTACCGTCTGACACATCCAACTATGGGCTTTCCCTCGTCTTTAAAAGAAGGGACTGAACTCCGATCCCTCAGACAACATTCCAATATGATGGGCAGATTTTAGAGTTGGTTACTGCATCAGCACGCTAGAGCGAGAGAAAGATGTAAGACACCAGACAATCCTCGGCCTCCCTAAAGACACCAGGCAGCGTTTCAAAAGTTAGGTCTGAGTTCAAAGCGCACAAAGATCTAGACCAATACGATTGTCCAGAGTTTCATAATGTCCATCGTGAGATATTGAAGTTCAAGTAAGAAGAAACCAGGTTCGCAAAGTAGCTTACACTTATCTTTTATAATCAAGTGACGAAGTACTGGACAAAAAATATGGTTGAGAGCTAACTTTACTGTGAAATGTGAAAGAACGACGGCCCAAACAGTAGTTGACGTCTGGTAATAACTACCTGATTTATCCAGCCAACCACTGATTCCATGAGGATGGAATAATTTTACATTAAAGTTACCATTACTTCCTACTATAGACAGTTCTTCTACTTTCGCTTTATTCTTGTTGAAATCAAATAAATACATTCTACCAACAATATTATGTTTAATCATATATTCTCGCTGACCAAATGTATTATTTTGAATGGCTACTCCCTGAAATTAAAATAAGTCAACGACAACACAATTAAATAAATGAAAAAAGGAAAACATTTCACCGACATTGTAATTTCGTTTCACGGCCATATAAAAAACACAAATTTATATGGAAAACAATGACTGAGTTTATTTCACACTACATTTCAACAAGTTCCTCTTGTCGTTCTCAAGTAAGTAATGACAACGACAAAACATCTATGATTATTTATATCCGACTACCTTATTTCTAGTTGCCGCTCATCTGTAAGGGTAACATTTTCAGAGAACACTATTTCATAGATTTAGATGAAGCGAGGCCCTGGTCTACTACTACACGTATGAGGAGAGAGAGAGAGAAATGAGGTTTAACGTCCACTCGACACAAACTAGGTCATTTCGGGACTAACATATGGTCTTTAGCAGTGGGAAGAAACCGGAGGACCCGGAGAAAACCCACGAGGTTGGACAGACAAACCCTACTCCTTGTCACGTATAACCGGGGATTCGAAACCACACCAGTTAACTCAATGACAGGCCTTATGATATAGCGCGCACGTGCTAACCATTCGGCCATCCAACCCGCCCCCGCCCCCTATGAGGACTCTTAAATACCACAGACAATTGAGCAAAGATGGGAATGATGACGGATGTTTAAGACTACAGGTAAGAAACGCTTATGACGGTGTGAAATATATTATTTTATACAACTTGGCGCGAGGCCTTCTAAATCTTGAGGTCCTAGATTTCAGCCTTTATGTAAATCCGGTACTGGTCGCCGATGTCTAGAGTCATGGACAATTCGGGAATTATCGGTCGCTTGATGTTGAGAAGTAGCACTTTCTGTACAGCGTTGTATCCACTACCCTCTTGATAACGTAAATCTACTCAAAACGTCTCCGTTATTAAATCGTACATTTTGATGACACATATTGTCGACACTGTATCGCCGACGATCTCTCCGACTATATACGCCTTACAATAGAAAATCGTTAACAAATTACCCTTGGCATGCGCCGCCTTAAATCTGGTTAGCTTTCGTCCGTCAATAAAAAGAACGTCATACAGTGTGCTGTGGGGTAAATTTGTCCCCCGAAAAGCTGCTTTTCCGCCTACTCTTCGTCAAATTCGAACTGCCAAGGGATTATTGCCTACACGACAAGGTGTACAGGGGACTTAGGTTTTTTGTCCAATCCGAACGACTAGACGTTACTTGTTGCCAGGCGCTCCACCATGCATGACGGGCATGGTAAAATGGCGAGGAACTTTCTTGACCAACATTTATTACGCAGTAATAGGTTGGTTATTAAAGCTTTTGTTAAGAACGGAGATTTCTTACTGATGTTATGAAAGTTAACCCATCTTTAAATGTATAAAAATCTTCTGAACCAAGACCTGAAATAATTATTAAATAAAATTATTTAATTTTACGAGACAGTGGTTTATTTCTAGAACACTAGAACCATTTCCCGTGTATTTGGGTAATAATTTCTATCTGTTATATTATATTCTTGCATGCATTTCTTAAACACGTGGATATGAAAAGGTTGATGAACTCTCGTCAAAACAATATTCCTATCAATCTTAGTTATGGCCATTTAAATTATCTTTTGGTTTCAAACAGCCACTTAGATACGCCCGCAAGCATTTGAAATTTATGTCAATCAACTAACATCGAAACCAAGACATTATCTGTCGTATATCTTAGTGTTCGAATGCTTTAAATTACTATATAAATAAAACTGTTCAGACCTTATAAACGATTGTCTAGTACAACTCTATTTTTGATATGGCCGAAGCCCGTCCCGAATATGGTAATTTATTAATCTCGACTACATGAATTTTTAAGCTCATGTGTCAACTCATGCGACAATTACACGTCTAAATTAAATTTTGTTTTTATTTTGTCAATTCGCTTAAAAGTTTTAAGTTACATATGCCACATGCAATTTTCGTTCTATAGTTAATTAGTAGTAAACTCTAATTGTAATGGGCTAGTTTCCGATGAGAGACACATTAAGAAATGTACGGACTAAGTATGCGAGGAGAATGGGTCTGGCTCACTAACCAGGAGGTCTCGGGTTTGATTCTGGTGTTATCCCAGAAAGTTTTTCAGTACTTTCCAATATGATTGCCCTTAGATAAACTAGGTTCCGCCCAACAGTCCTTGGTATTCATGTAAAAGAATTGTTGACAGAATTCAGTGATTAACCTCACAGCGTTGCGTATGTTCGCCGATATTAACCTGGTTGATACTGAAAAATAGAACTTTAATATGATATTGAAACTTACTCATGCCTTTAACCTGTTCACACTTGCCAGGATAATGTTCATTATAGTGTAAATGATAACCCATATAATACCTGAAAAATATTACATCACCTTGTCACAAATATGTTTATTAAGCATATGTGTTTGATGACAAACCGGGGGGTTGGATGGCCGAATAGTTAGCACGTGCGCGCTGTATCATAAGGCCTGTCATTGATTCAACTGGCTTGGTTTCGAATCCACGATTGTACGTGAAAAGGAGTAGGGTCGCCTGTCCAACCTCGTGGGTTTTCTTTGGGTCCCCCGGTTTCCTCCCACAGCTAAAGACCCCTACGCGCATGCGAATTATTGAAATACAATTAAACCATATGTTAGTCCCGAAATGACCTAGTTTGTGTCGATTGACGTTAAAGCCCATTTCTCTCTCTCTTTGATGACAAATTACTGTTCCATTTCTAAAAACCAAATTGAACTGATTTGTACGTTTATCTACCTAATCGTACTCGATATGCTCATAGATACATTACTGTATATAAAAATTAATCAATAATTCATTCATTATAATGAAAATAAATCAATAATTTATTCATTACTGTCTATAAAAATTAATTAATGATTTATTCATTTATATAACTGGATATGTCGACACCAGACATGAAGAGTTGCAATATTATGAAATAGAGAAATACTTACACATTTTTCAGGACCAATTGTATCAAAAACAGGAACAAAGAACCGATAACTAATTTCACTAACATGTTTGCAAATCTGAAATCCACGTAAGTTATAAAATTAAAATTCAGGGACCGGATTCCTGTCATTCTGTCATTGAGAGAATATTTTCCTTAAATAACTTTGTAGATGCTAATATTTGGACAGTATACAAGCTCAAAGATATCATTTTTAGCTTTGTAAGAAAATAGCACATGTCACTGAACGTCAAGTCTGAATAATTGCGTGGCTTGCATATTTAAAATGGTTAGAACACTTTGATATGGGTTTTAATGTTGATTTGTTTTGTGGGCTAGCAATCTATCTTTGTTGAAAAGTTTACGTCTATATATAGTTGATAAAGCCAGTGTTGAGATATAGACTAACCGGTTTATTGTGCAGGTATACAATAACATATAGGACACTGTAACGCCTGGTACATTTAGTGAGCAGTCAATGTGAACGAATCCGGCTGATCATTTGCCGGAATTATTTGTCCCCGACAGGTCACCATAGATTACTTTAATGCCAATTCTTGTCTCTTTGATCGGTTCTAAGTGCCGCTTAAATTTTCGATGACATGCTTTCACTGCCTACCAAAGATTGAACAACATTACTTGTGGCAGCGTTTCAACCATGGACATCTTGCGATACACAAACTGGAAGTAGCGCACATCCGTCTTCCCCAACCGCTTAACTCGATTATTCTTCCGCTTATAAAAAAACAACCTGCCCTCAAATGTAATTTTATACCATTGTCTCCGATTATATACCAAAATGTCAACAACAATACCCCCCCCCCCCAAGAAAAACAAACCCAACCCAAAACAAGCTATAAATAGAAGGGACTTGGCTGAGAAAAATTAATGGTGGCCTGTATCCTGTTTCATCGCCACCGGTCATATTTGAATCAAACTGCTATATTATATAGATAATTAGATTCAAGTCGATAATCGTTGAGTCTTTCGCAGGGTTTTAATTTTCATAATCAACATACACAGATTTACATTGTACGACTACGATACACAACTATGGATTCAATATTAGGACTACATCGGTATTTTATCGCATCGCTCGTAGGCCTAACAAAAATTCAAAGTGTATGCATAAGCATAATGATATACCTGTCTAACCACAAGTTGTAATCGCACTTTCTTTTCGGTTACAATATGATTGACGATAAAACTGAATCGGTGATAATGTTTAACTGAATAAGCCTGCTATACGTTCGCCTCTTCTTCTAAAGGATACGCTTTGTAGCACAATGACAATGTCACTCTCTGTGTGTCAATAATAGTTCAGCAGTCCAAAGTCCCCACTCTGTTTAGTAATAGGTTAATAGATATGCTTACCGGACTATGGAATTCAATATGCGCTGTATTTCTAATTTTGGACAATTTAATTAAAATCAGTAACTTTCTTTTAACCATTCACTAACCACATCCTTTCAAAGTGGTGCTCAGTGAATGACAATTAATGACAACCCACACGAAGCAAAATAACCTGTGGGAAGCAGCTATGTAAGGGAGACAACTCCTTTTAAAGAAACAGGTAATTTCTATAAATAGACGAACTATATAAACACATAGTTTATTTTGAGAGTGGAGAGAGAGAGATAGAGAGAAATGGGGTTTAACGTCTACTCGACACAAACTTGGTCATTTCGGGACTAACATATGGTTGAATTTTATTTCAATATTTCGCTTGCGCGTAGGGGTCTTTAGCAGTGGGAGGAAACCGGAGGACCCGGAGAAAACCCACGAGGTTGGATATTTTGAGAGTAACATATTATTTTTTTCTGTAGGCTAAGTGCAAAGGGGTGGGGTGGGGAGTAAGTTTGGATGCAATTTGACTGAAATTTTGAGCATATCCCTTTTACATTATCTAAATCTTACATAAAGTATCTTTAATATATTACAGGTTTTGTGTTTCTCTTGTCTATATTGCAGGTTGTCTTATAAAAACATTCTGAACCATAGAAAGGATATGTATTGCCTACTACAATGTATAATAATATATATATTATTTTTTTATCCCCCCCCCCACCCCTGCATGGGAAAGGCTGCTATACTGGATATAAATTGGTTAAATACAACACAAGTTTTTGTTGGTGGTTATACACAAGTTTGTATGAAACAACACAAGTTTCATAAATTTCAACACAAGTTTCATAAATTTCAACACAAGTTTCATAAATTCCAACACAAGTTTCAGAAATTTTAACACAAGTGATGTGTATATTTTCACACAAGTTTGTATTGTTTGATAAATTTTAACACAAGTTTTGTGTTGTTTCAACACATATCACAAGTTTCAACACAAGTTTGTCTTGTTTCAACACACATATTATGTCCTGTAGGAGATATCAAGTAGACATACTGTCCTACATAGATATTCTGTCCTGGTTAGGACATTTTATGTCCAACGTGGTTGATATTGGTATAATTTCTCTTTAAAACCTTGCACTAATACGCTTCCATAATTTAACCCCCTGTTAGGACTTTACCCTGTTCAATACAGATTTATGTCAGGATATTCTGGACTATTTACACCCTCGTTCAACCAGCGCGATTTAACCTATATATATTGCCGCTTTTCCTTGACTTCAGTAAGTTCAGTTTACATTATGCGTTAGACTCGAAATAGATGACATTGACCTAGATATAACTTCGATCACCACAACCGTGTCGGTTCATTTGCCTCTGGACTACTGGGGTCAGGGCGTTGCATTTGCCTTTGTTGTTGTCGCCTCTGTGCAACTGTTCAACTGTGGTTAAACAAGGTCAAGTTAAAGAGAATTAACCGACGAGAAAGGAGGATTATAATTAAAAATTTAAACAGAATTACTGTGGTGATCAGAAGTTGTAATACTATGTTATAATGCACATATATACGTATATCTAAACAACATAGTTAGATTACTACTGATATACGTATATATCAAAACAACATAGTTATACTGGCTTACAATTTTATATACACTGTATAGATATATATCAACGCACGCGTGTAACAAAAACTGGAGAAATAATCTATATAGGCTATCAATGATTGTAAGCGTGAATGGATAACAGTTTAGGTTAAACATTCCACGGCCCGATATGTAGTATATGTGCACTAGTTGCACTAGTTGCATTACAGTATTGCGAGTGCACACACTCGTGAGAGAAAGAGAGGGGGAGAGGGAGAGAGAGAGATGGGTTTAACGTTCACTCGACACAAACTAGGTCATTTTGGGGACTATTTCAATAATTCGCTTGCGCGTAGGGGTCTTGGGCAGTGCGAGGTAAGCGGAGAACCCGGAGTAAACCCACAAGGGTGGACAGGCGACCCTATTCCGTAGCTAGCTTGTCACGTAAAACCGGGGAATCAACGTACGCCAGTTGGTTTAAACAGTATTTATTTCGAGAATATTATACAATGTAAAAGGCATAAATAATAGGATACAAAAACAAGCCGAGTAGGCTTATATTAATTTGCTTCCTTCTGGTTTAGGTGTATAATATATGTACAATGTCGAATTATATATGATACATACATACTATTCAAAAAAAGTAGGGGATATTTGATTTTTAAGTGTTATTAAAGTCACCTAATGAAACTGACGAAGAAACAAATGACAAAATGAAATGAAGTTCACATTCATCGATTTATTCCAAATGATCGTTAGACTAAGTAAGGCACAGACTGACCATTATAAGGGTAAAATGATACCCGGGGCCAAACAGCAAAGTTACCACAGCATCACAACCAAGTCAGTAACGGGTAAATCCTCCTCTGTTTGCCAAACAAGCATTGATCCGACGTGGCATACTCCTAATGAGACGTCTAAGGTCATTTTGGTCCAGATTGTCCCATTCCTGTTGCAACGCCGCAGCAGTTCTTGGACATTGGCAGGACGTTGTTGACGTTGACGTAACCTCTGTCCAAGCATGTCCCAGACATGCTCGATGGGGGAGAGGTCGGGACTCAGTGCTGGCCAAGGTAATGTGGTGATGTTCTGTTGTTGGAGGTAACCTGTAACGATCCTGGCCCTGTGACATCTTGCGTTGTCATCCTGGAAGATGAAACGGCGGCCATGACGTCGTGCGAACGGCACAACATGGACTGCCAAGATGTTGTCCCGGTAGTACTGGCCTGTAACACGCCCTGCAACAACATGTAAAGCCGTTCTTCCAGCAACAGTGATGCCTCCCCACACCATAACAGAACCACCCCCAAATCGATCATGTCTGATGACGTTAACGTCTTGGAAGCGCTCGTTTCGACGACGCCACACCCTCCTACGTCTGTCCAAAAAATCAACAGTGAACCTTGACTCATCTGAAAACATCACATTGCTCCAGCGTCGATTATCCCAGTGTTGACGATCCCTACACCAACGACGTCTTGCCTGAATGTGATGATCTCTCAAACAAGGGATCACGCGAGGACGTCGGGCGCGAAGGTGACCCCTATGCAGTCGATTCCGAATCGTCTGGCCACTCACTCTCACACCAGTGTCTGTTTGAAGACGAGCGCTGATCTGATTTGCTGTGATGACACGATTTCTCAAGGCCAAGGTACGGATAAATCGATCCTGGGCTTGAGTTGTCGCCCTTGGTCGACCTGAGCGTGGTCTGTCCTGTACAGATTGTGTATCACGGTATCTGGACCATAGCCTGCTTATGACAGACTGAGAAACATTCATCGTCCGCGCCACAACCGCCTGTGTTGTGCCGATCTGTAGCATGCCAAGGGCACGTAACCTTTCATTTTGGGTAAGCCGACGCATATCAAAATTTGTTTTCTGGTCACTAAAACAATTAAACTGATGTTTCCACCCTGGAATTCAATGCCACAATGACTGTAACATTCAAAGTCAGAGTCGTGCAAATCTTGGGTTGGACCCCCATGATGATCCCAAGCATCACCTGCATTCCATGCGGTTGCTATTGGTGCGTTTGGGCGTCACATGTAACTGGAAATGTTTCTTCTGTTAGGTTCTATAGTGACTTTTTTCGTAGTCATTTGCATATTTTAGTATTATGCCCCCAAAATCAAATATCCCCTACTTTTTTTGAATAGTATACAAAAACTAATTACATTATTTTAGTTATGGTACAAATAAGCAGATAAATGATTTTGGATAAATAAATAAATAAATAAATATAAAAAATAAATAAGAAATAAATAAATACGCCAGTTGACTCAATGACAGACCTTATGATACAGCGCGCACGTGCTAACCATTCGGCCATCCAACCCGGCCCTCATGTGTCATATTTGAACAATGTCAGCCTTCCAATTCGCAGCGCAAGTTGGTGTTCACGTATTAAATGGGTCCGATCTATTTGACAAGACCAAATGCATACTCCCTCGAGGTCAAGAGATGTAAACAAGGTTAGGGCACGTGATTGTTGCCGAGGAATGTGGGTAAGGGTTAGGGCAAAGCGTAGGGCTATATCCTGGGTTAGGGTTAGCGATAGCCCTGTTTACATCTCGTAATTATGCATTTGGCCTTGTTAAATAGATCTAACTTCCCGAATGTTCAGTTGTCCTATATCCTAATGGTCTATATGATGTGAACTCGTGGCTTGTTATAATAATACACACGATTTACAGATCCCCTTGAAAAAACATTCAATGTACGTCGAGTCAACTATAGCTGTGTTTTATTGTGTCTAGCCAGTTGTGTAGTCAGCTACATGAAATGAAATTAAAGCGGTTAAAACACCGTCAGGTATAATGAAGTCGGGTATACAGGAAGTTTCTCGGCAATCACCTGATACCTCCAAGTCTTACTCACTGAGTCACCGCAGCTATAAGTTTTTCAATCTTTATTAGCACCCCATCCTTCATTTCTTGATCTATTCTTCCGTAATACCCCTTTGCCTCTAAATTCCACCCTGGGGGCCACATGCAAAACTTACCCAAGGGAATGCACATTATCTAACATTATCTGATACCATCCAATTCTTACCTTCCATCGTTAGACATTGCTATACCATTGGCTACAAACAGATCATCTAAAACTATCTTATAGTTACTGCCATCACAATATACTACAGTATTCCATGCAAATCGACAAAACATCTGTACAATCATCCAAAATATTTCAGGACAGATTCCAGAGTTGGTAAAATACCAATATGATTAGGGGTGTGCAGGAGGACGAAGATGATGAATAACTGATGTATATATTTCCTAGATAGGATCTTTGTGTTTCGTTTCTGGGGACTTCTGACTTGTTAGGATTCTTTTTGTTTTTGATATTAAACTTGTTTACTTGTTACAAATGTCAAAGTGTCTTGAATCTCATGACAGAACATTCCAGTCACCCCAAAAATTGGTATTCCTCACCGGAATGCAATGAAAACTACTCCCATTTGCTTCAAGTGTATCATACATGGGATCGGCATAATGACAAAACCCCAGAATGAACTTTATGAAAATCTAACCATTGATGGCAAAGATAGCCATGGACTCGGTCAGAGTGGTACGGATTTCAAAAAGGCCCCTCCCAGAGGGGTCAAGGGTCGAAAAATTGGAACCCTAGAATGGGGTTCGCGTGTTGAACAAACCCCAGAATGAACTTCATTTGACACCGGAAATTGGTATTCCCCACCGGAAGTCAATGAAAACTACTTCTAATCGCTTTAAGTGTATCATAGATGGAGTGGGCATGATGAAAAACAGGAGAATGAACTTCAGATCATGAAAATCCAACCATTATTGGCGGATATAGCTATGTCCTCGTTCATAGAGGTCCCGATTTGCAAAATGACCCTCCCAGGGGAGTCGAGGGGTCGGAAAATTTGAACCCCGACATTTTTGGATAGCTAGGGTAATCAATTTTAGCATATAAATCCTATGGGATGACATGTCATATCAATGTACATAGAAAGTGAACATGTTACGTTACATGTAAATGATGATGATCACTGTCGGTCTTTTTGTGCTTTATTTTGGAAATACGAATTTTGAGATTATACTGGCGGATTACCTTTGCTGTTGTGCCGAATTTCGCTACAAGAGGGGAAGGGCGCTTTATTGATATGGTGGACCGATTTAATTTTTATTAATGCTGAGTGGGCTGATTTTTTTATGCCCCCCCCCCCACCCCGCTCCGGGAAAATATGTTTGTGCGCCACTGCATATACCGAGTGGTCCACATTATGCTCCTAGTACTATTTCTTGATAGATGGTACTTATCGAATCCCGTTGGTTTTATTACTATTTATTGATTGATGGTACTTATCGTATCCTGTTGGTTTTAGTATGTTACATAATGACAGATGTTATAGACGCTTCTTACCATCTTGACACGTGAAAGTGATTTTAAACCTGTTTACTTTCGAAACCCCTGGAGGTCTTGGTAGCATTCCTTGTGTCATTATGTAACCTTAACTTGTTGGCATGTTTTATTTAAAGGAGCTAAATCGCTAACATTTGCGATCTACAAATTGACACAAATGGGTCGAAACGTATATAATAATGTAATATGAATGTAAATAAACTGATTTACATTCAATCGTTTCCGTTTTTACTCTAATTTCAAAGCAGATATGTTCGGGGAAATACGCCAGAAGTCTCAATCGAATGGCAATCTCTAGCGCCTGGTTATTCCAGTCTACACTGATAGTATTTATTGCACATGCTCTCCAGATAAGAATATGGGTTCACCGTTTGACATGACTTGTGGAATATGTCTAACCTCGTTCTTTTACAAATTGCGCTGAAACGCATCATGGTACACGATTCGTGTACCAATCGTAAAATGTTTATTTTGTCATAAATATTGAATATCAGAAGCCCATCTTTTCCCGGTTAGATCACATCACCAATGTTGATTACAATTGACAAATAATTCGTGTTTTCATTGTCGAAGATTTTGGATGATATTGAGTTAGAGAATTAGCTACTTTAAGCATGTATTGAATGTTAGACCCGATATGATACATTAGCCAGGTGCCTAATAAGATCCTTTGTCTTGAAGGGTTTATAAACCCAGAATGGAAACGACATAGTAAGTGAGGTCCAGACGAGGCCAGAGCGGAGGCGTTGGGCGCCTTGGCACGGGACGAGACGGAACAAGAGAGAGCGTCTGGGAGTTGGCACATTTGTGCCAAGCTAGGACATGACTCCCTCAATACAAATTAGTTCTGGGTGTCTCTAACATTACGATGTTTGTAACTGATATGTCAGAAGCAGAGAATAAAAGTATTATAAGATGTTAAACTAGTCTTGTCATCTGAACCTGATATAAAGACCCAATACTGCCACAAGTACTATTCATTGATAGGTGATACTTATCTTGTGTTGCTGGGTTTACTGATTAACCGACATGAACTGATGATACGATCGTTTATATGTTGATTTTACTTACTTAATGCCGATATTTGATATATCCTGCTGGTCTCTTGGTAGACTGAATGGTTACTTATCGTGTTCTGTTGATTGAAGAAGGGATCGCGGCCATATAGTTTAATGCGTGGCGTAGTTTAAATTCCCCGCTTGTGAGTAGGACCGCTTGTCCAAGCTCGTGGGGTTTCTCCGGGCCCTCCGGTTTCCTCCCACTGCCAAAGACCCCTACGCGCGAGCGAATTATTGAAATAAAATTAAACCATACTGTATGCTAGTCCCGAAATGACCTAGTTTATGTCGAGTAGACAGTAATCCCAAATTCCCCCTTTCCTTGGGTCCGACGTAATTTTTATATCAATTCTAACATTGAGGGTATATATTTTACTTTATAATTTAAACTTTTTATAATTATGATTGTAAACAATACATTTATTTTATTTTTTTTTTCATTGTTATTTATTTCTTTACATAATTCATAATTAGGTTTTTAAACAATGTACTTATATACTTGTAAATAATGTCTTAAGAGAGATTAATTTACTAGTTTAAGCCTTAGTTTGTTTATTAACACTTGCTGACATTTCCCCTGATAACGTCACACCTTACGCATGTTTTTTTCTATACTACTTTTTTTTGTGGGGAGGGGGGCATTATTGAAAATATTATGTGCAGTACACCGTTATTCTAACACGAAATATTACAAAGGTACACTAACATCACAGAAAAAGGTTTTATCTAAAACGGAACCTATGAGTAATTTAGAATTAAAAACAATGGCTACTGAAGACCCTGTTATTAATTCTCCATCATCATAAAATAATTCTCTTGTCTTCGTTATGTTTCCATTTTTAACATATAACATCAAAACCTACAAAATATATACATACAACCGTAATATTAAACATCAAAACCAACATTATATAAACAAGCGAAAAGATTGATAAATTGTATTATTCTATCGTCGATAAATAACACTCTCTAAGACTAAAATCATGACTAATGGTTGTATTACTTTACGACCAGAACTAATCTGTGGAATTTAGTGATTGGGCACATAAAAAAACACACAACACAGTTTATATGGAAAACAATCATTGGTGTATACACATACATGTACCTGAAGCAACGGCCGTTTCAAGAGTAGTCAGAAATTCCCGAATTGATGGCTACCTTATCTACTTTTACCGAAGACAAGGGAACAGCAGCGTCCAATCAGAGGTTGTGACACAAACATAGCGTCCTCCACGGAAACCTTGACATTGAACGAAGCTTGAACTTTGCAACTCGTTTATCACAGGTGGACATTTTACTTGGAAAGCGCAAGACTTGTTATTCGCGATGATCAAGGAATCTGATAGGCTCTCAAGCACCGCTTGTACCCAATCGAAATTAGTGCCGAAATATGCTGGGTATTACGCGAAGGGCTTGATAAGATGTAAGGGGTTAAAGCGAGATAAAGCCCTCTATTGAACATGATACACATATAGCCTGACGTCTCGACAACTATCGGAGACAAATACTAACGACCTTTAACTAATAAATAGCCCACAGAATCATATGAGTCCCATGATAATGTAGACCCATAGGTCTGCTTTAATACGTTTATTGAGCTGCTTTGTATTTGCTATCAATTTAAGTTACCCCTTGAATCTGGAGCAAGACCACACGTAGTCTTAATCAATACATTATATTGTGTTTTACCTGAGAAGGTGAGTGGTTGACAGGATCATCTATTGTTAGAAATAATTTATATGCTATAGGATGTGCACCAATATACAGATTGTCTGTTTTCATATCTACTATAATATTATCTGGATATGTATAAACTGAGTAAACCTGAAATATAGCCAAAACACCATGGAAATACGCCCACACGACAGCTTTATCTCGAAAAAATATAGCCATTGACAGCAATTTATCCGAAATAGCGCCGAAAAGCATCATAGTGCACGATTCGAGTAGAAATGGTAAAATGGTTATTTTGTTGGTTATATCAGAAGACCGTCTTTTCTCGGTAAGATCACAACACCAATGTTGATTTAATTTGACAAATAATTCGGGTTTTTTTTTCAATGTGGAAGACTTTGGATGATACTGAGTTAGAAACTTAGCTACTTTAACATGTGGGTGTATGATGAAAGTCTTTACCTGTTTTCTAACCAGATCATTGTTTGGTTTTCTTTCTGCTACAACTATTTCCTGGTTCCCCATATTGGCAATATACACATTTCTATAAAGACAACTCATAATTTGCTTTCGCTATAACTTCTGATTAAATTGTACTAAAAACTAAAAAGACATATATATTCATTCCCTTATTCAGTTGAGTGGGGGGGTAACTCGAGAAGCTTATAAACAATACCGTTCATTAGCCCTGAAATAGCATAGTAGTTCTGTGACTTTAGTGGACAGGGAGAGAATGGGGTTTAACGTCCACTCTAAACAAAGTAGGTTATTTTAGGGCTAACGTATGGATCAATTTTATTTCAATAATTCGATTGCGCGGCGTATGGGTCATTAACAGTGGCGAGGAAACCGGTAGACCTGGAGAAACCCACTATATACTCCTTGTCGTGTGGTTTCAGGAATGTGTTCCGAGTTCGCATCCCAATCTGATTACAATACAGATCTATATTTCGTTTGGTGGAATCCCTGCTTTGACAGAATCTACAACCAAGGTTCTCGCTCGTTAGATCTATTGTTTTGGCACGGAGACGAATAGGCGGTGCCAAGACAAAATTACACTTCCGCAATGTAAAACTTACCCAAGGGAATGCACAATATCTAACATTATTTTAAAGTTAAATCTGATACCATCCAATTCTTACCTTCCATCGTTAGACATTGCTATACCATTGGTTACAAACATATCATCTAAAACTATCTTATAGTTACTGCCATCACAATATACCACAGTATTCCATGCAAATCGACCAAGCAGCTGTACAATAATCCAAAACTGTTCAAGACATGTTCCGGTGTTGGTAAAATAGAAGCTATCTTCGCTTGTAGCTTGAACATCATTAACACTACAAAAAATCATATTTATTGGAGTTTTAAAACGCCAACGGAATCATCGTAGAAACCCAATGAATAAAAACAGTTTTAAAGATACATTATCCCGAAAGTATTTATCGGGTGGCTTATATTGCCAATAAAAGTACATGTATATAGAAAGTATAGACACCCAATCTTACTAGCAAAATACTGGATTACCCGAAAACACCCTTTGGGCAAGCCTCGGCAAAAATGTCAGGGTATCACAAACTATCAACTCGACTGTTGTCTGCCAGCTTATTGTGTGCTAGCTTAACTGAGTGGGTGGTTGCTATGTCTTGATCAAATGGTTAAGCGCTCTGGGAACATTCTGGGGTGTCAACGTACAAAAGACTCTGCAATTAAACGGCGGCAAAAAAATTTACTTAGGCTTTAATATGTATGATAAATGAACAGTAAGTAATGAAAAATACGTTCTGAAAAATGGACCCGCCCTCAATGAAGTTAGCTGATAACCATGGCGTCTAACAGCAGTTTATTTACAGCTTGAAGCATCTTCCCGCGATAACAAAGTTTTGAGAGGAAATTGAATCAAATTGTTGATAGATTAAAAATGTTTTAGTCCAAATATATTATACATATCTGTTTAAACATGATACATTTAATTTGCATAAATGTTTTCCAAACAAACTTGAATAACTTTAAAATTGTTTGATATTGTTCAATTTTGAGGTTAACGTTTCATCTATAATCAAGCTATTAACCAATCACAAGGTGTGTATAGACCACGTGACACCAGCGACCCTCATACGGATATGTTTAATATATACTCTTCCCCAAAAAAGTAGGGGATATTGAAATGCAAAAACTAGTGACTTTAGAGATGAACCAGTCCGAAATTTTGAAAAACAAATGTGATTTGATAGTAAGACTTTCGTGATGAAAGACAACTATATGCATATTTTTCTGTAATGTATGATTTAACTTTTGATTTGACGTCAATAAATGTTTTACAGTGAATTTTTGTAGGTTTAACAGAACTTCAGTCATTTCGCGTAATCCCCGACCATGATTTTTGGTCATTTCGTTTATTGAGTGGAATTTTTAGTCATTGCACGTATTGCCTGACGCTCACAGGCATTTAATGTAATGACTGATTCGTTTAGTTATTACATGAAATGACTGATTACACAAATTGTATTACTCTTAAAAAAAGTAGGGGATATTGAAATGAAAATACCTATGCAGGTTGTGATATGATAAATAGTCATGGACACTTGACATGCTTTGAGAGTGTGTTCACAGATGAAGAACTTATAGCCCCAACAGAACCACTGAGCTGCACGTGCGACACGCACTAGCGCCATACACGTGGGTGTTGTTCATTGTCAAATTTGACACTTCAAGGAAGGGTTGATGAAAACTGCCGCGTGCTGGTTTATCCTACCCATGTTTGCTTTCCTGTCGGTTCTTGCATAAGATTTACTGTTTAGCGTATCTTTGCTTTAGTGTGTTACGTTTAATTTGCAATGAGACGTCTTCAACATGATGAAAGTCTGCGTGCTATTGGCATGCTTTAAATGGGTTCTACACAGCGAGCAGTAGCCAACATGCTTAATGTGTCACAGTCTGTGATCAGCAGACTGTGGAACCGGTACCAACAAACACACAATGTTGATGATAGACCTCGTTCAGGTCGTCCTAGAGCCACTACACAAGATCGATACATTCATACACAGGTCCTGCGAAATCGAGGACAAACGGCCAATCAGCTTTCTGTAAACTTGTGCCAAGTTCCAGGAATTCGAGTTACCCCTCAAACGGTTACAAATCGGCTACATGCAGCCAATTTGCATGTGCGACGACCGCGTGTTGTGCCTCCATTAACTCGCAAAAACATGGCAAACAGGCGTCGATTGTGTAGGCAGCGTTGAAATTGGGGTAATCGTTGATGGGCGCGTGTAATGTTCTCGGATGAGTCCAGATTTACTCTGGATTTCACCGATAGGCGTGCTCGCGTTTGGAGGCGTGTAAATGAGCGTCTTGCTAACGTTAACGTCAGACAGCATGACAGATTCGGGCGTGCGTCTGTTAAGGTGTGGGGATGAATCACCATGACTGGCAGAACGGACTTGCATATTGTTTCGGCGTCAACTTATTTTCAATATGCCTTGATCAGCCACGAGTACTGGCCTTTCCCCTATAGACCATGTCTGGACATGACCGGAAGACGCCAACGTCATCCGACAACACGGCAAGAGGAGTGGGTCAGATTGTCCCAAATCGTGATTGGACGGTTGATTAAGAGCATGCCACGATGAATTGCTGAATGTCTATTTTCACGTTTGACAGTGTATCTCTTTGCGAGTGAAATGGGGCCGTCAGATAAGCCTCCCCCCCCCTATATGAACTGTTTATGTTCATGTGCAGGCAATTGGCCTGTTATTAACATACACTGGTTACCTCTAATATAAACATCCGTACATTTGTTGAAGAGTATATAACTTACAGTAACATTGTTTGATCACGATATCGTTTAACATGTTAATATAACTTACATTAACATCGTATTATCACGATATCGTTTAACATGTTTCAGCTGTTTATTTTCAGGAATAAATTCGAACTTTTCTATATAATCAACTCCTTGTTCTTCATGGTTCACCACAAATAATACCTTCTTGCCTGTAAAATAAAATAATAAAGCGCCCGACCAATATTCTAGAAGGCTATCTCTCATCCGAAAATTTTTCAGAGGCAAATTTCAGTAGACATTTTGTTATCTTTTAAGTTTTGCTTCCATATTTTGAAATAATGTTATTTACGATATTTACAAGGAAAATATACACAGTTTTTAGCTGATGGTCTCTGTCACAACAAGCATTCCACGTTACCAACGATTTATTTCGCTTTATAGTCCGTCTTTTATATTGTATCGACCCTTTTTAATCAATGAAAACGCAATTGTTCCAAGCATGCCAAAATGCGTCTCCATCAGTAAATTCGGAATAAGTGAGCTTATTAAAATATAGTTATGGGTCATCTTGTAATATTAATACAAGGACTAGAACACCCAGTATCACTCAAATATACCTGATTTATTCAGCCAACCACTGATACCATGAGGGTGGAATAATTTTACATTAAAGCCACCATTACTTCCTACTATAGACAGTTCTTCTACTTTCGCTTTATTCTTGTTGAAATCAAATAAATATATTCTACCAACAATATTATGTTTAACCATATATTCTCGTTTATGTATTGATTCATTCTGTACAGCATGTCCCTTTAATTAAAACGGTATTTAAAATAGTCAAATAAAATCACATTTTGTATAGAAAACCCCTGCAAATAAAATAAAATAACCGTCTACGAAAAACACATCAAATCATTTCACCTCCATTTTTTTCCATAAATCACCATTTCGTAATAAGAAAATGAAATGAAATAAAATGAAATAAAATGAAATGAAATGGGGTTTAACGTCCTACTGTACCGCTCCTATTGGGCTAATGAAGACGGACATGGGCCATACAGTGTGTTATGCGGGAAATTATGCCCTGACAGCGTTACTACAGCCTAATCGTATATGGAATTCCAACTGCCAAGGATTCTTTTACGTGCACGCTAATGTGTGCACAGGACCTCGTTTTTTTTGTCAGATCCCAACGACTATACGTTGCCCACTATCCTGCACCACTGACATAGGGGGAACCTCGCCGGAAAATCCCGAGGTACGATTGATTCTGTGTAGCAAACCCCTGCAATTAAAATAGTACATAACATAGCCAAACAAAAAGCAATTTTGTATAGTAAACCCCTGCTAATGAAATAAAACTGTTTACGAATAACATGTTCAATCATTCCATCAACGGTTGTTTGCTGACTTGTCCTATTAATTCCCCCCCCCCCAACATTTTTATAAATGATCGACAGCTTGTAGAAATACTATCACCCCTCACTAATCCTCACTTTATTTGAGCTCCAGAACATTTCCTAGTGTTTTCCATCCCGATCTCCTTTTGTCATTGGTGCCGAACATAGGACCTGGCACGCATACTATTAGTGCAGGGCGTTAGACCTGACGTGTATATCATTGGTGCAGGGTACTGGAGATGGTGTGTATGCTATTGGTGTAGGACGTTGGACCTGGCGTGTAAACTATGGATGCAGGACGCTATACCTTGCGTGTATACCATTGGTGCATGCTGTAGGGCCTGGCGTGTAAACCATTGTTGCAGGATGCTGGAGCTGGTGTTTAAACCATTGGTGCAGAACGCCGGACGTGGATGTATACCATTGGTGTAGGGAGCTGGGCCTAGCGCGTAAACCATTAATGCAGAACTCCGGACCTAGATGTATACCATTGGTGAAGGGTACTGGACCTGGTGTGTATACTATTGGTGCAGAACGTAGGGTCTGGCTATATACCATTGTCTGCCCATCAAGATCCAACAACAGATACAAGTCGAAATTTCTCTCACCCCCGTTTAAGGCAGAAATGTAGAACGTTAAATCTCATTTCATTTTTACTTACTGATGTTATGAAAGTCAATCCATCTGTAAATGTATGAAAATCTTCTGAACCAAGACCTGAAATCATAAAGAAGAAAATACGATCCTTGTACTGTGTCATTGACTCTACCTCCCACCCATCAAGTATCAACGGGCTTGTTGACTGCAGAGCTCAAACTGAGCCTTAAAACATCTCCATAGAAACATGTTTAGAATCAGATCATGATTTGTAACGTAATTGTGTGAAGTTATTTGCTTTAACAATTTATGCTAGATATCGACAATATAAACATTTAAACAACTGTAAACGGTTTTAAGCACTCTGTTTTATTCAATCTCACCTATTCCATCGATATTCTCGCACTTGCCCGGATAATGTTCATTATAGTGTAAATGAAAACCCATATAATACCTGAAAACAAAATAAAAGGTATGGTAGACAGAAACTTGTATTAGACTACATCATCTGATGGTACAATCTCTGAATCTCGGTGGGAATAGAAATCATCGATACTCGTGTTTCAAATTTATTTTATATTGCAGAATGTGCCAAATGGTTCTGAGATATATGTGGTTGTCGCCATCGTGAATATTGGACGGACATCTGAGTGAGTAAGACGCTGTCTCGATAACCAGGAATTGTCGGGTTCACTACCGGTGTTGACTGAGAATGTCCCTTGCGATGTTTCGACGTGGTTTCAGCAGTGCAAGGAAGGGGATGACAAGGAACAGCGTCTAGTCATTCGGATGGAATGATAAATCATGTTCCGTTTACATAATGACGGAAATGAACATTCAAAGGTTGGGAGCCGAAATAAAAGTAGGGCTTATTGTCGCTGTCCGGGCAAACTGTTCCCCATAGCACACTGTATGTATATATGGGTCGTCAAAATAGCAACAATATTTATATTGTACAGTTCATTCACTGGGATTTGGTTTTATGACACCATATCGGATCAATTATACTCACGGCTGGATCACGGGAAGTGCTGTGCGGGCTCCAGTCAAGATTCCCAATATTAAAAGGAATCCCAAATTAATTCTATCTACTTACCATACTGGCATACATTTATGTGAGTTTGGCAGACAATGGCCATAATATGTCCCTCTCTCTTTTTCTCACTGTTGATGCTAGGACCTTAGTGACATTTTCAGTCAAGCGTCTAACTCAAACTTAATCCGGTCCTGATTATACTTACACCGTTGTGAGCACCATGTGTATCACATATAGAAACAGAGACCCAACAACTAACTTCACCAACATTTTTAGAAATCTGAAATGTAAGAGATTACATAGGATATTTTGTCTTCAGTAATCCTACTTTGAAGCAAAATTAATTCGGATGTAAGGACTAGGTACCAGCATACAGCTTGCTTCCAGGCGACAGTCTTAAAATTAAAGCGTTATAGTTTCATGGGAGCGGAACAAGACGAAATACACGCACACACACACACAAATATTGCATAATGTGGGGTAATCGAAGACATTGTTGTACGCGCCAAGAGGGGACTGCCCTCACAGATTTGTGAAATGCAAAGTAAAAGTAAAAAAAAATATTTATAACAAAGTTGACGAATCGATTATCTGCTAACAGTTAACCGACCTTCTTAAATTTGCCCCCATTAGTTTGTTGGGTTTTTTTCGGGAGTACACAAATTAGCCCAATATACTGTTATTAGACCGGGAGCCCAGGGGGGCCAACCTAGCTGAAAAGTGTACCAATTTTTTCCTATATGTTATCAATGCATGTATAGCTGGTATCATCAGAATGTAAGTCTGTCGGGATTCCGGTGGTGGGTGTGGTATTCCACGCCCAAAATGCCATGCACCCCAACTAGGCTAGATTAGCTCAAAAGTGTACCACATGAAAATCGTACAGGAGTGTACCGTACATCTTCAGGTGTTACAAAAACACTCTAACAGACATTTCTAGTGGTGGGTTACCCCTGACAGAGCTATGTAATTGTCAGACATTTGTAGTGGTAGAGTATCCCTGACAAGAGTTATCTAATTTCCAGTCCACAGCTAGGCTAGATTAGCTGAAATCTGTACCCCCTAAAACAGCTTTGGAGTTGTTCAGTACCACTACAGGAATCATGAATGACTACTGCCAGACAGTTTGTGCGGTGGGTTACCCCTTATAGACACGCAAGAAGCAAGACGCTTGATTGATTTAACGACTTTTTTTTATTAGAAATCGAGCCAAGCCAAGGATATTTCTAAAACGAGAGCATCGCTAACGCTGCAATATACGTCCACATTCCTGCTTTGATTGATATGGTACTTTTTAAAATGAAAAGAATGAAATAGCTGTAATATGACAAGAGGCAAAGAAGGCTAGGCGTTGGGTTTGTTTTGCCAAATTTTTAAAACATTAACAAAATAGTGGATGTGAAACTGCCCCAGGGGGTCGCCCCAGGGGGTCGGTGCATGCACGGAAATAATTAGTTGCTGTCTTTACGGTATAAGGAATAAATATGCAAAGATCCAAGATGATCCAATCAGAATTGAAGTCTGTAGACGATAAATACAACATTTGGGCGTGGCTCTGCCCCTGGGGGTGGATATGGAACAATATAAATAGGTACAAGCCTGTTATTGAAATGATTGATATCCTCAATTTGAACAAAAGAATCTGTTAATTATTGCAACCTGTAGAGTATTTACCGATAAAAACTAAGAAAAAAGTGGGTATGGTACCACAACACATTGGGGCTGGACACGTACCAAAATAAATAGTTGCTATCCTATAAGTATAAGGAATAAAGATGTCAAGTTATAAGATAATCCACTTAGAATTCCAGCCTGTAGAGAAAAAACACAAAAACAGATTTGGATCCAATTTGGAATGATCCAGCATAGGGTTGTATCTATATATATTGGTCCATGTCCACCCCGAGGGGCAGAGTCACTCCCAATTTTTGTGTTTTTTCTCTACAGGCTGGAATTCTAAGTGGATTATCTTATAACTTGACATCTTTATTCCTTATACTTATAGGATAGCAACTATTTTTTTTGGTACGTGTCCAGCCCCAATGTGTTGTGGTACCATACCCACTTTTTTCTTAGTTTTTATCGGTAAATACTTAAAGGAAGGGTTGATGAAAACTCCCGCTCGCTGGTTTATCCTATCCATGTTTGCTTTCCTGTCGGTTCTTGCACAAGATGTATTGTTTAGCATATCTTTGCTTTAGTGTGTTACGTTTAATTTGATCGGGAGATGTTTCGTTAATAATTGCAACCTGTATATCATTTACAGACAAAATATCAACAAAAAGTGGGTATAGCACCGCCGAAATGGCAGGGGGTGGGGGCACAGGGGGTTTGGGGGGGGGGTCGTGCATCAACATCAATAGTTGCCGTCCTTAGAGTATAAGGAATAAGTACACCAAGATAATCCATTCAGAATTGTGACTTTCGGGCTCTAAAGGTAAAAACAAAGTGGGTGTGGCTCTGCCCCTGGCGGTCGAAGCATTCACCAAAATCAATAGTTGACGCCCTTAGGCTATAAGGAATACATATGCCAAGTACTAAGCTGATTCATTCATGCGGCCTGTAAATCAATAATTGATGCCCTTAGGCTACAAGGAATACATATGCTAAGTACCAAGCTGATACATTCAGAATTGCGGCCTGTAAACGACAAACACAAAAATTGGGCGTGGCTCTACCCATGGGGGCCGGGATATGTAGTTGTCGTCCTTAGGCTATAAGGAATACATATCCCAACTTCAAAGACGATCCATTAAAAATCGTGGTTGTAGGCAATCACCCAAAAACAATAGGGGTCATCCTTAGGGTACAAGGTATAGGTATGCAAAGTTTCAAAAGGATATGTTTACAATTCCGTCCTGTAGGTGAAACACAAGACACACAAACATTGGGCGTGGCTCTGTCTCAGGGGTTCGGGCATGTACCAAAATAGAGGTCAGCCTTAGGGTATAAGGAATAAGTATAAAAAAGCTTTCAAGAGGATTGATTAAGAATTGTGGGCTGTAGGCGACACAAAGAGAAAATGGGCGTGGCACTATCCCTGGGGGTTGGACATACATCCCAAACGATAGGGATGTTCCTTAGGGTACAAAGAATAAGTATGCAAAGTTTCAAGATGATACGATAAGAAATGCGGCCTGTAGACAACAAAGAAACTAATACAAGAAATGGGCGTGGCACACACACACACACACACATAATACGTCCAGAAAAACCAATGTTAAATCAGGGGTGAGCATGTTGACAATAAGCGCGGTCACCAAGCAATGTGTAGCAAAATTTATGAACACATGATCAAAAAGTCATTGACACTGTGTAAATAACTGACTAGTTTTATTTACACTGAAATTGGAGTCTACCCATAACATACATGAGCGAAAAGGTTCTTTAAAATGGAAAAATTTTATTAAATCAATTTTGAAACCAGCTTGTGTTGGTGCACATGTTAATTTTTATCGTTTATTTACCGTAGACCAAAGTAATGCAGCTTTACAGTTGTGATAATATTCTTGGATTCAGGCTAATCAAAACTTATAGTGAGTCGGGCGCTGACAGGCTCGGTATTTGCCGATTTGGTGCAGGACGGGGTGACGGGGGGTCTGAGAGCGGACAGTGTCTAGTCATTCGGATGGGACTAGAGGTCCAGTGTATGCCTTGGCGTGCAACTAAAACAAGCCTTGATAGTTTGAAATAAGAGTAGTGCGTCCTCATTACCTCATTTCATTTTATACTCTTCAAAAAAAGTAGGGGATATCCAGAAACAATACATAACTGCGAAATGCACTGCTGGGGTTTTTTTACTAGAGGCAACCAGTGTATGTTAATAACAGGCCAATTGCCCACACATGAACATAAACAGTTCATATGGGCGACTTATCTGACGGCCCCATTTCACTCGTCAAAAGTGAAAATGGACGTTTTGATTTTTGTCTTAATAATGAGTAATTGCTCCACCAATCCTCAGACATTCAGCAATTCGTCATGGTATGCTCCTAATCAACCGTCCAATCACGATTTGGGGGCAATCTGACCCACTCCTCTTGCAGTGCCACGGCCAATTCTTGCAGTGTTGTCGGTTGACAATACATCTTGTGCAAGAACCGACAGGAAAGCAAACATGGATAGGATAAACCAGCGAGCGGGAGTTTTCATCAACCCTTCCTTTAAGTGTCAAATTTGAAAATGAACCCCTACAACGTGTATGGCGCTATTGCGTGTCGCATGTGCAGCTCAGTGGTTCTGTTGGGGCGATAAGTTCTTCATCTGTGAACATACTCTCAAAGCATATCACAACCTGCATAAGTATTTGCATTTCATTGTTTCCTACTTTTTTTTTGAAAAGTATATATCGTCGGCTAGACACGACATAATACAGTTTAAAGTAGCTAAGTCTCTAACTCAATATCATCAAAAACTTTCGACATTAAAAACACGAATTATTTGTCAATTCAAATCAACATTGATGTTGTAATCTTACAGGGAAAAGGTGGGCTTCTGATATCCAATATTCAAGACAAAATAAACATTTTACCATTTGTACACGAATCGTGTACCATGATGCGTTTCAGCACCATTTGGAACAAGGGACCCAAAGAACAGGGCTAGACATATTCCACAAGTCATGTCAAATGGTGACGCTATATTCTTATCTGGAGAGCATGCGCAATAAATACCATCGGTGTAGACTGGAAAAACCAGACGCTAAAGATTGCGATTCACATGAGACTTCTGGCGTATTTCGCCGAACATAACTGATTATAAATTACAGTAAAAACCGAAACGATTGAATATAAATCAGTTTTATATACATTCATATTACATTATCATATGCGTTGCGACCAATTTTTGTCAATTTCTAGGTCTCAAATATCAGCGATTTAGCTCCTTTAACACGATATCATTAATCCCGTCTTTTTGAATAGGAGTATTGTATATCATGAATATTATAACAAGCCACGTGTATATAAACCATTGTAGGGCCTATAGCTATAGGACAACTAAACATTTGATACAGTGAACACCAACTTGCCCTCCGAATTGAAAGGCAGAAGTTTGACAACGGCACACACAAGAGAATTGGTGATTTGCACCACCATAACTCATAAGAATAAATAAATTTTGTGTTTGTCTAGGTTGGCTGAAGAGGGGCTATTACAGACTCGCTACGGATAAACCGTACCCAAACTCTAACCCGTGTTGAGTGCTCGTGCAATAAGGTAATGCAACTGGTGCACACATTCTGCATATTTGACCGTCGAATGTTTAACCCAAATTGTTATCCATTCAAGCCGACAATCATCGATAGCCTATATAGATTATTTATCCAGGTTTTGTTACACCCGTGCGTTGATATATAGACTATATATGAAATTAGTAAGCCAGTATAACTATGTTGTTTAGATATATCTGTGCACTATAACATAGTCTTACCGTCAACAAGGTTAATCCCGTTTAACCTTCAAATTATAATCCTTCTTTCTCGTCGGTTACGTAATATTTCACTACAGTGGCAAACGAAGCGGAACAGGGGTTAAATTATGGAAGCCTATTAGTGCCAAGATATAAAAAGAAATTATACCAATAAATCTACTACGTTGGACTTAAAATCTCCTTATTAGTCTCTATTGTCTGTTTCGTGGGACTTGATATCTCCTACAGGACAAAATATCTACTCCTACAGAGCATAATATCTCCTCCTATAGGACATAATATCTAGTCTACTGTGTAGGACTCGATGTCGTCTACAGGACATAATATCTACTTGATATCCCTTGAGGTTCAGAACAAACCAGAGAGGAACCAGACACATATATTTTTTACAACCTAGCTGACTTCAATTAAATTTGTTGCGTTTATGTTTGGGTTCGTTCCAGCACTAGCTTTTAGAAATGAGGGATGAATTGGAGGGTCTAGAACAGAAGTGATCTGCATAGGCCAACGAGTTGGAACGATCGTCGGTACTGGGGAGGGAGGGAGTAGGCAGGTTTCCCCTTTACTTTCACGCAGTCTTGTAGGATATCGTTTCTTTCTTCATTACACATGGAGCCCGATACCATAGAATACACGACTCGTATTATAAAAATTAGGATCCCATATTTTCACGTCAAGATAACAACATCAATATTCATTCGTGTTTTAATTAGGACTATCGTGGAAAATATTGAATTTGAGCTTTAGCTGCTCACATTTGATATATCCTGTGTGTCTCAAGTTTTTCATGATGAACTTCAACGTGCTTTTGGGCAGGAGGTTGCCACATGTTGCTCCATCTGTGGTAGAAAGCGTTCCACACAGCGAAGACTTGGTAATTGTTAGAGCCGGTCTGAGAGACGAGAATTATCATTAAAGTCAATGGGGAAATCATTGGTGATCTGTGGCCAACTGTTCTGATGAATGTTCGTATAGTATCTCCTACAGTCTATAGTAATATCAATATTGACTTGTCGCGTCAACTTATTCACAAGTCGACAAGTCGACAAAATACAATTATTTCGACTTGTCGTGCGGCGACTTGTCGACTCGGAAGTTAATCTGTGCGCATGCAAGTTATCCAATCAGCAAATGCGCAAGCTCGAGTTTGACTTCCGAGGCGACAAGTCGCCGCACGACAAGTCGAAATAATTGTATTTTGTCGACTTGTCGGTTTGTGAATAAGTCGAAGGCGACAAGTCGACAGAATTGACCCGACAAGTCGACGAAATGAAGGCGACGATCGTCGGGTTATTTTGGCGTGTTGGTGGGTTGATTTAGTCGACTTGTCGATTTGTCGCCTTCTTCACAAGGCGACGATTTAGATTCATTTGAATGGCCGCTAACAGCCACCATATAAGAAGAGAGATTAATTTATAAGCTTCAAATTGTTTTCAGATCCCATGAATTATGTAAGAACTTAATCGGCATATTGGAGATTTCTTTTTTTATTTTTAGTTTCGAATATAATATAAATAATTAATTAGGCATTAATGCACATGCCAAGCATTTAATTAACCCTCTAAATTATCGGGTCGTCGCGATATTGAATTGATTAGAACACTCGTTTAATAATTTAACGTTAAAATGGATAATCGAGACTGTTTATTACTATAACAATGGTAGTTGACAATCGAAACTATATCTTGTCCGAATTTTCCATTTTGTAACTAAGCAGCAAAAGAAACGTCAGACTATTATGTTACTCTGAATAGACGCATTGCATAAAACTTGCCAAATTTTTTTTATTGTATATTTGTGACCACATCTCCAACTTTACCTGGGAAATTGAACCCAGGAAATGTTCTCAAAAATGTGTACAGACTCTAAACCTTCTCGTAATGTCTTGGAATTGTGATGAATTAATCACTAATGTGTTAACCCCCTTGTTCGCAAAAAAATGTCTTGATCCATTTAGTAAGTCGTTTTCTAGAATGATGTGATTAAAGTGCCTCTCTGATTTTGAATACGTACTGACGTTTTGTTTTTTGCTGTTTTGCAACAAATTCTCCCTCACATTGTATCGTTTCCGTAACGGTCAAGTCACGTGCCAAATATGGACTCTTAAAATAGATTTTTATAGCGTATAGTGTTCCCGACTAGAATAGTGTTTTGAGGGGGATGTGAAGCAAATTTTTGATTGATTAATTAGTTAGAATATGTTTTTAGTCCAAATATATCAACAAATCACCCAGTTTGTACACGGGAATGTATTTTTAAAGTAGCTAAGTCCCTAACTCAATATCATCCAAAATCTTCAACATTGAAAACACGATTTATTTGTCGGTTTAAATCAACATTGCTGTTGTGATCTTACCGGGAAAAGGTGGCCTTCTGATATCCAATGTTTAAGACAAAATAAACATTTTACAATTGGTACTCACAACAGAATAAGAGTAAAAAACATTGTTCAGGCATGATAAGTGGACATGGTTATTTTGTACTATAGTTTTGTGTGAAGTATTCAATTTAGGTGCACAGATTTATGGAGGGGGATCCTCGCCAAAACTCTCAATTTGTGAAAATACATTTGTCGATTTGTCAAAGTACATTTGTTAATTTGTCAAAATGCAAAATACATTTGTCGATTTGTGAAAATGCATTTGTTGATTTGTCATACAACAAAAATACATTTTTTCATGTGTGAAAATACCTGTCTAACCTACAAAGCACAAATTTTGAAATAACACAGCTTAACTTTACAGTTTCAAGATATGTAATTTCAACATTTGTATTTTCAAGATATGTAATTTCAACATTTGTAGTTTCAACATTTGCAGTTTCAACAGTTGTATTAACGACACTTGCATTATCGAGCCTTGCATTAACAAGCCATGCGTTAGCGAACTATGACCATATTTGGGTTGATGACGTTGATCATTAATCCGGAAAACGCCGAGTTTGGTCCTGCAATGATGTCTCCCGTCTCAATAAAAACATCTCTTCTTGGGTGGAGTTTTTCAAGGGGAACTACTCTCATTATTTCCGTTCTTCAACATGGCCAATGAACTTATTCATGAAGTGAAGTCCCGAATAGAGGGAATTTGCAATTTGTTAGATACACAAAATTTTCAATCGCTTTCAGACATCATACATGATATACATACAGTAGCAGGTATTGTCTCAGATTTAATGTGTTCCATGCCTTCCACGGAAGAAGACAGTATAACGATGAATGGATTACAAACTTGTTTATTTCATATTCAAAATGCTGCAAATTTAATCGAACGAAAGCAGGCCAATGAAGTTATAACTGGATCTCTCGGACATTCATTGTCACCAGGACATACTGGACGACCATCAAAGTTAGTTCCATTTGAACAGCTAGAATTTTTGGTTTCTAATGGATTCAAATTGAATGACATGGCCAATTTATTTAATATTAGTCCCAGAACCATGAGTCGAAGATTGCTTGAATATGGTATTTCATTAAATGAAAAATATAGTCATATTTCCAATGATGAGCTAGATGAAATAGTAATTGACACCTGCACAGTAAAGGACATATAATTCAAGAATACAGGGTTCGTGAATCGATGAGAAGGGTTGATATAGAAGGTGTTCTCTATCGTCGACTTACTTTAAATCCAGTAAGACGAAGAAGATATTCTGTTCGTGCGCCAAACTCATTGTGGCATATAGACGGCTATCATAAATTGATAAGGTTAGTATTGACTCAATTACAGGCAGGGGCGGACTAAGCTTATTTATCAGCCCAAAGAGGGACTAGCAGTGCATGGCGTTGTATGCCGTGAATATTTGAAAATTCAATTGCTGGATGGGGGCCTGGTGTGGCCGAGTGGCTAGGACGCTTGCCGTTCATGGTGGGGGTCCCAGGTTCGAATTCTGGCGGAGATCGGGTCGACCTTGTGGATTTTCTCGACTGGGTTCCCCCTTGTCAGGTGGGGAATGACATGGAAAAGCGTTCTAGTCCATTGGATAGGATGAAAAACGGAGGCCTGTGTTCACTAAGCTACGAGAGGGCATGTTAAAGTCACCTCGGCAGTTAAAATCGGTAGTGAGAATAGGGTGTTGCCGCTGCCTTAGCAAAATTTACCCTCATTGCACACGCTTGGCAAATGCCCGTCTCTAGTTAGCCTATAAATTAGTGCAGAAAAATGGGACGTTAATCTCCATTTCATTTCATTTCAATTGCTGAATGTGCAATCTTCGCTTTAAAACTGACTATTAACATGCATAAATTTTTGAAAGGCCCTTTGGGTCGGGACCCAACTGGTTTTGGCCAGGTGTGTCCCCCTCCATACCTGCTTACAGGTGATATACCGTTTTGTAATGTAAGCTTATAGAATTGATTTAAGAGTCTTCGTACTGTAGTAATCATTGTTGATTTCTGACTCCTGTTAAGTGAGTTCGCTTACTCAAGATAATTAATCCAAAATCCATATTTGGATTTTTAACACCCATTCGAAACCAGCTATTCAATATCATTAATGTCAGACTGGTTTATGATATATAGGCTTACTGTATTTGTATGACTAGTATAATATTTTATATGGGTTGCATTTTTCGAAACACGATGGAATGGCGGTTTGTCAATTACCGGTATATTATATATTGTATCTTTAACATTAACTCATCGCAGTTCAGTTTGATTAGTGGTAGCTGAGTAATGATCATTTGTATATTTTTTCCATATCTTTTAAGCTGGCACTTAGTTGTTCATGGAGGTATAGACGGTTATTCTCGCCTCCCTACATATTTAAAGATTAGCAACAACAATAGAGCAGAAACTGTTATGCAAGCATTTAATGAAGCTGTTCAAAATTATGGATTGCCATGGAGAGTTAGATCGGATAAAGGGGGCGAGAACGTTCGTGTTGCAGAATATATGATAAATTCCAGAGGTTTTGGAAGAGGCAGCCATATTACTGGAAGAAGTGTCCATAATCAGAGGTAAATTTAGTACGTCTGCATTAATATGTTCGATTTTATGTTATACATCTGTCTGTTCGCATTATCCTTTGAATAATAATTTTCAATAATATGCCAAGTTTAAATGGTTTAAAATCTTGATAGTTAGTCAGTGTGAAGCATCATACAGAATGCCCGTATTATTGTTTGGAACATGTTTCAGACTTCTTCCACTTGACTACAGTATTAAGAGGTTTCAACTATTATAAACGATAATCAGCAGTCTTCGTGCCATTCAAGGGTTTTCATTAATATTAAAGATATGTGCAGTTTTGCGTTAACCAATGGATATGTAACATTTATCACCTAATTAGAATTTTAAACTTGTGATCGTATATTAGCGTTCAGAAAACGAATGTCATGTTCAATATTTGATACGATTCAATAACAATCACCAGAGTTACTGCCCTTTGTTTGTAATCTAGATTCCAGAGTTTTAATGTGTCTTTGTCGTCATCAAATGTAGGTAAAGTAGTTTGTTCAAAAATCAAATTATGTACCATTGTCTAGACTTTGCTAAAAACATTCATTCTGTGACTTTGTGTGGTTTCATGAAAGGAATGTTGACAATTTGTTGCTCTGGTGTCATTTTCAACAACCTGTTCATATTTTAACAGTGAAATAGATCATCACACTTAATTTTTTTTTTATTTCAAAGAATAGAGAGATTTTGGAGAGATTTGTGGATGGGATGCATCAGTTTTTTCTACTACCTTTTTTGCTACATGGAAGCAGAAAACATATTTATACCAACTGATGAAATACATATTCAAGCCCTACACTATATCTTCATACCAAGGATTCAAAAACACTTGAACGAATTTAGAGAGGCCTTTATCAGGCGATCTATTAGGACAGCTAATCAGAAAACGCCGTTACAGTTATGGATAGATGGTCAAATCCTGGATCCAAATGAAAATCTTGCTTCTGAGGTATATTTTCATTGATATGTTTATTCAAGAAATCCAGATTAATATAATCTTTCATTTTTTGACAGTGGTTAAGATTATGCCTAAAAATATTCAAAAATTGGAGGGTGAGATTTTGGGATATTTTAATTTCCATAGCAAACAAATGATTTAATCTGTTAATGATAAGATAGAAGTCTCCAACCTTATACACCCCAACAACTGTTATTATATCCCAGAAAGTTTCAAAACTTTTCGTTGAGAACTGTGATCTCTATCGTGTAAAGAAGAAGTTTTTATGGGCATGCACAATAACTAGTAAAATGAAACTTTCAACCTTTTCAAAGATAAGATACAACTTTTAAACTAGCATATTCATAATCAGTGACCTCAATAATATATAATTAATTGCTTGCTTCGTCAGAATCAGATGATTTTGTGACTTGACCTAATTTTCGCCATTTTTATAAACAATTACAGCAACTCTGGTCTCTATCACGTTTACAAGGTTTCGTGAATCAAGGTCAATAACTCTGGAAAACATTGAATTTCGATAGGCTTCTTCCTTATGCTGGTATAAACAACTACAGCAAGTTTCGTTAAAATTCTTGTTTACAATATGAAATAAACTTATATCTTAAATAAACCTATAAATTCAATCCCAAACAGACGTTCATTAGATTTTAAATATTTTTTTATAGGCAGACTTTCAAAGTTACGGAACAATACAAAATGGTTTGATGGCATATGATGATGAACCAGAAAGAGTTGTTATTGGTCATTTTCCTATATCTTTAACTGATCAAAAGATGGAAGAATTGATGTGCCAAATAAATCCTTTATTCGATTCAGAAAATCAGGGAATGGACTTGTTTCTTGCAACCGTAAATTTCATTTCTAATTATCATGAAATGAATTAGGAAATCAACACTGCTTTTTTTCAATTAATAGGTTTTTATTGGGTATTTCACCAACAGAGGCCCAGTTCATGCTACATACATTTTCAATTCAAACCAAAACCATAAGCACATACAATTATGTTAATAAAAGCATTTTCTAGGAAATCGTATTCTTTCATATATTTCGTTTGGTTAATAGTAATAGATGGCGCACATGTATTTACTGTAGTGCAGTTTAAATTTTCATGGTCAAATAGTAGTAGCCCATCTCCTATATTTGGAGATATGGCAGGGCTACCAGTTGTTGCCAGAAGAAAATGTCCAGTATTCAGTTGAACATCATCTTCGAGATCTGTTTCCATATCCAACCACTGGGTACTGATTTTTCCACCTAAAAATATATACAAACTTGTTAAATAATTTGAAACAAAAGACCATCAAGAAAGTTAACATACGCCATACAGCAGTTTAACTTCAAGGCAGCTACTAGTCTTCTATGAAGGGCTGCCGCCTGCCGGCATTCATTATATTTTAGAATGTATCAGTAAAATATTCATAACTAATTTCCTAATACATGCATAAACTTTAGTTTGAGCTATTTTCCGATATGCACAGGTAATGGATCTCAGCGACAGGTGCATGAACATTTCGACCCTTGACGGAGGGGGATCCTCGCCAAAACTCTTAGGCCCGTATTCTCGAAATTGGATTAGTGCTAATCATAGATTTAATCTCTGACTTTTCGACCAGCCATATTCTGAAAGGCTGATTAAATTTTAAGCTAAGATTTTTATAAACTTTGATTAGCCTAATCAATGAGTTAATCATTGTTCGAGAATACCATAAAATGTGGTATTCTCGAACGTTGACTTGTACTTAATCATTGACTAAATCACCCCAATGTTTAGTCATCTCAGGGGGGTAGTTTAAGGAAAGATTAAGTACATGCATATGCAATTACAATGTATTGAATATTATAGAAATTATTATTTTTCATTGAATTCAGACTCATTGCACTTATATTTCGCCTCAAAAGTAACAAATTTACATTCATCGTAAATTCTGTTGAAAAAGTTTTTTTTATATATATATTAAACATTCTCTATTATATAAAATATAATTATGTGCACTTTAGTCAAAATACAAATAATTTTTAGAAGTGTCAAAGAACCTTTAAGGAATTGCAAAGAGCGGAACAAATCAACCTATTGGCACAAAAGGGAACCCACAGCAGCTAAATCGTCCGGGCAGTCGACAAGGATTGTCACATTTAATTATCAGAAATCAATAGAATTTGTTTGGCTTCTAGTTCTGCCCTCAGCGAACATTTACTATACAAAATGTAATAGGCATCCTCCTCTCAGTTAGTTACCCTCATTGCACACGCTTGGCAAATGTCCGTCTCTAGTTAACCTAAACAGTGCATAAAAATGGGACGTTAAACTCTATTTCATTTCATTTGGTATTAGTGTTGAAAGTAGAGGTCATGTTCTAAGTGAGTTAGAATTGATTTATAAATTTTTTCAGTTTAGAAATCAATTCGAACTCATACATTAAGTCCTTTCAAAACTTAAAGCATACATTATTTCCTTCTAATGTTATTAAGTGTGGAACTCAATGATGAGTCTAAAAAAAGCTAAAGATCTCCTCTATCATCTGATAATATACAGTTGTGCATCCACCGAAATATGACAAGAAATTAAGGAGAAGAGATGGTGTAAGGTTGTACAGAATCCCAGACTATATAATTCTGGTTATTAAACTCTTTAAAAGTAATAACTTATACTTACGTTCAAGTTTCTTCAAAAACTGATGAAAATTGTACACAATTATCTCTTCTAACTCCTTGTCTTCTGGTTTAATTGAGAAACTAGGATGAAACAAATTAATTACATCCAAAGCCTTAACATCTGTCCGGCTAAAGTATTCGGTGGCTTCTGCTGAATACTGCATTAATAATTTATAAACACCATGAAGTTTGAGACCTAAAAAATATAAGATCTATGTGTATCTGTACAAATTAATTTATATCATTTCTATTATCACAGCCTTGAAATTTAATGCTGAGGGGTAAAAGTTGCATATATTGGATATATGCCATTTCAGTCTGTATAATTTCAAAATGTTTTTGTTGGGTTTGTTTTAAATTTTTGTTCATGTTTAAAAAAAAAAAGCACCATAAAAACACAATTACATTTCACAGCTCCACAAAGAGAACAATTAAGATAAGTCAGCAAATACTTTCATAGACTAACTTGGCGGTCCGTCAATTGGCCTCGCGACAATTGGCTCCCGACTATTTGAGCGGGTCAAATTGTCGCGAGGCCAATTTGTCGGGCCCAATTGACACAGACTTACCTTCTATGAACTGCAGTAATGGTGGCAAAAAACGATAAAATCCATAATGGCATCGAATCGCTAACATGGCTTCTTTTTTGTTTTCTAATGTCAACATCTTTTTATATCCTGCAGATTCCAATATATCAGCATTTTTCTCAAAAACCTCTGATACATTTAGAGCTTCTAAAGAATCAATCTACAATAGCAAAGATTAACAAGTGATAGCTTTGACAATAAATTTATATTTAAACAGGAGAGTAAGAACTACTTTTAATAAATCAAACAAAAGTTGAACATGCCATAGATTGAATGTACGCGAAGTAATTGCACCAAATTCGAACTCATCCGAGATCTTTGGATATGCCAAGTTTCATTTCTATCGGATGAACATTGTAGACTATCGCGTTCACAAAGTCTAAATTGACGAATTTTGTCGAAAAAGGGGCATAACTCTGCAAGTAATTTTTATGTGGGCGCATAAAAACCAGTTTGGTTGAGTATTTCAGCAATATTTTTCTTTACTATTTGCGAAAAAAAAGAGGCCGCAGGGGAACCGGAAAAAAACCCCAACTTAATCCCTAGCTACCGACTCACAAAGTCTAAATTGACGAACTTTGCCCAAAAAGAGGCTTAACTCTGCACGTAATTTGTATGTGGGTGTATAAAAATCAGTTTGCTTGAGTATTTCAGGAATATTTTTCCTTACTATTTGCGAAAAAAAAGAAGGGGCAGGGGAAACAGAAAAAAAAACAACTTAATCCCTAGTACCCTACCTACCGACTCTATTTTTTTTTGGAGAGGAAATATTTTTTTTTGGAGAGGAAAAAGGAAACACAGGTATTTTTTTGGCCTAAGTTTGATTAATATGTTTGGATAAAAAAAAAATATGGCATCTAGTTTAGATAATAAATGAATGAAATGGAGTTTTTAACATCTCATTTTTATGCACTGATTGGAGTCTCTATACAGAGCACACAAGAAAGAGCAGACGAGCAGTAACTCTTGCAAATGTTAGGCCTATCAAACCCAACTTCATTTTACGAAGACAAAGATACCCTACAGGCTACATACAAAGTTTCATTAAATCTGGATAAAAACTCTCGCCAGTATAGACTAGACCACAATGCATATAAAAACAAAATCTAAGAAAATATTTTAATTCAAATATTAGTCAAAGTAGATGTGTGGATCTACGGTATTATTAATATTATAGCCTAAAACTACTACTATTTATGTGTCTGTTTCAAAGTCACAGTGTCACCCCAATTCCGCGAATTCGTGCAAATATCTTCAAATATAAATTTTGACAACAAAAACTAATTTCACCTGTATTATTGATATGTCTGTTGATATATGATTTTACAAATTAAAACTGTCTAAATTTACTAATTAAAAAATATTACTCTAGCCTATAAACCAATCTGATTCACAGAGAGAATTACTTACGAATTTGCCTATAAACTAGTTTCATTTGCTGTTTGAAGAACGGAAATAATGGGAGTAGTTCCCCTTGAAAAACTCCACCCAAGAAGAGATATTTTTATTGAGACGGGAGACATCATTGTAGGACCAAACTCGGCGTTTTCCGGATTAATGATCAACGTCATCAACCCAAATATGGTCATAGTTCGCTAACGCATGGCTTGTTAATGCAAGGCTTGATAATGCAAGTGTCGTTAATACAACTGTTGAAACTGCAAATGTTGAAACTACAAATGTTGAAATTACATATCTTGAAAATACAAATGTTGAAATTACATATCTTGAAACTGTAAAGTTAAGCTGTGTTATTTCAAAATTTGTGCTTTGTAGGTTAGACAGGTATTTTCACACATGAAAAAATGTATTTTTGTTGTATGACAAATCAACAAATGCATTTTCAAAAATCGACAAATGTATTTTGCATTTTGACAAATTAACAAATGTACTTTGACAAATCGACAAATGTATTTTGTATTTTGACAAATTAACAAATGTACTTTGACAAATCGACAAATGTATTTTCACAAATTGAGAGTTTTGGCGAGGATCCCCCTCCATACAGATTCGCGGAAATTAAATACATATATTAAGTATTTGAGATTTTTTCCTCGGGGGAAACATGATACCTTGACAAATTTATTTTATACTATAGGTTTGCGTGCGTAGCGTGACGTATGAAATTTAGGTGCACGGATTCACGCAAATATATATATTAAGTATTTGGGATTTTTCCTTCGATTTTGCCATTGTTTGTTTACCTCAATAATTTATTTAGTCGACGACAACGATGCATGATTTTGAGATCGACTGCACTTATTTTGCGACCCACTGCACTTATTTCGCGACCGACTATTTTTTTTCCTTTAACACTCCCCCACCCACCCCCTCCGGGTGGCATCTCTTGTTATTCTGGTCCAGTAGGTAGCATTTAATGTAAATCCAACACAGCCTATGTTGTACTATCAGGGAAATATAGCTAGAAATAAAAGTAAGGTTAACTGTGAATCAAAATAAACTTTGTAAATGAAAAACAAAGAACAAACCGAACTAATTTCTGCTGTTAATCCCACTTTTCCGACTATAAAATCTATTGCATAAAACTTTATAATACACTCTGCGCCTTCTAATATTTAAAAATGAAAGCAATGCATTCGGTTTTATACATTAAAATTGCCAATTAAACACAAGCATTTACGGGAGCTTCGCCTACTGAACTCCCACTAAGGCGCATTTGGCACAACCTATGATGTATACACCCTTCGCCGGGAAATATCCCATTCCAAAATCCCCCCTCCCACACACATTCACGTGCTCGCTCTACTATTTTACAATTATGGTATGGCTAATCGTTGGTGGGTTGGGCTGTAGTAATGACATGCGCTCTGTCAACTTTCAGTTTATAAATTACATTTAACCCAAGCTACTATACCAGGAACAACACAATAGAGGAATCCAGCACTACCGTTTGGAACCAATATCGGGATCTTTGCATAGGTAAAATCAATTGATAATTCAGTAATGTTATACTGGGTATTATATATCCACAGTGTGTCTAGTTTAAATACACGTAAGCTCGAGGTCAATGTGCATGTATATGTTCATATGCAATAAACATCTTATCTTATCTTATCGCTATCGCCAAGTATATTTTCTATTTGTAATTGATTGTAAAAATTATTTATTTACCACATTGATTTAAGGCGATAATTAGTGTGTGGTAGGGCCTACATTATTGACTATAGATTCAATTATTGGAAAATACTAGATTTAATAATAAAACTAGGGCTATTTTCGTTTTCGTTGTAATGTTCCTATGCCGTAATTATAGTCTCGACAATCCAGCCCCTATACCTTTAACAAGCCGACCTGCATTGTTAGTTTAATTTCAGTGGTGTGTACCAGGAAGCATAAAGTGACATATTTTGTAAAAGTAATACGAATGAATGGATTGTACGTCTATAGTCTAAAAATTGTATATAACCAGAACATATCCAATATTTGACCTGAGGAAACACGATTTCCTGCATTCTGGGCAGTACTAGATAAGTTCAATTTAGTGCCGAGCTTCTGTCGTCTTTATCAGTCCATACGATGTCTGAACGAACCATTTTTAAATCGCCGCAGTCTCTCGGTAAGTAGAATAAACACTTCCAGAATTACAATTTCTATAACTCGATAATTGACAAAGGTTGAAAATTTTGTTACAACAGAGAGCTTTTAAGTGAAACGAAATCAAGAGACTGAATGTCACACTAGGCGATGTGATCGAAGGTCGTGTTGATTGCTGATGGATATTAACAGGACAGCATGCCATTTGTAAAAAGAACGAATTTTCAAAGCAAGGATTTTTCATTTCAAGACACACTACGTTAAAATAGGCCCCACAGGAGTTCATAATGAAACGAGGGCTAGTTTCGTTTTCGTTTTAACCGTAACTATTTACATTGTAATCTCGACTATCAAGTCCCTGTATCTTTTGTTTAGTGTTGGTAAAAGCGAATGGCGTGATATATTTAGTAGAAAACGCTATAGGTGAATGCATTATATAACGTCTATAGTCCCGCGTGCACATAGTGATAAGCTTCTTCCTGTTTTATAGAAATAAAATTAATAGCTACAATGATCACGTGATGGAGGGGGGGGGGGGGCATCTATCACCCTGTGTAATAAATTCAAAACAAATGTAATATTAATATTCTAATTTACGAAAAAACAATATAACCGTTCTTAGGCTATATTACGGCTATATCTTGTACCGAATTAGTTTAATCTTCAAAGTGTTAATATGTATAACTGCTAAATGGATAAGGGAAGTGAATATAACGCATAGCGATGTTTATGTTAGGCATTTGAATATGCCCCTTGTCAGTGATGCAGGACGGAGGGTCTGGCAAGGACAGCTGTCAAGTCGTTCGGATGGGACGAAAAACCGAGGGCCCGTGTACATATTGGCATGCACGTAAAATATCCCTTGCCAGTTGAAAGTCAATATAAGAGTAGGCCTTAGCGCCGCTGTCCGGGCAAGATTTCGCTCATAGCACACTATATGCCGTATTCCCGTCTTCATTAGCCCAGTTCGGAGCAGAACAGTAGGACGTTAAACCCCATTTCATTTCATTTTCATTTGAATATGATTATTGATATTTTGGGCCATTGAAATTATCGAGTGACCCATTGGCTCAACATTGATTGGTTGGTGTTTATCAAAGTTTGATCAAATGTGTTGTTTAACCTGGTACCATTGTGTCGTGTGTGGTGGTTCAGCTTAAAGAGGCAAATATTTTGATATTTTCACCCATATTCAACTCTTTTTTTTTTTCTAAACTATTTGATGGATTCTACCAAATATGGCAAATATGATGTTTATTTGAGAGAAAATTTATACGGTTTCACACTTCTTGAATTCTTGTTGTATTCCTTAGGTGGTTCTCATTTAGTACGTTAAGAAGTCAAAGTTAGTCAACCATTTTCGACATAAACCACTAAATGAATTTAAATAAGGTGTGTTGCTTGTGTGGATTTCTTTAGTTTTATTCTATGCTTTATAAAAGGGACAATTGACAAGTTTTATTTCACTATTAAAGATACATTATGTAAGATTTAGATAAGGAGCTAGTCATTCTTGTTATAATAGTTCGAAAATAGATAATGTAAAATGAACATATTAAACATTTCTTTCAAATTACTTTATTCTGAGCCAATTTATAGCTGATTGTAATTTTGACAAGATATGTGCATTGCGGTAACCATGACACTGGTATATTCGAGACTTACCCTAGCTTTCCCATTTTTAAATTAAATGTTTAATGCCTAGCCTCGATCATCATTACTAAAGTATGTAGGATAAAAACATAGTCTCGATATTTCATGATTATATTATGAATGGAAGTCGAACAGCAAATCGGAACCTAATCCAATAAACATCGCAGGCTAGCGATGCCATCAATAGTTGATTATGATCTGGATAAGTTAATTAATGTCTAATTAATAATTTAGATAACATTTCAGGCCTAAAAAAAGACCTCCGACAGGCAGATTTAGCTCTTGCATAATGTATGTTTGATAGTTTATATAACATTTCAGGCCTACAGAAAGACCTGCAATAGGCAGATTTAGCTCTTACATGACGAAAACTGACGGAAATAATGGCCGCCCCTTGTACGCTAATAGTTTTTAAAACATATTGTATATCAAGGTTGTGGACCCTCTAGAGGCCACAGTTTTTATCCGATTTGGATGCAACTTTAAATATGTGTTTTTATCATAAAGATTTTTTTTATAAACATATTTTATTCACTATAAATGAATGGAAAAGTGGGGAACAGGCAAAATGCCTATGCCAGACCCCTATCCCTATTTATAATACAAATTATATACTAATAATGATAAGCAGTATATACAATATATACAATATGTACAACCCTTACTTAGTTGAATACACCTAAAGTATTATAGTATGTAATAATAATATTAATAACAACAACAATAATAGTTTAAAATCGTTTAGTTAAATTGAAATATGATTGAACTGTTGTAAAGATAAGGTTATTAATTTCGTTTGTGGAGTCATGCAAGCCGTAGAGTAAAGTTTTGCTGTTCTTATACTCATCAGGTAATGTAGAAATCGTTTTTCGTCGAAAAGTATTGAAGTTTGGACAGTGTAAAAGATAGTGTTCGCTATCCTCGAAAAGGTGACCACAATTGCAAGCTGGATGTAAGCGTTATAGATAGTCAGTAAGGATCTGCGTTTCAAGCGATATTTTAGAGACCTCAAACATCTTACTAGTTTTGATACTTTTTTGCATAAATTTCCTATGTGGAAATCCCATTTGCCGTTATTTTGAAACGTAAGGCCTAAATGTTTGTGGAAGGAAACCTCATTTATATTTACAGAATTAAAACTTAGTGGTGGCTTAGTAATTTTCATTTTAGTGCTGATCTTCAAAGTTTCAGTTTTAAGGGGATTAAAGGTAACCAGCCAGATTTTAGCCCAGTCATTAATAGTTTCGAGATCAGTATTAAGAGTATTGGCGCTTGCAATCGGGTCATCGATTTTGAGTAAAAGCGAGGTATCATCGGCAAATAATCTGACAGAGCCTTGGGGGACACCAGCATGGATTACTTTGGCTTCAGACGCAACTCCATTTAGTACTATCATAAAGATCACGCATATTCGAACGTAACTTCCTTGATTATTGCCCCTAATTGGTCGAAACCGTTTAGATATATCACCATTCCACCATAATGATGGTTGAATTGGAATTTTGGGAAAACTGAATTGAAATTGGTGTATAAGTAAGTATTACAAAGGTTATAGACCCTCTAGAGGTCACAATTTTTATCCGATTTTGATGAAAATTACAACATATCTTTATATTCCAAAAGTCGCATCCCTTTTTGATATTTGCCCATTTCAGACCATAACTTTCTGGATTATGGCCCCTGAATGTACAAAAAATCGTTTTTGTTTCTAGCTTGGTCTCTATCCATCTCTTGCAAAATCTGGGCGTATCCTGCCTGGCAGCCACCGGTTCAAATGTGGTGTGGAGCATTGTGGTCATGATAGGATCATGATAGGTTCCTATCGATGTTCAGCCTACCCCGACTTTCCGTACTAGAGTTATACCATCGTTCCGAAAACCTTGTGATCGCAATAAAGGCTTACCTTTTTTATACGCCCATATTGAAATGTGGTCGTATATTGTCGTCGCCCCCGTCCGTCCGTCCGTCCGTCGGTCCGGCGTCCAGAATTGGTTGTAGACGCTGTAGAGGCTAAAGTTAATATCCGTTTGACTTTAAATTTATACACAGTGTTTAAGGTCGTAAGACAAAGAAGCCTATTGATTTTCAGCGATTTCCGATAATTACTGAGTTATGGCGCTTAATAACTTTAAAAAAGTCTTGTGGACGCTCTAGAGGTCAAAGTTAATATCCGATTGAGTTTAAATTTACACACAGTGTTTAAGGTCATGAGACGAAGAATCCTATTCATTTTCAGCGATTTTCAATAATTACTGCCAGATTTATGACCCTTGATCACTTTGAAAAATATTGTGGGCGCTCTAGAGGCTAAAGTTAATATCCGATTGATCTTAAATTTATACACAGTGTTCAAGGTCATGAGACAAAGAAGTCTATTCATGTTCAGCGATTTTCGATAACTACTGCCAGAGTTATGGCCCTTGATCATTTCAAAAAATCTTGTGGGCGCTCTAGAGGTCAACGTTAATATCCGATTGAGTTTAAATTTATACACAGTGTTTAAGGTTATGAGACGAAGAAGCCTATTTATTTTCATCGATTTTCGATAATTACTGCCAGAGTTATGACCCTTGATCACTTTGAGTTTAAATTTATACACAGTGTTTAAGGTCATGAGACGAAGAATCCTATTCATTTTCAGCGATTTCCAATAATTACTGCCAGAGTTATGACCCTTGATCACTTTAAAAAATCTTGTGGACGCTCTAGAGGCTAACGTTAATATCCGATTGAGTTAAAATTTATACTTAAGGTCATGAGACGAAGAAGTCTATTCATTTTCAGCAATTTTCGATAATTACTGCCAGAGTTATGGCCCGTCATCGCTTCAAAAAATCTTGTAAATGCTTTATAGGCTAAAGTTATCATCCGATTGACACAGAGTTTAAGATCTTGAGACGAACAAGTATATTGATTTTCAATGAATTTTTATGTCTTGAACAGCTAAATCCATGATGTTAAAAGTTTCGTATACTAACCGTTGGCATGTGGCAGAACTTTATAAACACCAAACAAATTCTAATGGTTTTCTGATAATTACTTGAAGATACATTATGGGAGATTCGATAACGAGTTGGCAGTTCTCATTAAAATAGTTAAAAACTAGATAACGTAAAGGCAATGTGCTGAGAATTTCATTCAAATTGATCCACTATGAGCCCAGAACTAAGCGAATAAAATTTCCGCCTAGCCTCGTTCATCATTACTAAAGTCAGTACGATAAACAATATAGTCTCGATTATCCATTTAATCGTTAAATCGTGAAGGAAAGTTATGCAGTAAATCGGCTCATAATCCACTACAGATCGCAGGCTAGCTATGCCATCTAGTGTTGATTAAGGTCTGGATAGGTTAATTAATGTCTAATTAATAATTTAGATAAAATTTCAGGCCTAAAGAAAGACCTGCAATAGACAGATTTAGCTCTTGCATAATGTAAGTTTAATGAGTTAAATTGTTATTCTTAATCAGATTTTAATGTTTCATTACCGTAAAAATAAAAAAAATATGAGACAACTCTTGTTGACTGCCCGGACGATTTAGCTGCTGTGGGAGTATGTTTCGTTGCCTGGCAACCTGTCTTTAACGATTATTTTCAAATTTGGTATGAAGCATAGGGGTCATGAGAGGTATGAAGCACCGGGGTCATGAGAGGAGGAACCCTATCGATGTTCAGTGTTCCGGAACCTTCCGTACCAGAGTTATGCCCTCTTTGCCGAAATCATTGTGAACACGATAGAGGGTATAATTGTAACGTTTCATTTTTTGGTGTGGATCATTGTGGTTTTATGAGGACCAATCCTATCAATTTTCAGCATGATATCCTGCTACCTTCCGTCCCTGGTTTATCCCCCCTTTTGTCGAAAATCTTGTTAAAACGATAGACGCTATTTTCGAATTAGTTTGAAGCCCTGATATCATAAGAGGACGAATCCTATTGATATTCAGCGTTCTGCAACCTTCTGTCCTGTAAAGACATGGAGGTGGGGAAAATATAGATTTATGAAATACATGTATGTATGTACATTTGTGTGCGTCAAAATTTGCCGATACTTAACCGCCATTACGCACACCAGTCTCTGGATAGTGTTATTTACAGTGCCATTTATTTTTTTCAGATTAAAGAACAAAAGCACCATTAGTTTTGAGCAGTATATGTAACAGAAATCATGGGTTAGTATATCAATATTATTTTGTGTGTGTGAGAGAGAGAGAGAGAGGGAGAGAGAGAGGGGGGGTTAAAATCATAACTGGTGAAGTCAAGTGGCGTGGTTTTTATCCAACACTTGTGCACGTGACAAGGGTTAGAGTCGCCTGTCTAACCTCGTGCGTTTTCTCTTGGTCCAATATGCTTTCCATAAAGACGCTCACGCGTAAGCGAATTATTGAAATAAAATGGTATCATATGTTAATCCAGAAAAGCCTGCGAGAGGATATTAGTTCGAGATCAACTTCTCATGAAAATAGAAAGCGAGAAAAATAAAAAAAAGTCCGTGCATTACACAATATTGAGGGTTTGTTTTATTCTCCAACAATTTGGTTGAAACTCTTAGAACTCTTGTGCTAACCAACATTAATTGATATTTCAACTCTTTGTTTAATTAGAGGATGAAAGTTCAGATGAAGAATTTTCTGCTATGAGATTACCAAGTCTGATAGATATGTTGAAGAGATTACTGGAACAATATTCAGGTGGACAAATACTAAAGGTAACCATTTCTTCTTTCATCAGAGAATATTGTGAACGCTTTAGCGCCCACATTTATCAGTTTTTATACGCCCTCATTGAAATATGGTCGTATATTGTCTACTCCCCTGTCCGCTTCTGTGTGTTCGTTCACATTTTGTTTTTGAACAATCCACAGGTACAATTTTATACGATTTTTATACGCCCACATGGAAATGTGGTCGTATATTGCCGTCGCCCCCGTCCGTCGGTCCGTCCGTCCGTCCATCGTTCACAATTTATTGTGAACACTCTACAGACTACATTTATCATCTGATTGTTTTGAAATTGATATATGTTGTTTGCATTAGTGAGATGGAGAAGCCTATTTAATTTCAATAACTTCCGTTAATTTCTTCTGGAGTTATGGTCCTTGTTTCACTTTGTTGCACCTTGTGAACGTTATAACGACAAAAGTTATCAAACGATCTGTATGAAATTTATATGCATCATTTAAATTAGTAAAACAAAGAAGCGCTTTGAATTTCAGCAATTTCCGTTAATTACATTTAGAGTTATGGCCCTTGTTTCACTTTGTTGAATCTTGTGAACGCTCTAATGACAAAAGTTATCAACCGATCTGTATGTAATTGGTATGCATCATTTAAATTAGTGAAATGAAGAATCCTATTGAATTTCACCAATTTCCGTTAATTTCTTCTGGAGTTATGGCCCTTGTTTCACTTTGTTACACCTTGTGAACGCTCTAACGACAACAGTTATCAACCGATCTGTATGAAATTTATATGCATCATTTAAATTAGTAAAACAAAGAAGCCTATTGAATTTCAGCAATTTCCGTTAATTATGTCTAGAGTTATGGACCTTGTTTCAGTTTGTTGAATCTTGTGAGCGCTCTAATGACAACAGTTATCATCCGATCTGTTTGAAGTTGATATGAATTATTTAAATTAGTGAAATGAAGAATTCTATTGAATTTCAGCAATTTCCGTTAATTTCGTCTGGAGTTATGGCCTTTGTTTCACTTTGTTGCACCTTGTGAACGCTCTAACGACAAAAGTTATTATCCGATCTGTATGAAATTTATATGTATCATTTAAATTAGTAAAACAAACAAGCCTATTGAGTTTCAGCTATCACCTAAATTAGTGAAATGAAGACGAACAAGCATATTGAATGTCAGCAATTTCCGTCAATTACGTCTAGAGTTATGGCCCTTGATCTACTTTGTTGAACTTTGTGAACTTTCGAACGACAAAAGTTATCACCCGATCTGTATGAAATGTATATGCATTATTTGAATTAGTAAAACGAAAAAGCCTGTCGAATTTGAACAATTTCTGTAGATTGCTTCCAGAGTTACGGCCCTTGTTTTAGTTTTTAGAACCTTGTGAACTTTCAAACGATGAAAATTATAATGGCATCTGTATGAAATTGTCTATTAAATTCGCCTAATTACCTACAAAAGAATAAATATGTGACAACCCTTGTCGACTGCGCGGACGATTTAGCTGCTGTGGGCGTATGTTTTGTTGCCTGGCAACCTATCTTTATGAAATTTGAAATATAGGTTTATATCCCGCCGTGTCTTCGTGGATTATGGCTCCTGATTGTACGAAAAATCTTGTTAGTCATTAGCTTGTGGAAGCTCGATACAGGTCACAATGTTTATCCGATTTTAATGGAACTTGAAAGGTATGTTTTATACCCCAAAGATTTCTGTTCCTTTTCATATTGACGCATGTCGGGTCATAATATCCTGGATTATGGCTCCTGTTGTATGCGGTTTTAGCTTGTACTCTGTCCATCTTGTGCAAAATGTGGGGCTGTTTTAAAAAATTCATTATAGTTATTGCTAAAGTTATGGCACTTGATGCTATAAAGACCAAAATTGTCATCCGATTGACATAAATTTATACACAGTGTTTAAGGTCATAAGACGACCAAATCTATTGATTTTCAACGATTTCCGATTAACTAAACAGCTAAATTCATGATATTCAATGTTTTATATATTAAACTTTAGTATGTGGCAGAACTAGAAGCCAAACAAATTCTAATGATTTCTGATAATTACTTAATAGTTTGTAACTTAGTGCATTTTAATGTTTTGTTAATGTTTTCATTACCAACAATAGAAAAACTATGCGACGCCCCTTACTAGGACGACTAAGTTGCTATGGGCGCACGTTTCGTTGCCTGCATCCTATCTATCTACTTTAAATTTAACTGATCACTGAGAGGACGGGCATTTAACGGATCACTGAGAGGACGAAAATTTAACGGATGAATGAGAGGACGGAAATTTAACGGATCACTGAGAGGACGGACATTTAACGAATCACTGAGAGGAGGGATATTTAACGGATGAATGAGGGAGAACGGACATTTAACGGATCACTGAGAGGACGGACATTTAAGGGATCACTGAGAGGACGGGCATTTAACGGATCACCGAGAGGACGGACATTTAACGGATCACTGAGAGGACGGACATTTAAGGGATCACTGAGACTGAGAAGACGGACATTTAACGGATCACTGAGAGGACGGATATTTAACGGATCGATGAGAGGACGGACATTTGAGGGATCAATGAGAGGAAGGACATTTAACGGATCACTGAGACTGAGAGGACGGACACTTAACGGATCACTGAGAGGACGGACACTTAACGGATCACTGAGGGGACGGACACTTAACGGATCGATGAAAGGACGGAAATTTAACTGATCACTGAGAAGACGGAAATTTAACGGATCAATGAGAGAGGACGGCGTTCATAGAATTACAAACATTTACACACATTGCCCAGGTTTAATTGGAAGAATTATGGGAACATTATAGTAACAAAGGTGACCATTCCTTCTACTTGAGATATTCAGTCATCCCTACCCCCATCCCCATGTCATTTTCAGAAAACAAAGAATCCAATAAAACATGTTAAATATTACCCTTATTCACATTCCGGAATATTTGTGAAAATGCTTTGACAGAATAATTTCAAAATATGATTGGTTTGGCCGTCTAGGTCTAGAAAACATTTTAAAAGAAGTTGTTTATTGCAGGAATTAATACAAAACGCTGAAGATGGTGGAGCTACTAAAGTTAAAGTCATGTTTGTAAATAAACACAATCAGCCATCAACAACTTTACAAATGTGGAAAGAAAATCCAATACAATTTGCCATGAAGGTAACATTATTTATATATATATTTAATTATTGAATATTTTTGTAATATTGGTTTGAAGTAAATACAAGTTCAGTTTTACAAGAATGCGATCTAGTGACAAAAGTTATCAGTCGATAAGCATGAAATGTGTAGTTCTGTTGAGGTGGATTATTCAGAGTTATCCCCCTAGCCACTTATTATAACAATGTCTGATTACTTCTCGATCATGCTGTGGAATCTTGTCAACATACCGGTGGTAGTGTTTAGGTGTGTGTGTGTGGTGTGTGTGTGTGTGTGGGGGGGGGGTAAGTATGAATTTTTAAAAGTATATTTACATAACGATGCACGGAGACTTGCATGGACTGCACGGGCGACTTAGTTGACGTGGTCTGAGTTTTGTTGAACATTGTGAATATTTAGTAGTTTTTAATATAGGAACCAGCACTGTGTGTATATAACGATGGAATATTTACTAAAGAAGACTGGGATGGTATAGCTGCTATACAGTGTAGCGGGAAAGAAAATGAACCCCTTAAAGTTGGACGATTTGGACTTGGATTTAAATCAGTTTTTCATATTACTGGTATCTAATTTATTATATTTTTTAAACTTTATATAAATTAACTCATCCACAAGAACGTTTAATACGCCTATGTTGAAATGGGGTTGTATTTGATTAAATCAGTTTTGCAACACGAAGTAAAGATATCATGAATGAGGATGCCTGGGCAATGGATTCACTTAAAAACTGCTCTTTCTCCTTGTTTTTTGATATTGTGTTCTAAAACGAACTAAAGATATCATAAATGAGGATGCCTGAGCAGTGGGTTCGCATAAAAACTGCACTTTGTCCTTGTTTTTTTTTTATATTGGCAGTGAATCCACTGCTAAGGCCTCCTCGTTTATGATATCTTTAGTTCATTTTACAAAACTGATTTAATCAAATGTGTTTTGGAGACATTCTGTAGATATACATCCATAAAATCTGCTTTTTGTAGATGTACATATCCATTAAATCTGCTTTTTTTAGATTCAGGTTTGTATATCGAAAAACAAACTAGTTGTTTTTCATAATTCGCAAATATAGAAAAACGAGTTTCATTTTGTAGAACCTTGTGAACCATCGAACGACGAAAATTATTATCTGTATGAAATTGTCTTGTAAATAAATGCCCCCAATTATCTACAAAAGAATAAATGTGCGACAACACTTGTCGACCCCTCGAACGATTTAGCTGCTGTGGGCGCATGTTTCGTTGTCTGGCAACCTATCTTTGTGTTATGATTTATTTTTTAATGGTTTATTTTTCCCATTCATATGAAATTACGATCTTTGTCCACAGGCAGTAGAATACTAAACTGTAGTAAATGTTGTCTATTTATTCACAGATACTCCCCTCATACTAAGTGGAAATAAACTGATGATAATAAACCCAACGGCTAATGTTTATGATGTTGTTATCACCAAAAAACTCAGAAAAATAGATGAAAAAAGTAAAAAGGAAATGCTCAAATTAATGTCTGGAATATTTGGATTTTCACCAGAAGTCTTTCACCTTCAAGATGGTTTCAATGGCACAATATTTTGGTTTCCACTGAGAACTGTTGAGTCAGATTTGTGTAAAACCATTTATGATGAGAAAAAAATTCGTGACATTTTTCATGGCTTCACATCACTTGCACCATCAATTCTACTGTTCTTAAAGAAGATCGAAAGTATAGAAATTTACGAGAAGAAGTCTACGATCCAGAAATTGTTTGAAGTTTGTCTTGACGGTGATGATTTGTTAACGTTAAGACAAGAGAGGAAAGGCTTTGTACAGGATATAGAACGCTTCAATGGACAGTTTGCTTCTCAACCAATTAAAAATATTTTAAGACCAAAAGTGAGATCTGAAGGATTTAATTGGCTAAAAAAGGAAACCTCAGAAGACGAGTGGTTAGTTATCAATCATTATCATGGTGGTCATGTTAGTGCTGAATTAAAGGAACTTGTTGAAGATGACGATTGGCCTTATAGTCCTTATGTAAGTATCGCAGCATGCTTGTCTAAACCAATCACAAAAGGACACGTTTTCTGTTTCTTACCTTTACCTTTAGAAGGTCAGAGTTTAACTGGTTTACCAGTGCATGTTAATGGATTCTTTGCTTTGAGCCAAGACCGCCACCATGTAAGATGGAACACTTCTGAACAAGATAGAAACAACAGCCACACAGAAAAATCAATCCTCTGGAACCAATATCTGGTAAAAGAAATTCTACCACAAGTCTACACCAACCTGATATTACAGCTTATAGATGATGAAAAGATCAGGTCACTGCCATTAACCAGTTCAGAAAGAAGTCAAAGAGCAGATGTAGTTTATAGAACTTTACCAAACAGTAAAACTGTAACAGAAAATTGGAAAAATTTAATTGATCCTATTTTCCAAAAGTTGTATTCTACAGCATGTATATTCACTAAACGAAATGGAGGAATATGGGCAAAACCACAAAATACAATCTTTACAAAACCTCAAGACGAAAATATGGTAGATTCAGTTGAGCATACTTATCTTCTTTGTGGTAGAAATATCTCAAGGCCTCCCAAGTTTATTTTAGATGCATTTCGAAAACATGGGCCAATAAACTTTATTTCTGCTGAACATTTAAGAGAAGAACTCTTACAGCATCCAGGAGTTTACAGCCAAATTGACTTAAAGGTCAAATTAAATCTGCTTCATTATATTTTGGACAATAATGTTAATTGCTTACAAGGTTTATCGCTTCTACCGCTAGAAGATGGTAATTTCTCTACGTTTACAACTGGACGTACTGAAACAGTGTATATTTTTAAGGATGTTGATGACATGAAGATGTTTCCTGGACTAGAATCCCTTTTTGTCAAATCAGAGATAGGATCAGATTTATATCACATGATTTCCTCTAAAACAGGTAGGCATTGTCTTTTGTTTTTATTGTCTTTTATTTATCACAAGAGAGACACTGCAGATCATGTCCAGAGCAGTTTTTAAATATCCCGCCATGCTCAATTTTCTAAAGAAGAAACAAAGCTCCGAATTATTTACATTTATAGTTCGTTTTATTGATAAGCTCAATTTTTGCAACATGCATGTTTCAAATTTCAAACGAGGTCACATTCAGAAATTAGAAATGTTCATTTCGTACATGTTTGATATAGAAATTAATACCACCTTGATCTAAAATGTAAAGCTACATATGATAACTTAAGACTATAAGAATCTTTTCCTATTTTGCAGGTGAATTTAAGATAAAGATATTTGATTTCTATGACTTCCCATACCTCATAGATCGGTGTATAACGCAAAACCAGTTGCAGGGAGCAAGAGTAACAAAACCATTAAAAACGTGGCTACGTAAGGTATGGACTTACATTGGCAAACACAAGGAATTAAGTAAGAAGAAAATCATTGATCACCTGTATTTATTACCATGGACAGACCCTAGAACATCTAAAGAATTCCTACAAAGGCTGTGTGAAATAGCAATATCGGCATCATATACAGGCTTTGATTCCCTGAATAAACCGCTTTGTGGAGCTTTAGAGAAGTTGAATATAAAGGTATATAAATCATTACCAGAATATATAGCTACTGTTGTAGTTGGTACATTTGTAGAATATCCAACACCAGGGGGTTTGCTTAATTGTTTGAGGAGAATAACACAAGATGGTCAGCATATTGATAGAAGTGTCCATTTCTTTAATTCTACAGCTACAGCCTTAGAAAAAGAATATCTTATCATAGGATTAAGTACCATGAAAAGTATTTCTGATATTAGAAACCTTCTAAGAAGACTTCATTTATTTTCACTAAGCCCTGGTGCTGAGATCAATATTTGCTTGGATGCTGTTAATGATATATATGTATATGATGGACGAAAGGAACTAGAGATCCCTATAAAGCCTCATCCACAGCTGATTGAGTGTTCTGGTAAAATGGTGGAGGCAGTACATGTGGCAACAAAACTTGGAGCCAGCCATAGAACATTTACAGAAATAATAACGAATATTCTTTACAATCTTAGTACTGAATCTGTTTATTCCATGGATGATACACTCAAGTTTATGGATTATTATATTAGAAATATGAACATACTTGCAGATGACCAACAGAAGATGGAGTTAGCGAGATATATCAAATTCATACAGAATGAGACAGGCCAGTACTGCTGTGCATCAGATCTTTTTGATCCGAAATCTAAGCTTCTTCAAGATCTCTTTGGTTATTACAGATCAGTGTTCCCATCTAACAGATATGATAAACAGCTAAGTAATCTGAAAAAACTTGGGTTACGAAGAGAACAGGAAGTAACAGATGATGAAATCTTGAAAACGGCAGAACTAATCAATGGAAAATATCAGAATAACGTAAGATCACCAGATTTAGACAGGACAGCAAGGGCGCTATTGAAGTATTTAAATGTATATGAAGACAAATTTAACACTAACACACTACGGATTATGAGTACTCTCACTTGGTGCCCAATTATGAACAGACGACCAAAGGGGTACCCAGAAAAGTTGAATTTTGCTGGCGGAGAACAACCCAATTTACTGAAAAAACCTTGTGAGCTCATTGACTGTAAATATGTTAATCTAGTAGGCGGAGAGCAGTTTATCGCTACAGAAGACATGCCTTCTTCCTTAAGTGAATTCCTGATTCAGATATCAGCTGTTGCAACTTCAGTTTTTAATCAGCTTTTAACTGTATCGAAGAGTTATTATCCAATATCTATGAAAGAGCATCAACAGTTTATGTCAGTTTTATCAGATATTTATGAATTTCTGGGTAACTATAGAATTTCCCGAACAGCAGTACAACAAAAGAGGATTGTCTGGACCGGCTCAGAAGGCAAATTTCAGAGTCCAGAAAATGTTTGGTTGAATAAAAAACAATCGGATATTCCTCTTCAACCTTACATGTATTCCTTACCAGATGATTTTTGTAAACTGTTAGACTGGTTTTGTGGATTGGGTTGTGAATCTGACCAGTCAACCATCGTCTTGTTAAAGGTATTGCACAAGGTTAAGGAAAAACATGAAAATTATGGACTACAACCAAACTCTGCAGTGAATAAAGATTTGTCTCTTGTTATCCAGATTGTAAATACTTTAGCCAGTTCTCCAGAAGATTTAAGTGAGGATATACTTTTACCGATTTGTTCCGAATCAGATGATGTCCTTCAACTAAGACCAGCACAGGAATGCACTGTTTGCAATGAAGATTGGTTGAGTGATTTAGTTTCAACACAAACAGAATCCGATACAATTCATTTCATCCACAAAAGAATTTCTAGAGACACGGCTGCAATATTTAAAGTTCCAGTTTTAACTGACCGTGTTCTAAAACATGCTGAACAATTTGATATGGACTTTGGTCAAACGGAACCTCTTACCACTAGACTACACAATTTGCTCAAAGACTACACTGATGGATTCACAATACCCAAAGAGATTATTCAAAATGCTGATGACGCTGGAGCTACAACTGTGAAACTATTGTATGATGAAAGGACAGTAACAGAAGCTCAAACGTGTCTGTTTAATGAAGGCATGATTCCATGTCAAGGGCCAGCCTTCTGGGCATATAATGATGCCACGTTTACTAAAGATGATTTTATAAACATAACCAGACTAGCAGGAGCCACAAAGAAAGACGATAGTATGAAGATAGGAAGATTTGGTTTAGGATTTAACTCTGTGTATAATTTGACTGATGTTCCGAGCTTTCTTTCTGGAGAAACATATGTTATATTTGATCCACATAAATCTCATCTTGGAAAAGGTGGGTTAAAGATGAATCTCAATTTTCACGGGAACCAATTAATGCGACAAAAAATGAAGGGACAGTTTTATCCATTTGAAGGTATATTTGGATGTAATATATTGCATAAAGACGGAGTCCATTTTAAAGGCACATTGTTTCGCTTACCACTCAGAAATTCTGAAGAAGCTTCTAAAAGCGAAATAAAAGATATGAGCTACTCGAAATCTGAAATGAAAGAGTTTATCAAGAAGATAGAAGAAGGGGCAGGTAACTTACTTCTTTTTACACAGCATGTACAAGAGGTTGAACTTTATCATCTGGAGAAGGGATCGGTAGCTGAACACCCTAAATTGTTAATGAAAGTATTAAAGTCATCGAATCGTTCTGGACTATCTGTTCTGAAAACCTTAGCTGAAGCAAGAGAAGTTGGCTCCAATCCGCAGTTATCCGAGACCATAAAGATAGCACTCCATATTACAAAACACTCCAAGAATATTTGTGGTGTAACTGAATCAGACTGCATTGTGTCCTATTTGGTTAACTGGAGTTTCGGGAAGGGACGTTCACTACTTGAAGCTAGTAGACCACAATTTAAAGGTCTTCTACCAGTAGCCGCTACAGCGGTTAGTAATCAATGTTTACGGAATATTCAAGGATTCTACAAAGAGTCACATTTATTCTGTTTTCTCCCTCTTCCAATTGAGTCCAAGTTACCTGTCCACATTAATGCTTCATTTGCTGTTCAGTCCAGTAGACGTGAATTAGCATGGAGGAATGAAGATGACAAGGAATCAGAATGTGTGGAAGACACGTGGAATACAGTTCTACTGGAAGATGCTGGAAGTCAGGCTTATTTACATATGCTCACTAACATGGCTAAACGTCTACCGCCAGCCGAATACTATAGATTATGGCCTTCTGTATTTTCCCATCCTAAACATGATAAGATATTAACAAGGGAAGTTTACATTACTATTTGTAAAAGTCACTTCGCCGTTTTCCCTTCAATGGAACGAGTTGTGTCCCTGAATCATGCCTTGTTTCTTTGTCCAGAATTAAGAACAAACGAAGAAGTAGGAAACATAGCATTTAAAGCATTGCTGCAAGTTTTACTAGATTTTGAAGAAGCTACTGTTGTGGATTTGCCCCCATCCCTGTTGGAAAACTTCAAAATATCAGGATGTGAAAAACAAATAAATGAAAGAATAATATCAACCGTGTCCTTTTACAGGGGAATAGTTTTTCCTAATCTGAACAATCCGTATTGGTCCAAAGAAGAACTAGACAAGATTCTAGTGTACGCTCTATTACTGAGGAAAACGGAATTGCACGATCTAATTTCATCCCATAAATGTATCCCAACCAAACCAAATGGACGACGAAGACAACCCTCGAACCTAATACATCCTAGCGGAGAACTTGCCAAGCTCTTTGCTATAGAGGAGGAATGTTTTCCAGAAGATATTAAAATGAGCGTGGGTCTATCCACGTCTGATAATCCACTGGAAGTTTTAGAAAGTCTTGGTATGAAAATAAATGAATTGGAATGGCATCTTCTGCCAGAACGGATAACATCTGTTCTACACACAGAATTACTGATAAATCGAGCTATAAATGTTTTAAAATATTTGGCATCTACTGTTTGGTATGGGAATAATGAAAACGTAAGATATAAAAATTGCCCACCTGCTATTTGCAATGTCATTTCTAACTTAGAGTTCCTGCCAACACAAGATCCACCCGGGGATTGGAAACTACCATGGTACGGTTGTAAGAATAAAGCCAAGCTGTTTGTTTCACCTATAGAAGGATATCTTCCAGAATGTAGTTATCTTGTAGGATGTATTCAACCAATAGTTGATGCAAATAAGTATAAATATGACCGTAAAATTACTGATGTACTGAAATGGTTAGGAGTTCGACATTTGCATTCCGGAATAGATCCGACGCTGGTGATAGAAAACATGTTAACAATATCAAAGTATTACGTGGATTCTGGGTTTAAGGATGACATGTACTATAAGGTAGATGCTGCTCTCGGAGAAATTTATGAATATTTACATAAAGTGATTGCGGGTGACAACGAAGAACTCACCATGTACATTAAACAGGCATTAGAAAATGAGGCAGTTATTTTACATGAAA